AGACGGAAATTGGAGCCATGTTCGGTGTTGAAAGAAGGTAGGCATCAAAGGGGGAAGATACGACGCCCCGCAAAGACCACGTCGGTTAACTCAGTCGATAGCACGGTCTCCAAGGTCTTGCGTCAGAAAGAGAAGTATCTCTTTCCCGAGGACCGTAGTAGCTCACCAGTCAAGAGAAACAAGGGCAAACTTCCCGATATTGAGAAAGCGTTGGCGAACTGGGCCCGGAACCATGCCAAGTCTGGACTTCCTTTGACAGACGCCGAGATCAAGGAGAAAGCCCGGATATTTGTCGCGACCTTGAGCTCTGGAGAGAGCCCAATCAAGACAAACAGCACTTCCTGGCTGGAGAAATTCAAACAGAAGAATGGCATCGGACCCGGGAGGTTGATGCGTAGAGCCTCGGAGACGAACATCCCGGACAACCTGTCTACGGGTTCGCCGCAACTGACATCCTCTCAGCCTTCGAGTGCGATTTCGCCGGCCTCACCATCTCAGCACCCTTCTCCTTCACCCTTGTCTGCTAATGAGGACAAGGAGCGCCTGGAAGGGTTGATGGACTTCACCGCTGACGGGAGCGCTTACAAGCACGCAGGCTCGCAGAGCACTACGTCTTTGTCAAGTGCTTTTACTGACACTGCCGCATCATCTTTTTCGGGCAGTGCTTTAAGCCCCAGTGGACAGTTCACTTTCTCGCCGGATCCCAACGTTGGAGGTTTCTTGTCTTCTGATCGCAGCGGCCAAATTCCTCCTGGAGGAGCAGCTTCTAATTTTCAGCGGCCGAGAAGCCAGACCTTTCCGACGTTGGACCTGGAGTACATGAACCAGCAGCAGTCAACTGAGCCTCTGACTCCGAAGTACCATGTTTCGGCAACGGCTCCATCCTCGGCCCTGGAGTCGCCAGCTCATGAGCTTCCGCAACCGTCGTTCGGGATCGATAATACTATCTCCTCGCCGCAGCACCAGTTGCACCACAGTGGCAGCAACAGCAGTTTGACTGGAAGGCAGACCGGGACTCCTGTGACAGGAAGTGCTGTCCTCAGCTCTGTTGGCTCATCTCCCACGTCTCCTACTCAGGAGGACGCCCGAAGGGCAGCGGACACGCTCCTTTCGTTCATTGCAAATGGAGCACCAAATGGATTCTTTGACCAGAACGAGTACTTGGCTGTTGTTAGGCTTACGGAGAAGCTCAGGCTGCATCAACACCAGGCTGCAAAAGGCATCGGAGGCTTATCTCGCATCCCTGAAGGCGACTCCGAGATGGGAAATGCGCCTTCTGGTTCCATGGTGAAAGTGGAATCGGCGATGTCTTCCTAGAAGAATACAGTCCAAGACGCTTCTGGCTCGAATAGTGGATACAAATACGACTTGACAGTGCCTAACGACACAGCGGTCTGGGCATTTTGCTCAGAGGGAGGATCATCTTTCCATCTAATTTTTCCATGGATATTTCTGTATGCACTGGCGTTTCTATCTGGTGTGCGATTTCCACAAATTTTCCTTCTTACCACCACAGCATTGGGAGTCGCGTTGGGAGTGACGACTTTGGAGTGTTACGACAACAACAGCAACGACCTTGGCAATGGAAGTGCTTGACTTGGTCGAATACGGCGTCTGACTTTAGGCGGTCCTCCAGAGGGGGGAAAACAAACCGGACTACACGAGTTTCTACGTCTCACGACGACTACTTTTGCCTTGCTACGGATTCTCCTGGCTTTCCGAACGATACAAGGTGCCCTTGCCCCTCGACCAGTCTCACGACGAACTTGCAGCTCTCCCGGGTTGCAAGAGGGATTCATATATATATTACACATGCGAGGGGGTAAAGACGTCGTTCTGACAAACCGACGATGATAGGTTCGACCACATGACCGCTACTTACTTACATACACACATACATACATTACCGCTACATTTGCTCTTCGATCTATATACCCCATTCAAAGCTGCCCGAACTTCGAATTTCTCAGGATTGTCACATCTACCTATCCAGTCAAGGAAGAAACCCTACGCTCACGCGACAAAAGACCCCGACATCCCATAACTCGAGTTTTATTTATTTTCTCATTCGCCGCGTTCCCTACTCGACGAACGATTTTATCCGACGCTTTTCCTCGTTTCACGCGTTTTTAAGCACTTGTGTATTAGTTTCTTCTCCTATTTTTCCCTTTTTTACTGGCATTGTATTGTGGTGGACAGGATCATGATATCGGGTCTGGGCACACATTGAGGCTCCTTTTCTAGGGGAGACCGCAGTTCGAAACCAGGGGGACATCTTCCACAACGGAATGATGTCCATGGGAGATGTTTTCGGGATATTCTTCTTTTTTTTGATCTAAGTTTGTTCTCTCTCTCAATTCGATGGGCTGAAAGGGAGGCATAACACTATGGGAGGAGATGGAGGGAGCCATTAATTGGGATATCAACTCTGGGAAAAGGAGTGGCTGCCGCAAACGCACCCCGCGAGCCTTGGGCCAGGAACAGACAGAACATGTGGTGCGGTCTGGGCTGCTGGGTGGCGCGAAATACCGTTCTCCTGCGCGCGGCAGAAAGGGGAGAACGAAACACACAGGCATGCTGAGATGAGGGAGGGGGGAAGGCCGAGACGGGGGCGAGGAGTCGTTGCCGCCCCGTCTCGCGTGGAAGAGTCGAGTCTCGTCTCCTGACGTCGAGCTACACTACACTAGTATCGAATAATCCCTGGGCGGCCATCTGCATTTTGGGAGAAAGCCCCTTTGATCAAAACCTCTCTCTGTCCCACATAAACCCATTCATGCCCAACGTGAAGTGTGGCGCGTAGCAAATGCAACACTGTGTTTGAGACGACCTGAATTACGGCCCGCATTACGGGTATCCTGGGGGTGTATTCTAAACGCTACGCTAAACTATGTAGGTACAGAGAAAAGGCAAGCAGAACGTGTTTGCTGACTAACTCAGCCGCTCCCCCCAAAGGTCGACAACGCCTTTGTCTGCTAGCTCTGGCATCAGTCGCACTATGACGAGCTCGAGGACGCTATACATGAGGTGCTTATTGCAGTAGACGTCGCTGAAGACGTCGAGGACACCGGTTTCGATTTCGGAAAGGATGCGCGCCTCCTGCTGGTCCCCAGGGTTCCCTGCCTTTTCGGCACTGGTCATATCAGAGTTCTTATTACTAACGGGTGCTGACCGCCTGTCAACATCGGAATCGTCGTAGTAGCGTCCTTCGCGGCCCTGCAACCGCTGAGCCTGTTCGTCATGGCCGTTCCTCGGACCGGTCCGCGGGGGAGGAGAGCTCGACGACCTGGACCGCAGCTGCCAAGCGCCACCACCGCCAAAGTACAGCCTGCCCACACCTTTCGGGACCAGCGCCCAAAGGGCGTTAGCGCACCTGCGTCTCAGCGCCAGCAGCTCCTCGTCGGATGTGGGAGCCACCAAGGTCGGCGAGCCCATCGCATTGTTGGGGAACAAGGCGCCTCGCAGCGAGCGAAGTAGGTGGGGGAGCTGCGCCGGATCGAGGACATGCTTGTGAATAGCATGGGAAAGGAGTCTATTTCAAGGATGTCAGCTGTTTCTGTTCACCTCCCTCTCGTTTCCTGTTCTTCATGCGTGGGGGTCCAAGCTTCGACGGGAATGAGGTAGGGAAAGATCAGATGGAATGAAACAGTGAGGCAAGCCTGGCACAAAACGGGCTTAGGCCTCGGAAAGGATACGTAAAATGATTGACAAGACTTCTGCAACCACGACTATCGATTATTGCAACGGATGATGCGGCATAAACCTTGTGAAATGAGAACGCCATGAAAGCCCTGGCCTGACAGACCTGAGGCTTTGCCGGAGGCACAGGAAGGCCAGGGCTTTCGGTGCAGTGCGGGGGACAGGGTAAGATGGTGTGGAGGAGGTCTGGCCTGTCGATCAAATCAAGAGCAGCTAGGGTCGAGAACTATCTCTTGCCCGTCTTCAGTGATTTCCTCCGCGTTAAACGGGGGAGTGTGTGAAGTCTGTGAAGGAGGTGTGAGCTATCCCTGGCGGCTGCTAGGATGCTCGTGCAAGTCGTTCAAGCCCGACGTCCCCACCCCTTTGATGACTGTGGTACAGAATGTAGCTCTTTGGCGCTCGAACGAAATCTGGCGAGCTATATGACAATCGTGCTAAGACAAGCAAGCAAGCAGCCTGAAGGGGACGGCGACTTGGTCTGCCCAATCCAGCATGGGAAGGTTGCAGCCGTTGTTGAATGTAGTAAATGCGATCTATCACCCTGCCAGGTGTTGGGTATGAGAGATGTCCGTCTCGGTCCTAGACTGACTGCCAAGGCCCGTCCGAAGTTCGCAGAGGTCGGTCGTGGTCGCTGTCGTTTGAGTTGAGGGCTTGAAGCAAACCTGGCGGATGTCGATGCTTGTGCGCCGCGGACGGGACGCGGTGGGGCGGTACGAAGCGAAAGGAAAGGACCTCGTGGATTAGTATTAGTGAGATTTAATGAGATGGCGTAGCTCAGTGGCCCGACCCTTGCAAGCCCTGACCTGGGCGCGTAAATAAGGCTTGCTGCTGGCCGACCAGGCAAGCCCCACGACGCCTATCGTGCAATCGGACGAATGCACTGCAGAAACATGCAGCCATTGGCCACAACGTCCACAGCGGCCGGAGCTCTTGATGCAGGCCCCAGAGCAGTGTGGTAGGGGTTGTGGCTGCCGAATTGGCCGCAGAGACCCTCCATGGTGTGTTCCACGACAGGCCTCTTTCTCACCCGTAACTCTCGCTACGAGTTGACACTGGCGTAGCTGGTTCCTGGCACACCCATTCTCTACCCTCCCAAGCCGGCTATTATATCATTGAGCCAATCTTCTCCCCAGGCAACTTGCCTGTGATGTTGTACTGGATGCCACAGGCCTGCCATGTGCACTTGCAAAATGTGCCTGATCTTAGAGATGAATGGGACCAAATGAGGTCCAGTGACTCGACGTGCATGCGGTGTGACTGGGTGGCAATGCAGAAAGAGCTAGAACCAAGGAAACTCAGTGATCCTACCTATCAATGACTCCATCCACTCCAGCAACATTGCCGGGACCTGTGATAGCAATCCATTGCAGCATTGACAAGGTGCCGCAAAGCCACGGCATGCGGAGATCCATTTCGAGCAAATTCGATATGGTGGGCCAGAGTCTGAATGCCAGGATGGGTATTTTGACTGGCTCCTCAGTTGAAAACGGAGGATTTTGTGACTGCGAGTCGGCCGTGTGACGAGTCAACTTCTCCTTCTCGAGGAGACCGTTATCAGCCCGTTTCGGGAGAGACCTTGACATAGCCACTGTGGTAATGAACAGCTTGAAAATGGTGAGCAGGGCAAAGCCCCATTGTACGATGGCCCAGAACAGTCCTTGAATCGAGAACGACTTCTTCGCGTTCTCGGGAGGCACCTGCAAGCTTCCACTTTCGTCGGTTGTCTCGCTTCTGGGTCGTTGAATAACCCTTGCCAGGATTGAGAGGCCCTCCAAGATCATCCATGGCTCCGAAGCCTTCTTAGCGACCACGCCCCCGATAATCATCTCTGAAAATATCTGACCAACCAAAGCTGTCAGGGGGCCATTTTCCAGGTCCTCCGTCGGAAGGAGAACAGCTAGAACGCCTTGGACCAAGAGCTGACGATAGGCGGCCTCGTTTTCCACCTGCTCGATGACACTAGTGGGACGGTCCGGGCTTGGAACTGGAGAAAGAGGGGGCAGTGGGAATAGTGAATGGTAGATCTCGCGAGGGTTCGCCTCGATTGGTGGTCTGATGGTGCCCTTGTGGGCTGCGCGATATACTATTGAGGCAGCTGTCAGTAAATTTCCTCTGTTGTAGGATGCGATTCGATGACTGACCCTGGACATGCTTGTCCAATAGATCAGGCAACTCGTCAAAGACCAATGCCTCCAGGTCCACCTTCCTCAATCTCTGCTCGAGGGCACGGGTGCAATGAGCGATGATCTGGACAATCTCGGCGACGAATGTCTCATCAGGCGTGATCTTGTTGTACCAGTTCTGCACAAAGTCTCTTATGATGATTGCGATGATGGCGTAGAGCTGCAAGTCGACATCGTTCCGGCTAGTTAGGGGCGGCAGTAGCTCGTCTATAGGCGCCGGCGTGGCCCTCCCCCTATCCTGTTGTGGACACAGCACCCGGCGAATCAGCAACGAAGTCGCCTTGTCAGACAAGAAGTCAGACGACACGGGACGTCCAGCCCGCCGTGCTGCATTAGAGACCCCAGAATCAGAAGCTACGGCCGGTGTCTGTGATCGCGAAGGAGGAGCGGGAAGGCGGGAGCCAAAAGCGGTCACGGGTTCTGCATGGGTGGTGGTTGATGTCGGGGGCACCTTGAGCCGCGGGGTCGGCACGCGCGGCGGCGCATTCTGTGTCATGACCGCTTCTCGAAGAAATATGTTTGGCTCGTCATTTCTCGAGACAGTGATAGCGAGAGCCAGGTGCGGTGCGCCGGTGGTCGATGTGAGGTTGTTGAGGTTGCGTGGTGGACGTGAGAGGGATTAGGGGAGGAGTGAGTTGGCAGATTGACTATCTTTCAGCCGCTTAACAAGTGGTTGCGTTATCGCGACTTATCGGTTCAGCCATCTTGCACGTAAGCGGCAGGCGGTGAGGGTTACCGAGATAGGTACTAGGTTGCCAGCACATCTCCTAACCACCACAACAACATACCGAAAACCTACCTTTAAAGATACAACTCCTGCTAAAGGAGAGTCCTCTTTATAATTATTAATGGTGAGATAATCTATTACTCAATATATGACGATTCATGCCTTGGCGCATCGTCGCATTGTTACAACCTAAAATGACCACCTACCTGGGCTTCGTTGATTTGGACAGCCTGATCATTCTTCAACAGGACATCGTGGCCCGTCTACCATTTACATCCCAGTCACTCGAGAACATTCGTCTCTTGAGTACATCTAGTTTAGTTGAGTCTATGCAACAATCCGCATCCAAGGTACCAAGTAGGTGCTCTATGCTTGCCTTTGCATATGCAGGCTCCCTGCTAGCGTCAACAGCCTGCCCATCATGGTCGAACAAACGGACAATATCTTGCATAAGCAAAGAACGGAGCATAAGTCAGAGGGAGACTGGGCATAACTCAGGTGCATCAGCCAAACCTTCTGAGGTAATGAAAATGTGTCGCGTGGCACGCCACTGAATCGTAGTTTATTCTGAGCCTCCGAGCAGGCCAGGTTAGATTTGAAAATTGTCATGATAGAAACTCAGCAGTGCCTGTGACCATGGATCTAACAGGCTTTCTAGTTTTCTGACTGTCCTGAGCAAGGGCTGGGGTGCTTGGCAGGCCAGCCTCCAAGGCAATCCGGGGAATCGCCTTTCTTGACATGGTTGACATGGGAAGTCGGAAGCAAAGGCCCGTGCCGATCCGACTAAACTTAAAAGCGGCTGCCGATGCAGAGCCCGACGATCCTGGGCCGCATGCAAACGGAGCCGCACAGTCCCGGCTCCGTAAACTTCCCGAAAGGTGTGACATCAGGCGGCAACCATAATATATCAAATAAGCGGAGTGCTACACAGGGCATGGTGAGAAGTAATAAAGGGCTTGAAAGTCCACAGGGATTTGATAGGATTTAAATGAGCTTCTTTCCCGTGATCCTCGACTGGGGATATCTAGTAGACGGGCGATTTCTGTACATGTATTGATACAATATATGACACATTGGCTTCGTCAAAGACGCTATGCTTTATTCCATGTAACGGTGCCTTGACTATAATTGCAGAACTTCCTTCTGCGTCGCTTCGTACCTGCAATGATCGTAAGTTAAGAGAACATGATCATCAAAGTGGTCCTAATGCATACCTCTTTCCACGGAAAGCCCAGACGCCCCAATTACCACAACTGATGTCCTGGGGGTCGAGATCATTCAAATCCCAGCGTAGACTCCGGAAGATGTTCTCGCCGGGCTCCATGAGAAGATCGAATTCGCCAGCTGCCTTCTTGCGGACCCACTCAATATCTCGCTCCATATCGAACTGCGTGTAGCCGGTAACAAGAACAGGTGCCTTCGTCTCAAGAAGAAGAGGTATAGTCTCTTCCCACTCATGCGAGCTGGCAGGGTGACCAAGACCAGGGTGGAAAAGCATAAAGCAGTCAAAGTAGGGATCATAGGGGTAGAAGTAGCCTGTCTTGTGCAGTGTATGGTAGTAATCAACAATAGTGCTGATCTTCATGGTGGGCCATACGCGATCCTCGACAACGGCCCCAAATGGATTGGAATGGGTTCGGGGAGGAAGAGGAAACTCATCATCTCTGTTCGCCATGCTCTCAGGGCCAATAAAGATCAGGTGGAATTTGGCACGCGGGAACAGGTGCGCAAGTTGAACCCAGACATCTCGTGGAAGAGAAGACTCTGCACGAGCGCCTAGGATGAAGATTCGCACGGGCGGAGCTTCTGGTCTTAAGCCCTTTACACCTTCACCACCTCCCGTCTTGGGCGGATGGAGAGTGTATCGTAAAGCTTTATGGTCAGTATCTTGTTTAAGTAGTCCTTGAAAACTATGACATACCACTGAAACTCTTCAATCCCTCCACAGTGAGCCGCTCACCCTTACGAATGCCATAAGGACTAAGCTCATGCAGGATGCTGCCGATTGTGACCGGGTAAGTCAGAAGCCTTGTAGCCTGACGCATGCTTCGGTCGGAATTTATCGCCTCGAAATTGCGAGTATACAGGAGCGTATCCCAGTTGGTCATATTGACTACTGCTTCTTCCATCTGTGGTCCCGCGTATTCGAACTCCGGGAAGAATCGACCGGACCGTAGGTCATGATCGTCCTCATTAATCTGCTTTAGTGTATCGCACACCTCCAGATGGGCCTCGTAGTCTGCCATCCAATGCTCCTTGCTACAGTATACAGGTATTCCGCAATCAGGGCACTCGAAATCAACGTGGGCGGGAGGTTGCTGTCCAGACTCTTGTCGGAGAGGCTCACCACTCTCGGATAGCCTGACTGGTCTATGATCTGGATGCGGACAGTGAGCATGTTGTCTCATGAATGCCGCACGCTGCCTAATCTCGGGAATCGGCGAGTTCGTGTAGGAGTGGAAAAGGTCGTCGGCTTTCAAGATAGGCTTCCTAGCGGCGTTCTCTGTTGGCCGCGCACTTCCAGCGTCACTGGTCTTCGTAATCTCCGCCTGTGCAAAGCTCGAAGATAGCCTGCTTTTAGTATTAGACTTGGTACCAAGCAGCTCCTGCCGAGTAGCTCTCCGTGTCTGCCCAGAATGTACCGAGCGAGCACCGCCAGCCACAACTGCTCTGGAAAGTATCGGAGCTGCACGAGAGGTCAATTGCCTCAATGCTGGGCGCGCACAATGGCTGCATATAGAATGCATTGCCTTGCGGGCTGCTGTGTCCATAGACAAAGCCATGGTGACGAATGTTCGTCGAATACACAGGTGGTCTGAGAATCCGTATTGAAAGACCCTAGATCTCACTTGGCAGATGAGCTTACAAAATTCGCTGTCAAGCCACACATGAAAAAGTGGCGTAATTGAGAAACTTGGCGCTAGCCTACGTATTACGGACTTCATAGGTGGCGGTGCACGCCGACTGTTGACTTGACAGCTTAAATTTTATTTCGCGACCAAAGCTCCATCCTTTGAACGCAAGCTCTTTAGTAGGCAGTCGATAGAGCGCCTCCCTTCAACCACAAACGGAACAGGACACAAGGAGAGCCGCGCAGGCTTACTGCGCAGGGTTGAGCGAAGATGGCGGCAACTTCAAACATGTTCCTCTATTCCCTGACAATCCAGCCCCCGACGACTATCGGCCAGGCTATCCTCGGCCAGTTCTCCGGCACCAAAGAACAACAGATCATCACGGCTTCAGGCTCTCGGCTGTCTCTACTTAGACCTGATCCAACACAGGGCAAGGTCATTACCTTGGTGTCTCACGATATCTTCGGCATTATTAGAGCTATTTCATCCTTCCGGCTAGCTGGAAGTAACAAGGGTAAGTCACCTCAACCCCACCAATTGCTATAGTCACTTAGTGATTCGAAGACGGGATGTCAGGTCTTGCCTGAAGCGCTCCTCAACCCGCGGCTCTTCGAATGTGATTGTGGAAATTGAATTATCTGTCAAGATCTTTGCTAAAACGTTGCTATAGACTATATCATCCTTGCGACGGACTCAGGCAGGATCGCCATCATCGAATATTTGCCGGCGCAAAATCGGTTTTCACGGATACATCTTGAGACATTTGGAAAGTCTGGAGTACGCCGAGTCGTTCCCGGCCAATTTCTGGCAGCGGATCCGAAGGGCAGAGCCTGTCTTATTGCGGCTACCGAGAAGAACAAACTTGTCTATGTCTTGAATCGCAACTCGCAGGCGGAGTTAACGATATCATCTCCCCTAGAAGCGCATAAGCCAGGCGTTCTCGTGTTCTCCATGGTAGCTCTTGATGTTGGCTATGCGAACCCAGTTTTTGCTGCCCTCGAGACAGATTACACAGACGCAGACCAGGATCCCTCCGGTGAAGCCTATCAAGAGATCGAGACACAGCTTGTGTATTACGAGCTTGATTTAGGTCTCAATCATGTGGTGCGCAAGTGGTCAGAACCGGTGGACCCAACATCATCGTTACTTTTCCAAGTCCCCGGAGGCAATGATGGCCCGAGCGGAGTCCTCGTTTGCGGCGAGGAGAATGTGACGTATCGGCATTCTAATCAAGAGGCCTTCCGTGTGCCTATTCCACGACGACGCGGCGCTACGGAAGATCCGCAACGCAAGAGAAATATAGTTGCGGGAGTTATGCACAAACTAAAGGGCAGTGCGGGCGCGTTCTTCTTCCTTCTTCAAACCGAGGATGGTGACCTTTTCAAAGTAACAATTGACATGGTCGAAGATGCAGATGGGAACCCAACGGGCGAGGTGAAGCGATTGAAGATTAAGTACTTCGACACTATCCCGGTGGCGTCTAGCCTGTGCATCTTGAAGAGCGGTTTCCTCTTCGTCGCTAGTGAATTTGGTAACCACCAATTTTACCAATTCGAGAAGTTGGGCGATGACGATGAGGAACTCGAATTTAGGAGCGATGAATTTCCAACCGATCCTAGAGCCTTCTACGAGCCAGTATATTTCTATCCGAGGCCTGCAGAGAACCTCGCTCTTGTGGAAAGTATCGACTCGATGAATCCTCTAATAGACTGTAAAGTTGCGAATCTCACGGATGAGGATGCACCGCAAATCTACGCCGTCTGCGGAAATGGAGCCCGGAGCACGTTCCGTACACTGAAGCACGGGCTTGAAGCGAACGAGATCGTGGCTTCAGAACTGCCCGGTACTCCTTCAGCTGTATGGACTACCAAATTGCAGCGGGACGATCAGTATGATGCGTATATTGTACTATCATTCACGAATGGAACACTCGTTTTGAGCATTGGAGAGACAGTTGAAGAAGTCAGTGATACTGGCTTCCTCACTTCTGTACCAACACTTGCAGTTCAGCAACTAGGAGACGATGGCCTAATCCAAGTTCATCCCAAAGGCATTCGCCACATTCGTCACGGCCGTGTAAATGAATGGGCTGCACCGCAACATCGATCAATTGTTGCTGCTGCCACAAACGAGCGTCAAGTTGCGATCGCCCTCAGCTCAGGAGAAATTGTCTATTTCGAGATGGACACGGATGGTTCATTAGCTGAATATGACGAGAAGAAAGAAATGTTCGGAACTGTCACATGCCTGAGCTTGGGTGAAGTTCCAGAAGGTCGTCTCAGGAGCTCATTCTTAGCTGTTGGTTGTGATGACCGAACGGTGCGAATCCTGAGTCTTGATCCTGAATCAACTCTAGAGAATAAGTCTGTACAAGCTCTAACCGCCGCCCCGTCTTCCTTGTCAATCATGGCAATGGAGGATTCGTCAATGGGCGGTTCCACGCTCTATCTACATATCGGTTTGCATTCCGGGGTTTATCTACGGACCGTCTTGGATGAAATCTCAGGGGAACTCACAGACACCCGCCAAAAGTTTCTGGGTCCGAGGGCTGTGAAGCTATTCCAAGTCTCGGTTCAACGTCGGACTTGCGTCTTAGCGCTGAGCTCGAGGCCTTGGTTGGGCTATGCTGATCCCCTAACTAAGGGATTTGTCATGACACCTTTGAGCTATGCAGAATTAGAATGGGGCTGGAACTTCAGCAGCGAGCAGTGTGAGGAAGGCATGGTTGGAATACATGCCAATTATCTAAGGTACGGCCTTCTCTTCCCGCGCTCCTTCCACAATTCCTCTACATGATGATAAAAGGGATACCTACGCCATGTTTGGCTATGAGGCCATTTGTATCAATCATTATTGATGCCAATTGTTCCTTCTGAGACACTTTGAACATTTGCTTCATATCTTCCATCAGACAAGTCCAGATCAGTGAACTGACATTATCTAGGATTTTCTCTATTGAGAATTTAGCGGAGAATTTGATTCAGAAATCTATTCCTCTTACTTACACACCCAGGCGACTCGTGAAGCACCCGGATCAGCCATACTTCTATACTATTGAAGCAGACAACAATACCCTTGCGCCAGAGCTCAGACAAAAGTTGCTCTCAGATCCTGGTGCAGTCAATGGCGACGCCAAGGTTCTCCCTCCTGAAGAGTTTGGTTATCCACGTGGTCGAGGCCGATGGGCATCTTGTATCAGCGTTGTTGACCCAGCTAGCGAGGATTCTACCGTTCTTCAGAGGGTAGATCTAGAAGAGAATGAGGCGGCAGTTAGTGCAGCTGTCGTCTCCTTTGCAAGTCAAGATGGTGAAAGCTTTCTCATCGTCGGAACCGGCAAGGATATGGTGCTCAACCCTCGTCAATTTAGCGAGGGCTATATCCATGTCTACCGTTTCCATGACAATGGGCGAGATCTCGAATTTATTCATAAAACAAAAATCGAGGAGCCGCCGATGGCTATGCTACCTTTCCAGGGCAAATTGCTCGCTGGTATCGGAAAGACACTCCGAGTCTACGACTTGGGTCTAAGGCAGCTTCTCAGAAAAGCTCAAGCAGATGTTGCACCACAGCTGATTGTTTCACTGCAAGCTTATGGCAACAGGATTGTTGTCGGAGATGTTCAGCAAGGCGTAACGTATGTGGTTTACAAATACGAGTCAAACAAGCTGTTGCCGTTCGTGGACGATACGATCGCCCGATGGACTACATGCACGGCTATGATCGACTATGAATCTACAGCGGGAGGTGATAAGTTCGGCAATGTCTGGATCCTGCGAGCACCAGAGAAGACCAGTGTGGAAGCAGACGAGCCTGGCTCTGAAGTCCACCTGCTTCACGCCCGTGAATACCTACATGGTGCACCGAATCGCTTGAACCTCATGGCCCACTTTTACACGCAAGACGTTCCAACAAGCATCACAAAATGTAATTTGGTAGTTGGTGGACAGGAAGTCCTGCTATGGAGTGGTATCCAGGGCACCATTGGTGCTCTTATCCCATTTGTCAGCAGAGAAGACGTCGATTTCTTCCAGAGCTTGGAGCAGCACATGCGGTCAGAAGATTCCCCCCTGGCTGGCCGAGATCACCTAATGTACCGAGGATACTATACGCCTGTCAAGGGGGTGATCGATGGTGACCTCTGTGAGAGGTTTACCCTCCTTCCTAGCGACAAGAAACAGATGATCGCCGGCGAGCTAGATCGTTCAGTCCGAGAAATTGAACGAAAGATCTCGGTAAGTATATAATCCTTCCCCATACATATACAAGAACTGACTAACACCAAACAGGACATCCGTACCCGCTCCGCTTTCTAGTTTCTTATGACCCTCAGGGAAGGTTCTGTTTGTAGCGTCCTCGTGTATACCCGCTTCAGATGTATAGTACTGGGCCGACCGACGGGCGGCGGCGTTGGCGTTTTGAGGCGGATTTCCAAAATATCGCCTTGTCTTAGTGGTGGCGCGGGAGGTATAAGGTTGAATGGCTTGATGCAAAGGTAGACCAGGAATGAACCAATGAAAGTCTAATGATGACCGAAAGGTCCTGCATGCGTCGGGAATTTGTCTGTGTCTCATCATGACGGCCCCTGTCTTTTGAGAAAAGCAGCCTGAGCGGCCCAAGTCCCTCCTGTACCAACACCGTTGCCTCGTCGCCTTCCTGCTTCGAGCGGATGGTCCTTCTCCCAGGCCTCGTCTTCAAAATAAGCCTCCATCGCCGCGGCAAGGTCATAATCCGCTTGCTCTAGGTAGAGCACCGCAACATCGTAGTTTGCGTTCTTGCATCCGACCATCCATCGTCGAACCTTGCTCTTGCGGAGCTCTTCCTCTTCGCCCTCTACTGGCCTTGGAGACAAGCTAACGCCGCCTTTGTACCATTCCCCGGGTATCAAGATTGTCTTCCGCGCTATGAGTAGGTGGTCGCTGGGCAGCTTGTTCGTCTGCCGCAGCACTTGGGCCGGAACACCGTATCTTAGCGACAGTGAGGGTATCGTATCATGCTCATGGTTTAGGAAATGCAGGATATCATCCGCCGGTGACTTCTCCTCTGCCGCCAGCGCGGCTTTCTCGTCATCCACAGGCTGGGTATCTCGAAGTGAAATTGAAACAGGGTTATATGGAGGCGGCGGCTCGGGGTATGCGGAGCTCGTAGCAGCATTGTACGACGGAGGTTCCCTAAGACCTTGCGGGAGAGTCGTAGGAGCGCTGGTTATCTGGCAGTATGGGCAGTAGAACGCAAAGCGAGAGTTATTCTGCAACGCATAGTCAGCTTCTGCTCCAACGATGCTCCGAGAGTGGAAGACTCACATGTATACACGGTCCGCATATTACTCTTGTGCAGCATGCTAAACGTCTATCATCGGGCAACGGCTTCTCGTTCTCAGAGGCGCGCGTGACGCTGGAGAGCAGAGTTGCGCAGGTGCAGCACGCCTCCATCGTAGACTTGACAAGTGATGACCTCCTACCAACCAAGTCTCTATCTTTGTACAATGAAAAGGCAACTGGAATGCACCGTGAAAAGCAGCGGTTGGTCGGTGGCGACAAGTAAGGATAAAGTATAGGTAGTGATGCCTACAGCGCCGGCGTCCCGCACTTATCGATAAGCATCCGGGGAACCGGTGGTGGGGGCGTCCCTGCATGCCTTGGCCAAGACGGCATTGCGGCTGCCAAGGATGCCCTTACTAAAACAGATCCCAACCCCTATTCCGGCGCCTTGTTACAAATTCATGCTCTTTAACTTGATCATCCGTTGTTCTTCTATCTTTTTGTATGACCATACCAGACGCCTTGCTATTTACAGATCACAGATCAAACCAATTTGCCGTTACTCGTCTTCTTCGGCTTCAAAGCCCCGAACAAGCTCCTCGTGGTCGCTTTCGATCTCCTCATCAATCGCCTCTAGCCCATCCTCAACGTCATCGCCCTCAGCCGGCTCTATCTGCTGCACAATTGGCGCTTCCTCTGGAAGACCACGTTCTGCTCGCAGTTGACTGATCTTTGTGTTCGTCATCTCAAAGACAAACTGACCCAAGTGCTCCACGCCATCCATAGCAGCTTCTCCCGGAACCTCGCTATCAATCTCATCGGCAAGAATGCGTTCTGATGGCCACATCTCACCGGTAGCGAGCATCAGCTTATCAGGCCGCTGGAATAGCAGGGAGAAGGCTTCTCGAAGCTCGTAACACGCCTCAAAGATATCGCGCCGGCCCAAGATGTAAAGCCCAAGACGAGCACGCGACAGGGCGACTGTGAGACGTCGAATATCGCGAAGGTAGCCTACCTTTGATGTCCGAGTCAACGAAAGTATAATATCTGGAGAAGGTAAGTCAATTGAAGCAGGAAACGAGTGCTAGATCACATACAGTCATTTTGCTCGCCCTGATATTTATCCACTGTCGTAACAATCTTAGGCAGACCGAATATCGGGTTCTTCGCACATCGATGAGCCAGTACATCCTTTACGAGAGCTCTCTGGCCAGCGTATGTCGTAAGTATGCTAATCTTTGAGGACGGGTATCCAAGCAGACGCATGTACTGGTAGATGGCCACGGCATACTCGGCTTCGCCGAGATTCTGGATGAAGTGGGGTGTAGGCTCAGTTTCGCCCTTGCCTTTATAGTCTGGCACATTGATGAACTGATAGTCGTACTTGAATCCAGCATTGGCAGTCAAATACTCCTTACTAGACTCAACGTGTGGCAGGTTGCCCAGGCTGTTGTATCGCCATGCATACAGCTGCGCAATTGAGGGACGGGACCGCCCTTGTTGGTCAAGGGTAATCGTTGGTACTCCAAGCCGTACTAGCCTGGAAAATAGAGACTGCTCGAGGTTCGCGAAATGCCGGAAAGCAAGGCTCTGGATTACGGGTGAGTTCTGGAAGTGATCACCACAAAGAACTACCCTTTGCAGAGCCATCTGTCCATCCTTAGGTTTTTGCATGGCCAGAGGGATGAAATTCTCAATTTCTGTGATCTGAGCGGCCTCTTCCATGACCACGTTGTCATAGTGGAATCCCAAGGAGGCGATTTCGCCCCGTCTCATTGCTGCATGTGTTGAGGTCATGGCAATGATACGAGCTTCGTTCGTGAGCAAGTAATTGGCCTTATCTCGATCACGTCGTAGAATTTCGAATGGGAGTGCATCAGCTAGTTCCGAGAATATTCTGGATATGTGACGGTAGCAACCCTCCGCAATATCCTGAACGGTCTCTCGATCGGCTTCTGGTGGGAAAAGGGGCTGCGGAGCGTCTGCGAAATAGTACTTGAAGGGAAAAGCCTCCACAATCTTAGCAGCAGACGCATCCTCTGATCTCGCAATCTCACTGAATTTGGCCCAGGCTGGCCCAATGTATACAGAATTGAAGTATCCTGCGGTTTCCGCCGAGTTGCCGTGTGCACCAGGAGCACCAATACTAGCTGCAAGGCGGGTAACTTCCTGGAGGTAACGATCCCGATTCTCCAGGAAAGACTCAACACGACCATGTTTACTGAAGTTGGCTTCAGTGTCCAGGTCTTCCTCTCCATGGCCGAGGCGGAGCAGGTGCCGTTCGTCAATATCTAGAGCAATGATCTTTGCAAACAGCTGATTGAGAGCTTGGTTGCTGTGCGCAATAAGCAATGTTCTCTGCTCAGGGAAGTTATGATAGATGTTGTTGATGATTTGTGTGGCAACATCAGTTTTACCCGTTCCTGGCGGCCCGACAATGACCGTCAGTCCAGGCTGTGTTCCAGATGTAATGGCTTCAATTTGAGCAGGAGTGAAGCGAATGTTGTTAAGTCTAGGAGCGTCGACAGGGTATGGGCCGTTGTTTGGTGGCTTGTATGTTGAGACCTTCAATGTCTCTACCTCTGCGAGAAGCGCTGGCTCTGCATCCCTTCTCCTCTTCTTTGAAGGCTTGGAAGATGTCTCTTCAGCTGGGCGATCTGCAGTTTCCAATACATACGGTGGACCGAAGCTACCAGACGCATCGTCGCTTGGCTCAATAATCTTTCCAGGAAGGCTTTCGATGAGGTGTTGCCAATCCAAGAAGGTATCACGGAAATCCACCCTCTTAAGTCGGTTGGGCAACTGCTTATAAGTCGCACCAGCTGGATCGCCATAGCCCAGGAACACTTCGTGTAGCCAGGATGCTAGGGGCACATCTGATAGTGCCAAGCTCCTGATGGAATCTAACACCGGCTTGAAGTTATTCTCTCTACCACTTCTCCGCAGAATGACATTAATACCGTCGTACACGTCAGGCTTGCCTGACGCAACCCTGTCCGCATCTTCTTTGAATGTGCTCGAATCCAGTTTGACTTGTAATCGTCTCGTAGCATTTCGGCCCTGTCCATCAAAGTAGGCGTTTGAATCCCTGACGGGCTTGCCTTTATCATCCAAAATTTGAACAATTTCAGCAGTTCGCACAGAAACCAAACCTAGTCTTTGTGCCTCTGGAAGAGGGCTGCCACCGTTGGTGGAGTTCTTGCACTTGGTAGCATCAATGGAAAGTAGGAAAACAACATCATCGGGACGGAGAGATTCCCATTCGCGACGAACATTGTCTCTAAGCCGACGAACGTCGATTACGATCTCCGCGCGAACCGCTGATGGTTTGTCATCCCCGACCAAGGCTGGCACAACCTCTAGGATTGTCGGCTTGGAGATGGGCAGAGCCATCCTTGAAGAACCAGTTGCAGAGAAATTTGTCTCGCCCGGCCGTCGTGATTCGGGTTTCAGGCGCCGTATTGCGTCCTCGATATCCCGCCGGATGCCATAGAATGACTCGCATCGATACAGCACGAGAGCTCGCCACAGAAAATCACCAACCGACAGATACTGTAGATTGAGCTTGGGCAGCGCCAGCGGGCGAGACCCATCGTAATGGTCGGTTCTTAATAGACCAGGGGCGAAGAGACTTTCCTCAGTAGGTAGCACGCTCATCTTCTGAGCGGTTTCCTGGAAAGTGTCTCGTCTCTCGAAGGTAGAGAGAAGCGCCTCTATGAGGAATCTACGGTCCACTGAAAGACTCGTCGACTCAGGATACGAGGTTCTTAGCCCCAGATACCCGGAAAGTTGAGCAAGCTCGTCGTCTGCAAGAGGTTCAAGAAGATTCGCTAGTTCCTCCCTCTTGTCGATCGATCCATAATTAGATAAAGCGAGGACAGTCAGCTTGTCCTTGAAATGTTTCAAGGCAGTGCGCTGGAGATTCGCGAGACTGGCGCAATGCCGGTCGTATGCTTCGGTCTTACTCTGCTGTGCCCCTGTTTGGTCGTCGATGGTGAAATACGTGTAATGAGATAGCAGGGAGTAAAGGTCGCGCAACAACCCGTTGTCCTCATCATTGAACAAAGGTGACAATGCGAATGCGGAGAGAACATGCAGATCTTGCAGCAGAGTATTGACATAACGTCTCGTGGGCAACGAGCTCTGCAAATCTACTAGAAACTCCACGAACCTCTCGCAATATGATATTTGTTCTGATCGTGGTTAGTCTCAACATATTTTGATAGAACTATTGTCAACTTACCTTTCTTGGGATTCTCAGCATAGAGTAAATTGAGGAAGTCCAGGGTAAGAGTATACAGCCATGACCTCTCAAAGCGCAGACGAGCTTTCGTCACATCATCCGCAGAATCATATCTCTTGGCTGCGGCCCGCCATGCCTTGCGTAGATGGGTATTCTGATCTAGCTTGTCATCCCGTTTCTGTTCTGTGGCGAGGTTATGCCAGATCGATATGGACACCAGCGGCGCACACTCTTTCCGTACAATGGCGCAGTCAAGGCTCTGAAATGCGTGTATCACAAATAACAGGATATGGGTCCTGATGGATTGCGACAAACTGTGGTCTAGACTCATTGAGAGAACTCGGCGAAAGAAATTCGAAAACTCGGCCGATCGATCATTGAAGATATCTGTGCACAAACGAGTCAGCGCCTGAGATCCTCGAAGCTGAACGGGAGTGATTGAACGCACCCCATGTTTCCAGTCTCTCTCGTCTCTTGACGTTGGCAATCAATACGATCAACAAGACATGGTGGTTAGAAGACTCTTCAGTGTATCCCGGCCAGAGGTAGCTGCTTCAAGTTAACATCGGTCACGGCGCATCATTCGGGGAATCCGGCGCACCTCTCCAGGATTTGCAAGCTTTCTAATGACAGCAGCGATTTGAATGGAAAGCCATCCTTCTCCAAGCCATCCCATATTTCCTTCTTCAGAACGTCGTTCTTGACCTTGACCTTGGTGTTCTTCTTGGTGGCCTTCAGCCAGTGCTGTTTCGCGAGCTGTGTGAATTCGGCCTCGCCTTCGGAATCTGTTGCATTCGGCGGCGCGGCGCTAGCTTGCGCCTTCGCCGCTGCACCGCTCTTCTTGAGTCTCTTTGCGGTCGGCATTGCGATAGCGATGCTCAGTCGATGCGACGGGGTAGAAGAAGGGCGTCGCGACTCCGAAATGGGGTAGGGCTTTGGCGACGGCACCTTACGCGACAAGAGGGCTGCTGCTGCTTGTCGATCCAAAAATTGTTGCATTTCACGCGAGGAGCCTTGGCGGGCCTTGCACTAAACAGCTGAGAGTGACACACTACGGTACAGTACCCCACACAATCTCATCGCACATTAGCGCCGCAACCCCTGCCATTGGTGTGGTGCCGACTGAGTTGAGCCTCCCACGCTCTGAAGAGGTCAAGAAAACGCAAGCTGCGTTGAATGGGCTATTGTTCTTATTCAACCCCAAAACCCATTGTTCGCCCGCACCACAGCGCCGTTCTCAACACGAACTTCCACTTAAATACTCAAGATATGCGAATGGCAACCTCATCTCTCCTCTGACTATTACCTTCGAATCGCAACTTGTCGTCCCGCGCGATAGCTTTGAACGCCTAGGTCGTGTCAGCTACAGGATGCCTTCTCTCGAGGTGGACAGTTACGGCGTCCCAGCCGTCACGACTTTCGTATCCTATTTCGAGGAGGTGCTAGTTGTCGCTGCTTCAGCCAAATCAACGACGACCATAGAACCGGCGTTGGAGGAATCAGATCTCCAAGATGTACTCAGTCGCTGGCCTGCCGCGTCCACGACTGTGGAGGTGAAGAAGGAGGGCGCTGGCAATAGGAAGAACCAGCAGTTCGCGGTGATTGAGACAGCGGTGCGCGGCATTCAGAGTAATCTAATAGTACGTCGGGCTTGTCGAGCACTCCCAAATCAGCTCAGCTCACCATATATAGGCGACTCTATCCATCGATTCACCCGAATTCGTCAAGGTGTGGAACCTGTTCGACATTCTATCGATATTATCGGATCGAGAACAATGCGACCCTGCTCTTCTTCTATGGCTAGTGGAGGAATTGCTTGACAGCCAGACAATTCCAGGCTGCCGCAAGATCTTCGACTATCTCGAGTCACGGCGCAAGAGGATAATATCCAAGCACTTTGCGGAGAAAAAGCTCATTATACTTCGAAGCTGCAATGAACTGCTTCGGCGATTATCCCGAGCAGAAGACACGGCCTTTGCGGGTCGGGTCTTCATCTTCCTATTCCAGAGCTTTCCCCTCGGCGACAAGAGCTCTGTCAACCTGCGGGGAGAATACCATACCCAGAATATCACAACATGGGATCAGACGCCTACAAAGAAGGAGGAAGATGAGTCCCCAGAGAAGATGGACGTGGACCCTCAGCCCAGTGGAACGAAAGAAGATACACAAAACAAGTCTCAAAAGGCAGTGTCATTTGACTCCCAGAAGCAATCACAGCCAGGGAAGCCGTTGGAGCCCGATGAGCTATATCCTATCTTCTGGTCCCTACAGGAAAGCTTCAACCAACCCAAAAAACTCTTCGATTCTGCTCACTTCACTCAATTCAAGTCTGGACTAGAGGCAACGATGACTGCATTTAAGGCAATCGAGGGCAATCAGGATAACAAAGCCTCCAATAGTCTGAAGAGAAAGAGAGATGACGGGGATGAGGACCTCGTCAACGCTTTCAACCCGAAGTACCTGACCAGCCGTGATCTCTTCGAACTTGAGGTATGTGAAAAGCCTACAATGATATCTTATCTATCTAACACCTCTACAGATTAGTGATCTCTCGTTCAGACGCCATGTCTTAGTCCAAGCCTTGATCATAATGGACTTCCTGCTGTCTTTGTCACCCAAGGCCAAGGAGAAGCTCGCAGCAATCCCTCAGAAGTCCGTCAACAAGAGCGTCGCTTACCTAGACCAAGCCCTGAGTGAAGAGGATGCGAAGTGGGCGGCTGATATGAAGAAGACCATTTCCGACTACCTAAAACAAGGCGGCGATGGGCAGTATTTCTACAGAATGGTCGACACCGTCCTCAGCAGAGACAAGAACTGGGTACGGTGGAAGATTGAGAATTGCGCCCCCATCGAGATGCCAGCTGTATCTCCCGAGGCGTTCGCAGACGCGACAAAGTCAGCAAGATCAATGGCAACTCACAAGAGGCTACGGGCCTCGGCAATGGGCACATTGGGGCTCGACTTTCTTCGGGAAGGAGATGATGAGGCTGTCTTAGAGAAGCTCAAAGCGGAAGAAAGGCACAGTCTGCCCGAGCTCTCAACCTTGGAGAGGAAGATTGCGGACGATGATTTCGAGATCGAGATGCCGACGAACGACGAGACGAAAGCTGAGGCGATCGAGGGCAAGGCAAGCAAGACGTGGCGTGCTTTACGGGTGGCGAGTAAATCCAAGTTGGCGCTCTTTGACAAGATCGAAAGCGACGACAAGATCGATGTGATATTCAAGGGCGGAGTTGCTCAGAACACTGATGAGGAGGAAGCTATTGACGAAGGAGAGGCAAATCAGGATGACTCAGGAAAGGGAGGAGAGCAGATATCAGAGAATGATGAAGGCATCAACGGCGATGGTGCCGTAGCAGAGGAGATCGTGGTTGCGCTAAGTTGAAAGACTAACCGCGACACTGTACATTAATCTCTTGCTATAGCTGAGCGGAAACATGCTTGATACCCTGAATATGCGATTGCAATCACAACCCACTAGTCAAACTATTCCCTTTGCGTGTAGATTCTTGGGAGTGCTTCTTTGTTAGCGACTTGTAACTTTTTCCGATATCGACAAAGAAAAGAAATTAAGGTGCTGATTACCAGCCCTTACAGCCGTGTCGTAAAATACACTGTCAGTTATTCGGGTTAGAAAAGGATGTTCACCCTCCCGCCCTTCACAGTAGATCAGCGTAGTCACTTTCGTTGCTCATTATAGTAAAGACAATGTCATGTCGTACGGTGATTCCAATTTGCGATCCTTATAGCTTCCGACATGGTTGGGACCAGTCTGCTGGTCCTCGTGTATGCCCTCAGACCTCCATCCATCTCTCAGCAAAGCGAATTGTTCCTCATCCTTATATCTAATCCTTCTCTCCCGATGAATAGACAATCACAGTATCGGGCTCCTCGTCGCTCGCCTTACGAAGAATAGAAACGAGGACTTCGGTCTCCCCATTCTCTGGCCAGTTGCCGGAGTGATCCCACCCGCGTCGTGGCCTTTTTCTGTCCTAGTGCCTCTTTTAGAGCAAGTGGGATGTCTGCAGGATGGGGGATTTCGTCGCAGGGGCGAATATTCTGCCCGAAGTTGTCGAGGACTTTCCTATAAAAGTCCACCATTTTCCAGATAATCGCCTTAGCGACAGCGGGTTTTTCCCGGGAAGTCGGAATCTCGCCTACCAAGGTGTAGAGATCTACCTAAGATCGTCTAGGTCCGGTCGGTAGGTCTTGCAGTACCTCAAATTGGAAGATTGAGCTGGCAGGATCAATTGCCGCATCGGTAATTTCCTTGATGTTCCAGATATTCGAAGTGGCGGCCGACCAGATAGAGCGTTGCACAGTGCCATCCACGACATCAGCTTTAAGCTGAGCTCGAGTGCGACTCGATATCAAGGCTGGCCTTGTTCCGCCATTCACACGTCCCTCTCCCCAAATATCCAAATAGGTGGCAGTCAGAGCTTCTGTCAGCTCCGTGGCTTCCTGTGGGTGAGCATCTCTTCTGATTTTGATTTGATCGAACAAATCACAAATGTCGCTTCGCAGTCCTTCAAAAGGAGGGAGATGGTGAAGCTGTGCGGAGTCCGGATCCTGTCGATGAAAGAGCACTACCCCATCCGGACTACCGTACTGCTGTGGAAAGTAATCTGAGATCGGTTGATTATCACTCTTGTTGGATACGTGGTACTCGCAATCAGCCGTCAAAGAGCCCATGTCCCAGCGTGTAGCAATCACACGCACGTCGACTACCTCGATCTTTTGAGGATGTAAAATCTGCAGGACACCGTTGGGGCCCACCCACGCTGTAGCTTGTACAATGGCCAATGGCATAATGCGTTCGTCAAAATAGTGAGGTTGGCCATTTGAAGGCACAGAGATAAATAGTCTTAAAGCCTTGAGTCCCGTGCACTCACGGAGCATAATTGCGGTATGACGCGGCACAGAAGGCTTGCGGTACGACCAGTAGTGGAGATGTATTTGAAGATGAATACCAGATATGAACGCTCGTCTCTGTGGGCACAGAGCAGCGATGTACTGGATAAGATCTTCAGCACTCTCGAAAACGAAAATATTGACCTGAGAGAAGTGTGAGTGATAGCATTCCCATGACTTATTGAGTAAAACATCACAAATCTGCGAAGATCGAGAAATGATTTTTACAGCAAAATTAGTTTGTTCATTGTCCTTACCCTGTAAAAGCTCCCAAATGCTTCCAAATCCTCCCAGATTTGGCGGCATGTTCTTGCGAGTATCGTCACGGTCAGTGGTGGTAGTTTCTGGAGCGGTTTCAGGGTCCAGAAGAAGGGGCGTGGTCGGAAGATGTTAGATCGGGATTTGATCTGTCTCGGTTGAATTGGTCCGTCCACAGCCGTAGCCAGCCTCCAGATTTTATCACGAATCTCCGGGGGAAGACTGAGAAGGTGTGCTCTGCCATGATCAGGCAGGGCCACCGTTCCGGTGCTGTCTGTTGCCATGGTCCCACCAGCTCGGATTGTGCTGAGGTTGCGTGATGATCCCAGTGAGGATGGGCGTGGGGATTATGGTGGAAGAGCAACTTTTATGCCAGCGTGGTAGACGGTTCGCGATGTGTGTCGCGACGGAGTATGAAGGTTGTTGATACGGGGAAACGATATGGAAGAAGAGATGGTGAAAATGAAGTGGGAAGACAGCTTAGGTGGAGAAGTAGGGAGTGCCTGGAGATAATCAGGCCTGACTATAACGGCAGAAAAAAATGGCAGGCGTGGAGGGTGATGGTCGCGAGTTGCTGGTTGAGCTAAGATGCGAAAATAGGAGTGGAAATGGGGCGTGATGACGACCTTGGATATCTTAAGCAGAGAAGGTGCCTCCAATCAAGCTCTAGCCCTTGCAAGGTCAGGTTTGTCTTAAACCAGAAATATGACCAAACAACGAAGGAGAGATGACGCGTGACTGGGATGGAAGGGAAGAAAACAAAGGCAAAAGAACGCGTGGGAAGGAAGGAGCGTCACGCCGTCAATCAAAGGAAGGTAGGTACAAGAGGACTGAAGTTGAGACCAACCTCATGAGAATTTCATTTCTACATACACGACTCCTTCTAAAGGGGCGTGGTGGTCTAAACAGCGGACACTACCGCAACACCTCCTACAAACCCAGTGCTATCCTCCCAGAAGGCAACCAAATAAAACGCCTAAACCTCACTTGCCCATCACAGGTGTTGCGCTCCCGCTGGACTGGCGCTGATGTGGATTATTGCCCTGAGCTGCTGCCGCCGCCGCCGCTTGCGCTTGTTGTTGGGCACGTAGGAGTTGCGCATATTGATGAGGGCTTGTGCTGGGGGCGATGCCGTTGGCCATCGCCGCCTGTTGCGCCGAAGCCCCAGCCGCAGCATTCATGGCCGTCTGCGCATTTCGTTGCATAAGATAGCGTTGGAGATTATCCATAGCGATCTGCCGACTCTGCTCTTGGGTCAGATTAGGGTTCTTAGATCTTATCTGATTCTCTATCTCGCCAAGCTGAGCAACAAGGCTGGCGGGAAGTCCGCGTGATGGTTGTACTACGTGGGTACGGGGTGACCCTGCAGCCACAGAAGGCATACTAAGCCCAGCGCCGGGAGATGTAGCCATTGCTGTGCCATTCGGTGAGTTGAATGATGCCATCATGGCTTGAGTATTGGCCAAAAAGTTTTGTTGGTTGATGCCGTTCATTCCGGCACGGACACCATTAGGCGATCCCTGTTGCGCACCAGAATTGCTTTGCTGCATGGGCTGAGATTGTGGGGCCTGCTGCTGCTGTGGCTGGCCCTGATGTTGCTGCTGTTGCTGCATCTGAACAGCTTGCCGTTGCTGTTCAGAGATGCGCCGGGCTTGTAGCATGAGATTCAGGTCTGGCTGAGGATTGGGCATTGGCATCCTATGGCCAGCTTGTAAGCCCGCCGCCATTTGGGCCTGTTGAACACCGTTCATTGGCATCGGCGGAACAAGGCCGCCGGCCGCCATTTGCGCTTGCATTCCCGCCATAGCATTAGGGGGGGCTTGCATGGGCATGCGGGGACGGGCTTGATTAGGCACTTGCAGCTGGCCATTGTTCACGCGAGGTACGCCCGCAAGAGGAGTTCCTGGTCCGACATGGTTTGGTATCTGCGGTGTCTGTGCTGCACCTGCAGGTTGGGGGACCTGAGCAACTTGGCCACCTTGGGCTCTGGCTGCCATTGCCTACAAGATATAAGGTTAGCTTCTCTCGCTACTTGAGACTTTGAGGATCTTTGCTAGTTGTCTTACCCGTCGGTGTACCTCTTGCTGTCGCTGGGCGTACTGTGCCATCTTTTCAGCCAATTGCTGATCACGCTCCCATCTCATCAGACTGTAGTCCCTTGGCGTCTTGTTCGGGCCTCTCTGCTGCTGTACTTCGTTGGCCTTCCTCATAGCGGCCAGCGACGCGGCATGCTGCTGCTTTTGAATCGTCGTCTCACGTTTCTTTGCAAGCTTTCTCATTGCATCAATCAAGGCCAAGTGCTTCTGGTTGCGACGACGCTCCACACGCACCGTGGTCGTCGGTCTCCGCCTGGGCACCGGTGTCACAGCACCGTTGGGACCAACCTGCTGCTGCGCTGCTTGACTTTGTTGCATAATCACCCGTTGAGCGGCATCAATGCGTTTCTGATAAGTCTGGAAATATTGCGTCTTGGACATGTCATTAGGCAAGCCCTCAAGCTGCACCCATCTCTCAAAGCATTCCCAGGGCGTACGTCGCTCTGCGCCGGAAGCGAAGCATGATTTTGTGGATATCATGCTCGATATAAGTGACCAATTGTACGAGTATTCGCGCACAAGGGCCTTGAGCTCATCATCTTCAGCCCATGTCCATTGCGAAGCCATGCGGCTTTCATAGAAGCTTTGGAGCGGCATATTGAACTCCGTAGGCGGTCTGAATTGATGTCCAGCATGGAGGCGATCGCGGATAGGTTTCATATCCGGATTGAAGAGAGCAACATCCTTATTCTCTGGCCCGGCTTTACTCAGATCTGCTGGTTCATTGTCGAACAGAACTCGATCGCCGCTGCTCTCCTCCTCTTCCTCATACCTGTAGCGACTTCTTTTACACGGCGGGCCGCTAGAGGATATGACCATTTGACCCTCAACATACTTGCTGAGCGGAAGAGCTGGCCGGCGCCAGTGAGCATCGGGATCAGAGTCTGATCCTGTCAGGTCAAATTTAGGTGCTTTTAGCGGCGCGCCGTACATCGGCAACTCGTCTAGAAGCTGATCAGACATTGTCGATTTCCTAAGACCAAAGATAACCTCATCATCCTGCAACGCAAAGATGGCGGATGGTGCAATAGTATCAACTGGCCAGTCATTGATCTCTTCGTCGACGTCCATAGGAGATTCGGCATCTCCAGTATGAACCAAATCGGGCACCGGAGTCGGAAGAAAGTCTATCTCTGCGTCCTTGGCAGAATCTGGCGCAGGATCTTGACTGGTGTCACCTTTGATAGGCGACGGAATAAGTGCCTTGACTTGCAGCGCTTTCCTCTGTTCGGGATCCGAGGCAACCCACTCGGCGCATGCATCGGCAAGATTACGGGCAACAGCTCTTTTCCATTTTCGCTCCTCTCGGAAGTCAGTACGCATCCATTTCATCTCCTGGAGAAGAACATCCCAGTGTGATGAGGGCCGCGTTGGTTCTGGGCACCTCTTCGGCTGCCTCAAAGACCATTTGTCGTTCTGCTGCAGATGATAAACTCGTCTGAGCACTTTGCATGCTTGGTTTTCAAGCAGTGAGATAGCGCAGTCATCAGTTGAGACAGTCTTATGAGCCTGGCCCAGGATGACTTCGATAGACTTCATCCATTTGGACTGTCGAGTAAAACCATCGACAAATAGAGTGGTGAAGTAGTCGTCAGAAGGTAGACTACCACCCTGGTCGCGACTTGGGACAACGGCATTTTCTTCTGATTTGTTGGCCTGCTTACCAAATAAAACCTTCGGTGCTTTATTGTAAGGCTTGTCTCGCAGTTTATCCCCAAGATTCATCCCAGATCGGCGAACCAAAGCCTGAGAGGCCCTTGTTTCTTCAGCGGTCGAGAGACCGGAGGACTCATGAGCGGGCTTCGGCACACCAAGTATTTCAGAGACAGACTTCTGCTTGATGGCTCCAGATGCTACCCGAGTTATAGCTCGATCAGAAGTTTGCGATGATGATGGCTGAGCTTGTTGCTGACCAGAAGTAGAACCGGGCGTTGGCGGTTGCAAATGGGCTGTTTTCTTTGATGAGCTAGAATCCAATTCTCCATGTGGTTCAAGTTGGGCCGTAGCAGTATCAGGCTCACGGATGTGACCTTCTTGAACACTGATAGACTGGTTGTCCGAAGGCGAATAATCCGGGACCAAGTGCCGCTCGTTCGATGTGGCAGATGCCGCAGCTACTGACTCTTTAAGCAATTGTGCATTGGCCTCTTGTAATGACGTGGGATCAGGAAGATCACCAGCATCTTTCATGTCAATATCCTGTGCTTCGGGCAGAGCCTGATTGCCGTCCGGTTTCTCCGGCTCAACCCCAGCATTCTCATCCTCATTATATTGCGAGTCCTCGTTGTCAGGGCTGGTATCTGTCGACACATCGTGAATGGCTGGAGTCGTTGCTGTCTGTGTGGTCGATCCTGGTGATGAAAGAACGTCTGGTATTTTGGAGGATTCTAGGCGCGGTGCCAACAAACCATTGTCGGCACCGACGAGTTCTGTCTTCTCATCAACATCCATTGATTCGGGAACCAATGACTGCTGAGCAGGGTGTTTGGCGTCCGCCTGTCGCTTCTTTTGACGCTCGTCTCCATCTCGGGCTGGTAGAGTGCGCCCATCCTTTCCGATCCGCTTCTGGCTCGTCGTCGAGGATTTAGATGTTGATTCGATACCCGTCTTGCCCACCTCTAGGTCGCCTCCTTCTGCGGGGATATCAGTCGCTGCAGGAGTTAATGTTGAACTCAGCGACTCGGGTGGTTGCGTCTTGTGCGCCTTTGTTGATGCAGCCTTTGACACGTCCTCCGTCAAGATCTGGCCCTCGTTGGCATCTACAGGAGGCGCAGGTGAGTGTCTTGTCTGTACAGCATGATCGAGGACCCGGAGGACATCGGCTGGACCATTGGTAGAGTTAGTTTCTGTCTTGAGAGATGCCTTTACGGCATCCTGGCTTTGTTTGCTCGACGCGATGGGAGCATTTTCATCCGGAACTGATCGTGAACCTGCAATATACTGTTTTAAAGTCTCGAGATTGAGTTTCGGTCGCGGAGGGATCTTCGATTCATTCAGGTTGCGTCCTCTGCAAGTAAGTGTCAGTCACGCTGAAATATGACAGCCCGAAACACGCTCTTCAAGTCGCGAAAATTGCATTATTGTAGTGCCTCAACATACTGTAAAATATCGGAGTCAACGAGAAACTGATTTTCGCCTGGTGTGGTGGGCGGCGCGTCGGGGTTCGTGAAGTCGAAGTTGGGGAGGCCATTTGGCTCGGTCGCGACGTGGTAGAGTTCACGAAGCTTTCGCTTTCGCGATGTCACGATTGCGCTGGAAATCATCAGCATCAAACAAAGTATATCAAAATGATCGCAAAAATCGGCTCTACCGACTGATGCCGCTCTTACCTGCATTCTTGCCGTTTTAATTGAAGAAGCTTCGAGCGGCCGGCAGGCTCGACCTCAGTCATAGCATCGGCGACCGCGACATCCGTTTTGGGGCAAAACGGACGTCTCAATAATCTTAATGGGGCGGCGGGAGATGAAAAAATCGCTCAGAATGGATGAAAATGGCGGTGTCGTGGTGTGGTGATTGATTGAAGGTAGAGGTTTTGCGGGATCACCAAATTTTCGTGCCGACGCTGTCTCTGCCTCTTCGCGGGCGTGGGTGGGTGCGCTGGTGTGCAGGTGGTGGTAGAGGAGGCAAGCAATGTGTTATCAGTTAGGTTGGGTGTGGAGGTGCCTTGATAATTAGCGGGAAAATTTGCTATCGGCACAGACTAAGGGACTAAGGCAATGGAGGGCCTCCTCCCTCCTGGTTGAGGATGAAAAAGGGGGGTAGAACCTTAGAATGCAGGCGTAGGACTTGCCCATTCAATTGTGGAGAGCATTTCCAGTTGGGTTTAGCGATGATGCAGCGTATTATCAGCACCAACCTGGGAAGCCAATCCAACAGCCTCTCCGGTGCAGTAAAGTGCTACCACTCCACTGGCTTCACGGCCTGGAAGGTTTCCCTAGCCTGCTCGGAGAACATCGCCAGCAAATGAGATATCATTTCCATCATCTTCTTATCGAATTCAACCTGTCGTCACAATGAATGCCTTAATCTGCAGTACTTGCGATGCATTCATCCACTTCAAAAATTCCTGATGGCCAGAATGACTAGCGCGGGTGGCTGACTGTCGAAGGCCGCCGCAAACAGCCTTCCACCACGCTGAAATATACAGTTTGTTAATGCAAAGCACCAGTGCCTTGTAGGCAGTGACTAGGTACCTAGGTAGGTCGGTATTGGTCAACCAGTTAGATCACCTCCCAGCATATCTTCTAAGTACTTAGGTAGATACCAGACAGACGATGCAACTCTTATGTCTACCTATGCTCGAGCAATGAAGCTAGAAATAGGTAGGCATGCATGAGGTCCTATATTGTGCAGTGGAAAACATTCGCCGTGTTGGCCAGCTGCATCTACGATATAGTAGAGTAGATGTTGGCTGTATGTAGACTTTAGAGCGACAAGCTAAGGTATATGAGGAAATGGATAATTTACTGTGTCGAGAATACATTCCTCAGGCCTTTTGGCACATTGCAGCGTGTAGTTTGGTTCACACACTGGGAGGTAGCTGAGATAAGCAGAGGAACCATCCCTTCAAACTGAGCCACGACGCCACGTGATGAAAGGTGCCTACGCCACACCTGAATTTCTCGGGGCTTGTCATATGCGACCATCAACCTACAAAGACTCAAAGGGAAAGAGACATACGTATCTGGAACGACCATTCTCTTCCCACTCACGGGCGTCAAAGTGTTATGAGCGAGGTTACGTGCTAAAGTCGGCTCTGCGACAATTCAGATCGTCAGAATGTCCGACGGGCAGTCCAGAATTGCCATCAAGTTTGGCGCCCCTCTCTCAGGGACCTCCAAGAAGGCGCAACGACCGCCTCCTCCACCTTCTACCCTAGGCAAGCGACACAGACACCGCTTTAACGCCGATTCCGAATCAGAGGGAGAGGACGAGACTGTCGGGCGACATGAGAGCATCACTGGTTTTGGTGCGGATGGAGCTGAAGTAGAGGATGCTCGCAGCCGTCAACGGAGAGAGGCGCAGGAACGCTCAGAGACACAGCGCAGGGGCAAAAGAGACCGATCAGAGGAAAGCAAATCACGGCAAAATACGGATCTGAAAGAGACGGACCCGCCAGACGAGGACAAGCCTATCAAATGGGGTCTGACGTTGACGAAGAAATCAAGTCAAAACGCCGATGCAGACCAGGCGAACGGCAACAGCGCGAAGGAAGATGACCAGAAAACCGCGGACGAGACTGGGCCGCCAAAGAGTGCAGATGAGCAGGCTCTGAACGCGTTACTTGGGAAGGCGGATAGTTCCTCTGAACGACGGGGCCAACGTACCGAGGATGATGCATATCGAGATGCCACAGATAACGCCCCGGACGTGGATCCACTGAAGATCTATGATGATCATCCAGTTGAGGGATTTGGGGCGTCACTTTTGAAGGGGCAAGGCTGGGATGGAAAAATGCGAGGCCCAAAGACAAAGGAAGTCAAGAGGCGGCCAAATCAAATGGGTCTGGGCGCAAAGAGCCTGAACGGAGCAGAAGACCTGGGCGATTGGAACCACAAGGGGAGCAGAGACAAACGCCCACGTCTAGACGAATATAAGCGCGAAAGAGAAAAGGAACGAAGTCGACGGGATGACCAGTATCGAGACAGTTATAAGCGCGAACGCGATAGGGAGCGTGAGCGGGACAGGGACAGGGACAGAGACAGAGGAAGCGACTATAGACATCGTGACAGGGACTACCGGCGATAACACACCAATAGAACTTAGACAACTAATTTATCAGCAAATATGGCTAATACATGCCATGTTTAGGCTTCATACAATGTCCTTACATTTTGCAAATGTCATTAAAGTACTGTCTTCCACTTACACAAATTGCATTGGAGCCCGCAGGTGGCTTTAAGAAGCGTTCTTATCGATAAGGAGATTTCACGGCCCCGCTAAAATTTTGGGGGAAAAAGTTCTCGAACCAGCAAGCAAATCTTCCGGCAGCCACATCACAGCACACCTTAACACAAGGCGACAGAAAACAATGGCGAAACGAAAGAGGGACAACGCAACGCCCGCTGCAAGTGCGAAACCCGAGGTGAATACGAAGAAAACCAAGCCAAATGGCTCTCGACCTTCAAAGTCAGGAGCAACAGTCGCAACCTTCCAGATTGTGACCGGATCCTATGATGGTGTCCTGCATGGAGTAACAGCCATGGTGCAAGCTGGAGGGGACGTCAAATTCGCCGACACATTCCTGTTCAATGCTCATACATCTGCTATACGATGCCTTGCCCTATCTCCGCCCTCGGCGCCCATTCCCGGGCAGTCGCAGAAGCTTATGCTGGCGACAGGGAGCACCGACGAGCGCATCAACGTCTACAACCTCTCCGCCCATCCCCCAAAGCATAAAGCAGACCAGGACCTGCTATCTTCTATCGCTCCTCGACCTATTCTCGAAAGCTCTAAGAACCGTGAACTCGGCACACTGCTCCACCACTCGTCGACAGTGACCAAGCTTGTCTTCCCAACGAGGTCAAAGCTTCTATCGTCCTCGGACGATTCGACCATAGCCGTCACCCGCACACGAGACTGGTCACTACTCTCGAGTATCAAGGCTCCCATTCCAAATGTGCAGGGTCGGCCAAGTGGCGATACGGCCCCTATGGGCGGCACGCCGTCTGGAGTCAACGACTTTGCCATACACCCCAGCATGAAGCTCATGATCAGTGTCAGCAAGGGCGAGCGCTCAATGCGTCTCTGGAACTTGGTGACTGGCAAGAAAGCCGGAGTTCTTAACTTCAGTCGCGATATACTCGCGGCGATTGGTGAGAGAAAGCACTCGACAGGTGAGGGCCGCCAAGTAGTTTGGGGCACCAGTGAAGGCGAAGGAGATGAATTTGCGGTTGGCTTTGACCGCAATATCTTGGTGTTCAGCATGGACAGTACGCCAAAATGCAAAGTCATGCCCGATGAGCGAACAAAGACGCACGAGTTCCGCTACATACAACTTGACGAGGAAAGCGATGCTACAGTTTTGGCTGTCGCCACTGAAGATGGTCGAATTATTTTCTTCTCTACAAAAACAGAAGATCTCATAAAGAAACCCGAATCTGAAGAGGAAGAGACGCAGTTGCCAACAGCTAAGCTACTGTCGACGCTCGGCGGCAAAGATGCTGGTGTTTCTGGGCGAATCAAAGACTTCTCGGTACTTCAATTAGAGAACGACCCTAAGACCTGCTACATCGTCTCCGGCAGCAGCGACGGCAAGTTAAGACTATGGCAATTGACCAAGGACGATTTGGCTCTCCCAAGCAAGGGGAAGTCAACGAAGCAAGTTGGGAAGCTGCTAGGAATTTATGATACTCAGAACAGGATAACGTGCGTGGAGGCATTTGTCATGATACCCCGACCAGATGGAGTGGAGGACAGTGATGAGGAGTTGGATGACGAGGTGGACGATGAATCCGATGGAGGCAGCGAGGAAGACTGAACATGCGAAGAGCAAAAGCCTGAAACAGCACATTCATGTACGACGGGTCTTGAGGGCTACGAACACACCTGGACCTGCCACAGTTCCCTAGGATTGAGCCGAGGATGCAGAGTGGCCACAGTTGTACAATCCATTCCTCTTTGAATCGAGGCTTGGTGTCTGTCAAGTCGAGACGACCGACATGATCGACCTCACGGAAAGATGCCGTGCGGATCGATAAGGATGCAGGCCGGTGTAACGGTAAGGCTGTCTGTATCTGCAGATCAACATGGTGTAAATCCATTTCAGTGGTTGCTCAGAAATTGTGCGACATTGGTGCTGCATATATATGGCGAGTCTGAGCATGCTCAGTTTTGATTTGTGGCCGAGACTCAACAATTGAGGAGCCTCTGAGTTTTATGAGACGTAGAGAAAACTGCACATCGGCTACCAACCCCGCACCCACCTTCAGGAGAGACAAAACTCTCTTCCATGCCCTGTTCTTGAGTGCCTGCGCTGTCTTCTCTTTTTCAGATTGCCTCGCTACATTCTTCTGGCTGTGCCCTTTATGACAGTAGCATCAGGTTCTTAAAAGAATGAACAGAATTGTTCGAATTTTAGTAGCAATTTGATGAATTTTAAAATGTGACGATAGTGTCCATTATCTCCTTAAGGACAATAACTTGTGGTGTATAGCTCTACTCTCGAGACTCGTCCCCAACTAGACTTGTGACGTACCTCCTAACATAACCAACAAAACACAAGCGTGAACAGTCTCAAGGACGGTCTCCTGAAGTGTCGACTGTTGGAAAAGGGGCAACTATGGGTCTACAGCAACTCCAAACTATCTTGGTCCACTGCTATCCTGACGCAATGGCAAAATGCATCACTACATCTTCTTTTTAAGCCCCCCCTGGCTGCCCATAGAGCGACTGATGCACTATTTCTGTACACTAATTACTATAGGTAATTAGTGTGCAGCCCGTAGCGAAACATAATGACCCGACTGTCCACCCATCGTTTTCCATTCTCTCCGAGTGTGGGGTAAGGGCGAATCAGAGGGCAGACAAAGTGCAGCAGCCAGCCATGGGCAAGAAATTGGAAACGCGGGAAGCCAGGCATGTAAAGCCCCTGTCAGTCACATGCTTTGAATGGGGTTAAAGAGTGCGCCGATCCAACGGGACAGGCCAGTAAACACATTGTTGCTTCTTTCGCGTTTGCATCAACTTGGTCTGGTCTGGCATGCGGAGGCGGCCTGCGAGCGTTTTCCTCGTGCCTGCACTGTACCTAGGTAGCCTGTAAGAGGAGTTTCTGGGGGCCTCTAGGAGCATGTAGTAGGCCGCTTTTGTGGCCGTTCGCTCTGCTGACCGCGCCCGCCTGCCCAATTTTCAGCATGTGAAATTGCCCAAAGCCAAGCCACAAAACACCACACCCTGACTTGGCTTAACGCACACCCCGGGTCCCCCAGCGGGCAGCTGAGAGCGTTTCAGTGGCTGCTAGGTCCCTACGATGCAGTACTGAGACATGAACAGCGCGCGCGGTAACCTCGCAGGTAGGGTACGCAAAGGGCATGTTACGTACCTGAGTACCTGGGTACAATGCACTGGCAGGGTCACGGTCCCGTCTGGTCCACTAATAAGGTTGGATTGCGCCTCTGTTGTGGGTGAAGAGTGTGGGAACAGCGATGCGAATAATAGAAGCGGCCGAAGCTAACTACCGTAACTGACTTGCTCCCACCCGGAGCCAGACTCCATCCACCTCTCCCGACACTCCATCTCTCTTCTCTCTCTCTAAAGCTCCAGCCAGTGACGGACAGCCTATTAAGTCCTTTCCTTTCCCCTCGTCTCCATTGCACAGTCAGTTCAACTTGAACTGTTTCCCAATTGTTGAATTGGTGAATTGGGACTCTGGGACTCTCTTCCATCCATCTCATCCGCTGCCAGGTATCATATTTTTGTTTCATTGTAATTTAGAGCCCGGCACTCCTCGCCGTCTCCACGTCTAATTACGTCTCCTCCACAGCTTGCTTTTAAGGCTCTGTGCCCAATTGGTCGAGCCAAGTTATTCTTGCACCAAAACATCCGCTGCCTTGCTGTCCACTCGAACCCGTTTCGAGAGGTCCTGCAACTGATAGGCCAAGGCTGCAGACTCGGTGGCTTTCGTCAGACGACAGGCCGGTTGGACTTTGACAGTCTTGCCCGTCGCCGTTATATAGCTGCGCATGCCCATCCATGGCGGCATAGGCTCACGAACCACAGTAGAGCAGCTCTAGTTTCGTGTTACCTAGACGAAGACCACCTGAAGAGCTCCCTCCCGAAGCTACCGGTCGGTCATTGGAGCTATACACAGCGGCAACCATGTCAGACGACGGCCCACCACTGATCCGGCCGATCCCCCGCCGACCCTTCGACGTCAACCTCACGACCCCGACGCCCCCGGACGAGGACTCGACGCCGCCGAGCCCCAACCCGGCAGCCGACCTCCACCGGCTCCTCGATCCTCGCTTCAATGCCCCGCCGGGAGCTTCAGAGGGGGGCTCGTTGAGCCGCGCCCAGTCCATAATGAACCTGACGCGCTCGACGCTCTTCGGCATCTACTCCCCCACGACGTCCAGCAGCGATAGGTGGAGCTACTACAACGACGGGCAGGAACCCGACACGCCCTGGGGCACCGGTGCCGAGACACCCGCCAAGAGAGAAAGCTTGGACGAGGGCACATATGAGCTTATGAAGGACCGCTCGACACTTCTGAGAAGACGGTCGTCGGCCCGTGTGAATCAGGTCGTGCCCAGCCCTCCACAGTCAACAACATCCTTCATACTGTCCGTGGCCATGCGTGCTGCGCTACTGTTTGGATTAGGCATGGGATATGGTGTGTTGGTATCGCAATTGCACGACGAGCAAAACATTGCGTCACTTCCGGCAGAAGGGCTAGTAAATCCGGGGTACAACTGGAGATACTTGACCTTTTGGGGTGTATGTGGTGTTGTGCTGGGGGGGTTACTGCCCTGGTTCGACGGCCTGTGGGAGCAAATATTTGAGAAAGCAAGCTTAGAAGACGAAGAGATCGAGTCCAAGAACGTGAAGGCTGATACCGACTGGGCGCTGGTAATCCGTGGAATTGGCGCCTTTGCTGGTATCGTCTTTGCTATCGTAAGTCATGCTGACTCTGCTCTCGAAACCAGTAAATATCTAACAATCCTATAGCGGAAGCTCCCGTGGGCATCGACGATGCAGGTTTCTCTAACCCTTGCGCTTGTTAACCCCTTTCTCTGGTACCTGATTGACCGGTCGAAACCCGGTTTCCTGCTCTCTGCCGCCGTGGGCTTGACAGGCTCGGCCATCTTGATGGGATTGAACCCGCAGATCGTGCCCACACCAGCAGGCTTTTCATCCGATGGTCTGCATCGAAATGGGACCGCACCATCTTTTGCAGAGCCGCTTACGCTTGGGGGCTTGGCCAGCCAGGAGACTGTGGAGACGGGGATCTGGATGCTCAGCGTTCTGTTCTGCAGCTGTGTATGCTTTGGAAATATCGGCCGCCGCTTGGCTCTGACCAGCTCGGCTACTACACGAGGACGGTGGGGTGGAGTGAGATGAGGTGAGGTGAGGCGAAGAAAGAAGGTAAAGGGAAAAAAAGCAAAATTTTGTGTCAGTATGACTTCCATGAAGCATTAGGATCAGGCTACTGTAAGTGGGCGAGGTTTATGACCCCTCATGACAGCATCGGATGGGAAGGCGGTTTTCAAAAAATGTCTAGGTTACTCAGGCTCGGGTTCTTGAAAGGGTCGATGATACCCTAGTGTTCTCTTTTTCTCAGAATGAGCCTTCACTGTCTGTCTAAATATTCCAAGCGATACCTCCCCTCTTGGGCCGATAATGAGACTCAGCCTTAGCGCTTCCATGCTGTGCGTGCGCATCTCCAGGCGACTTATCAAAAGAAACATCACCGAGCCTAGAACTTAACGTGTCTATCAAGCTGAGAACCTTCAGATTAGACAAAGCTCGCATGCGTAGTATTATATAAGGACCTGCTTGATCATACGCTGCACTATAGACATGAGGAGCCGCCCAATATATCTACATATTAGATATCAAATCTTATCCGAGAACGCCTCTGATGCAGCTTTTGATTTGGCCTTCACGTCTTCACCACAATCAATGGGCTCCAGTCCCATCATCACCATGCTGGTCGGTCGAGAGATCAACATGTCTATCGTCCACGAACGCGTGCACACATCGTTGAAACACCCGGCCGCGGCAGCAGGACCGCTATCACCTAGACCAACTCGTGAGTTTATTGCTTTCGTCTCACCAGCAGGATTAGCCGTCAGTGTGTGAGGGATGCCTACCAGGTTTCAAGATGCCCTTGAGCTGCTCAGGATGTTGCGGAGGCCGTCCAGCGGCGATGTTGTCCAGTTCGGTCATCGCGTATCGGGTTCGCTGCACAAAGTCCCAGATGTAATAGAGGGACTTGTGAGGCTGCGCCTGTCTGAATTGAGGATGCGCCTCGATGGCGCTGACGAGGTCTGATAGCCGCTGCGTGACCAAATCACGGACCTCTGCGCTCGGTAGGCTCGCTGTGCTTGTAGCTATAGGCATAATGACTTGGAGCTTCTGATTGGCGTGTGGAGATATTAAGAGATAAAGGATCGTGGGATTTGACGCGTTGAAGGCCGGCTTTTGAGGGTTCTCAGATTTTGATTAATTATTTTTTTTAGGGGGGCTATTTCACTTTTGATTTACGAATCAGGATATTACCGATGGAACGTGAAGGCTTAATATAGAAGTGAATACAAATGACACGCGTTTCTTTTTCGAATGCGCGTCACGAATTTCTGTTTACGGGGCAGTGAGAGCGACCAGGATGCGCGTACCACAGAACTATCTAGAAATGGGAAAGAGAAGCAAGCATGATCTTCAGGAGCTGTTGCCATTCGTATCTGCTTGAGAAACAAGCCAGTTACAAGGAGCAAAATACATATCGTCCTTCAATACATCTTACTATTTCATGTATACCACGGGCGGATAGTTAATCGGTTCTTTCGGGTTGAAAGTGGTGGGCTGGGCAACTGACATTTAATTGTATGCTAACATCTTTCAGCGCTATTACCTACAGAGGAAATCGGACAATTCCTAATTCCGAACCTTGGAGGAGAGTTCTCATCTATCATCGCAGACTGAGTCCTTGTATCAGATCACAACTTTTGGCTTTGTTCATTGTTGGTATGTCGGAAGAGGGAGACTGGCCAGGTGAGATAGGTGGCATCTCAAATTGGAAAGAGCGTTTCTCACGAGGTCGTGGCTGCTACTGTTATTATCATAGGTAAAAGATGGCGCAGTAATTTTACTAGGCTCTTCCATCTGCATATTCCAAATTTGCTGAATTGTTCATCTGTTGTCTTCAGTCATTATGGTGAGAACTGCTGAAGAATATACAAAGTCGCTTCCTTTAGTAGCTTGCTAAATGTGTTGTCTCAAATGAAATCGAAATCAAGACGGTCATTATCGGACAGCGAGATAACTTGCACGAGTGATAAGGACGTTTAGCGCCGTTTATTAGGGGTTTGGTTCCAAGAACCGGTCTTACGGGTACGGCGACCGCCTAGTCGTTCTCTAGAAGCAGGGGACTACCCTTTTCTTGCCTGAAGGGTTCGCCATTGTTCATCGTCCGGACAATTCCAAAAGACTATTCGGCATAGTAGCAGAATGCGGTCTTAGACGGGCGAGCGAGCGCCCTCTCAGCCCCAATCACAGCTGGCAACGAGGACGGGTCATTGTGGCTGGTTTAGACAACGGCGCAGCAGCACTGGAGCGCATCGGAAGTGAACCCTCGATCTGTACGCAGAACGCTCGATGACAGCGCTGCGATTCCAGGGGCGGCAGGGATCGTCGAAAACCGCACCTTGCCCGCCTGAGCTAGCGGCACCAATCTGACGTTTCTAGCACCCTTTGTCTGCTTGTCTCTCAGGTATCCGCAGGTACCGCATCTGCCCCGCGGTTTCTGCTGCGATTCAAAGGTGTTGATGTCAGTCGCAGCTCGAAGGGCAGCCACTTCGCTTGCCGGCAAGAAGCAAGCGCATACTCGACGAGATCCGCTCAACGATGGTTGGCCCGATGAGATTGATAATCTCCATGTCAGTATGGCCTTTGAGGTCTTACGAGAGTCGTTTAATGCCATGAGATCTCACCTGGGCGTGCTCGAGGCATGCGCGACGATATGCTTCTCTGCCTCTATCTACGACTTTTGTTTGATGTCAGGACCCCAACCTTAATTACCACCTCACCGAGACTTGTCTTCTATCTATCATGTCTTGTAGACCCAAGACTGCCAGTGGAGACTAGCCCAGAACCTCACATGGACGTTTTCGCTAAACCTTGCCTCTACGCTTGCACTATGATGCAGGTCTCGACCCGTGATACATCATCAGTGGCCCATCAGGCCGCCGAGGCTGACACAGTCAAGAGCTATTCAAAGCAAAGACCGAGAGTGATCCTTGGGCATGGCGCTGAAGACGGTGCGAGGACCAATGGCCACCAGCAGATCCCGATGACGCTCGATGGAGGGGTCCAGCATTATATGGGAGGAGGGCGGACGGGGAAAGATGCGACAGAAGCAACTGGATGATCAGGGGACTTCGATGATGCATACATATAAGTGCAGGGTGCTAGGGACTGGCTCTAAAACAGTGCCGTAAGCGCATCCAAGCCGTACCGAGAGCGACGGTACTTTGGGGTACATGCGCACCTCCGGCTCGCGTGTCGCGGTGGGGGGAGCGGCTCCCACAAGACGCTTCCCAGACACCACGCAACCGACTGATCTCATCACTTTCGGAGCAAGCAACTGCACCTGGATTGACGTCCCGGGCATCATGTATGTACACCGACTATGTCCCAAGCAGCTGGTCTTTAGTCTGTTTATGTCTTGCTCTCGTATTTTCCTCTTAGTCTAGTCGCCTTCCATGATGCTTCCAGCACACCTCCACATGACTCCAGCAGCGACATCGATTTCTAGCATCCGCACACTATGATTTGCCTCTTCTAGCGTTCAGCACACTCGTCACGAACTCCAGCAGTTGTTCAATCCTCATCTTGCACATACAGACAGGCACACAGGAGACGCCCTGACAATCCCATAAACATATCATGATTGCGACGGGCTTTATCCACTTCATGTCGTTAGAAACCCCCCAATGATCTGTCTGCGTAAACGATATTTTTTGCTCACGTTCCTTCCAGCGTTCCATTTTGGGAACTCGTATATGCCTGAGCTCTTTCCATAACCTTGTCATCATCGTATCATTCAACACATACACAAAGACGAATGGGTCGTGATACCCAAAGCCTGATCGGTGACTGCACATACAAAAGAAAACCCGACCGCTGGCGGGCACATCAGACATTCATGTCGCCAAACCCAGCAATCAGGGCGCCGGCATCAAGTTCTCAAACCATCTCCGAAGATGAAAAGAACCGAGTTGGCGTGCCTATAGGGGTGGGCTCCCTACGTTCAGAACAGATCAGGGAAGTCATCAGGTTATTCCAATGTCCCCGATGCTCATATCTACTGGAGAATCCAGTCACTCTACCATGTGGAAAGGCAATCTGCAAGAAATGCATACCAGAAACACATATCCGCGCACACATATCATACCCCGCTACCGCCAGCAGGATGCAAGGGTTCGATTGCCCCTTCGCCGAGTGCGGGAAGGAACATGCCCTCGGGGACTGCGAGTTGGATGTGGTACTAAGTAAGACACTCGCGAATGTCAGATTGGAATTGGAAAAACAGCAAAAGAATGCCAAAGCTTCTCAATACTCGGTCGACATTACAGAGAAGGATGAATGGGCTGTTGCGGGTATATCTTCACTCCACGAGCCGAAAAGCTCTTCTCATGTCCTGGGTGGAGGGCGGCTGCTCGCAACCTACTCGCTGGCCCAGATGGGGGAACTCGGCTATACGGCAGAAGCGAGCTATGCAGCCATCTCGAACGCAGATCAGCAAGGAGATTACGACTACGTTGTCTTGGAGCAGGTCAAAGCTACCGTAAGGACGGAAATGGATTGTCAGGTCTGCTACGCGTTATACTACGACCCTCTAACCACCCCGTGCGGTCACACCTTCTGTCGTCGTTGTCTTCAGAGAGTCTTGGACCATGCCTCCTATTGCCCAGTGTGTCGACGGCCACTTGCTATACCACATGTAAACCGGCATTCGAGTCCTCCAAACGACCTGATCACGAAGATTACAACCGCATTTTGGGCGGACGAGCTTGAGCTCAGGAAGCAGGCTGTACAGGGGGAGAATGTTCACGAGGACCGCGAGTTCAACACATCTGTATTCGTCTGCACTCTAGCATTCCCACGAATGCCTACCTTCCTCCACGTCTTTGAGCCTCGGTACAGACTTATGATTCGCCGCGCACTTGAAGGAGACAGGACCTTTGGGATGGTCCTTCATCAAAGGCCTAGAACATATCAGGACCCTAATTTCACAGAGCTGGGCACCCTTCTGCGGATTGTCAATGTCGAGTTCTTCCCAGATGGTCGCAGCCTTATTGAGACTATCGGGGTTTCTAGGTTCCGCATTGTCCGCCACAGCATGTTGGATGGTTATGTTGTCGCCAAAACCGAGAAGATAAACGATATTAGCGTTGCAGAGGAAGAGGAACTGGAAGCATCCGAAACACGAAGTAGCCAGCCGGCACAGTCGCCTGCACCCGACGGCCAAGTTGAAGAAGCACCGAGCCGACCCTTACCACTTACACGCCCGGACCTGGAGACGATGTCGACGAGAGAGTTGATGGACTTTGTTACAGATTTTGTCAAGCGCATGCGGGAACAGAGCGTTGGATGGTTGACCGCCCGTATCCTGGCGATATATGGGGAATGCCCAGACGACCCTGCCGTCTTTCCATGGTGGTTTGCGAGCATATTACCGCTGAACGACGAGGAGAAGTATCGATTGCTGGCAACGACGAGCGTACGGGAGCGACTCAAGATTTGTTGCGCTTGGGCCATAGAGTGGGAGGCCAGCAGATGGTAAGCCGTCCCCTAGCTGCACCTGCGATCGAGGTTGTGTATTTTGTTCTCGGGAGTGATACCGAGGCTGATATCATGTGCTTCAGAACGGTATATTGACGGACCTTCAGGTCGTTTCCCGGCTGCAACGTTTTGTAACCACCACTGTCACCAGCGTTGTCTTTTTCGGCTGGCTTAGAAGTTGCATATTGGCAACTTGATGATGAGAGCATTGCATGTAAGGAGTCATGGGGCGAGGCATTTTAATCACCAAAGAGATACCAGCGAGGAGCCAGTCCGAAGAAGTAGCGGTTTTATTTTAGTTGATATACCATATCTTGCGTGAACAAACATCCCTGACTGATCATGAACGTCTCTGTTCTGCATAGTGCGCCTATCATTGGTTTGCCTTACGCCCCGGGCGAATCTCACGGTCCTCTTCCGCAGATAGTCTTCCTGTCTCGATCTGAAACCTTCTTGAGGGTATACCTTTCTCAAACAGTATATCAATGTGTCGCACACTCAGGCCTTGTGTTTCTGGGATACGGAAATGTGTATACACACACCCAGTTGCGCAGACTCCAGCAAAGACCAGCGCAGTTCTCGGCCCCAAGTTCTACTCTTCAGCCGACAACATCAGTGGAAGGAGAAAATGCAAAGCGATCTGGGTCAGATTGTACAAGGCAGAGCCAAAAGCCATTGTTGGTGCTCGAAGGTGGATCGATGAGGTTTCTGATACAATCGAGAAGGTGATGGGTCCCACTGTGAGGTTGTAGGCTAGAGTAAATGCAATGAGCATCGATCCAGGTACCCATCCAGTTATCTGTGAAGCAAAACCAATGCCCCCAACAACAGTGAGAATTATGGTCATGGAGACGAGGCCGGCTTGGTAAATATGCAGTCTGCCGAAGTACTGCATTAAAGGCCATGATGCTAAGGTGCTGAGAACCCCGACACCTGTCAATGCGATATTGAGGAAGAAGATGACGGAATCGGCAAGGCCTGCTCTCTTGAAGAGCGTGGTCGCCCATGAGATCAAGCATGATCCGCAAAGTGACTGGATAACCCACGTCGTCGCAGCAATCTCGGTTCGTCGACGTGCTGGGTTCATGAATATTGCTAGATGACGACGGACAAATTCCCCATTGATTTGCGCCTCCTTGCGCGCATGCAGAAGTGCTTGCTCTCGATCTTCCTCCTCTTTCAGAGTCTGCACGAGCGCAGCTAGTTTCTCTTCCACGCGCCCATGGAAGTCTCTATGGAGTAACTTCTTCAAAGACTCCCTCGCTTCCGGAACATTGTGATTTGAGAGATACCAAGACGGCGACTCTGGTAGAAAGAAGATCAATACGAATAGCACACTGCAGATTACAAATTGGAAAGCGAATGGTCCCCGGAATCGCCAGTCCTTTGAGAAAAACCCTGCGGCTAGCAATGCGATAGCAGCGAACATCTGCCCGAGGCACCTGTATCCATTATTTTAGCAATATCCAGATTATGGAGGCATCGTTCTTACCAACACAGATTGATGACTGTAGTCATCATCGATCTCAACCGCGGGGATGCCACATCTGCCATATATCCAGGGGCGGACACTGAGTAAATACCGAACGGTATACCTTGGACAATACAGCCACCGAAGAGAGCTCCCAGGTGTCCAGCGTACAAAGGGATGAATGTAGCTAGACACGATGCAAGCAAACAAGTTCCGGTAGTAGCTTTGTAGCCGAATCGTTTTGTAGGAAGACTCGAGGTTACACTTCTAATGAAGCATCCGATCTGACTACCGAATGGCAATAGGGCTTGCCATATAAACGAGATCTAGTAGTATCAACGCCGTCGCATCAGCAAATGTTCCGTCAGAGTTTATTGACTTGGTGGACACAGGACAAACGTAACTGACCTGTATATCATCCGTCTGGGGACCTTGATCTCCGAACTTCCTTCGAAAGGCCGGGGATGCAAAGAGCCCGGTCACCAGGGCCATAGAGTAGCCTGCAAGGACAACAGAGCCCAGTAAGCCAGATGTTCGCTAGAATACTGGCCGTGCTTCCTTCACAGCTTCTGACATGGGCATAGTCGTGTCTCTTGTCTCCGCGGATAGGGCTAGTCGGCGGCGGTATTCATGCTCGTTGAACACCATCTCTTGTAATTCCTGCGGTGTTGTACGACTCGAACCAGCTTCTGTAGGGGCAGGGGCATGCATTGACAGCTGGAGTTCCATTTCGGATGGAAGACGTAAAACGGGAACCGGCATTGTCGCGCCAGGCATAGTGCATCTGAATGTATTGCACAGTAATCGTTTGGTCAATCTCTCGCGGGCTGTTAGAGCTAGGCTCTATGATTCGCAGTCAAAGAATGCAGAAGTGTATGTCGATCAGCAAACAATACGGATAATCCATAAGAGAAATTCTAGAAGTGGACGCCAATACCCAGCGACGTGAAGCGAAAACCTAAGAAATTGAAGACGCGATGAAACAAAGCCCTGGGAGGATGACAGTACATCAGGACTGGAAGGCTTCCCGAGGTCGGTGGGTAGGTCGTCGATTGCAGGCTCAGAATGAGGAAGGAGACTCTTCAACGTGACTTCCCCCTTTTCCAACGAGGATGCATTCCGTTGACTCAACGGACCCTGGAGACGGAAGGAACGCTTTTCTGGTCTGCTTTCGAGGTGTTCAATGCTGTCCATCCAGCCGAGAGGCCATGGAAACAGCCTTCTAGCAATTTAGAGACCACAAAGTAACCTCCGAGCGTGAGGACACCAGCTCACCTCGGGCTTTCTCCTGCAAGCCGTATACGAACGCAGATTCCTCCGGAGCAGCCCCCCCAAGCCCATGCTTCAAGCATGAAGCAATTCCGAACGACATTCACTTTCGACAGCCCCATTGGACTGACACAGTCATATGATACCAGACTGCCAGGTTCATCGACGGCGACTTAACGATAGGCGGTTAACCAGAAATGCGTGGCAGCTTCGACCCCGCCATCTGCAGCCCCAGTTCGTGGACCATTGTATGTAAGGAGTTAGAGCAATTCGGTCCAGACGGATTCGAAGCTGTCGTTAGCAGTTTCCGCGAACATTGGAGCGAAAGTGGGCATTGCCGTTGCCAAATGTGCTGAAGTTGGTCCGCGTGATCGTCGTGCGGGCAATGTTTAGGTGTTGTCAGCTCTGAGATAGGACACTTTCGTGACGTCGTGCGTAATCGTGGTTGACGTGAAGAGAGGTTACCAGCGTCTGAACCCCCAAATTACCACCGGCAAGCTCTCCGGTTGGACTGCTCTGCCGGTTGCCCAGATTTGTGGCCCCGGGAACCGCCCACCACGGCATGCTGTGCCCCACGAACTCCGGTTCATCTACCGAACCCACAAAGTACTTATCAGTCAAAGTACCCCGGACTGTCATTGTAACGGTGGAATCTCATCTTGCATTTTCAATTAATACGACACACATTGTAGTGTGAAGCCTGGATTTTCTGGTGTAAGTCAAGTCTTGGCTGAAAAGAAATTGTATCCTTTGAGAGCCATACAAGAGAATCGTGATCATGGCTGCCAAATTATGGTGGAAAGAGGGTGTAGTCTATCAGATCTACCCGGCGAGTTTCAAGGACTCCAACGGAGATGGCCTAGGAGACATCCCAGGTATAATCAGCAAGGTTCAGTACCTCAAAGATCTCGGCATTGATATTGTCTGGGTCTCCCCAATGTTTGAGAGGTGAGAGACATCATGTTGGATCAAGAGGTTACGTTGAGCCCACTAACAAGAATAGCCCCCAAGTCGATATGGGATACGACATTTCGGACTATGAAGCAGTATACGCGCCGTAAGTATGAAGCACTGAGAACGCTTGAAAATTAGACTAACATTCTATAGATATGGTACTGTCCATGATATGGAGGTCCTTATTGAGGAGTGTCATAAGAGAGGAATGCGCCTGATACTTGATCTTGTAATCAACCACACCTCAGAAGAACACGCCTGGTTCAAAGAGTCTAGATCGTCCAAAGACAATCCGAAGAGAGATTGGTATATCTGGAAGCCTGCTAAGTATGACCCGAACGTGTGAACAATAGACACAGACAGCTTGCTGATTGCCGAAGGTTTGCGGCCGACGGAACGCGAATGCCACCAAACAACTGGAGAAGCCACTTCAGTGGGAGTGCCTGGGAATGGGATGAGAAGACGCAGGAATACTACCTCCATCTTTTCGCCAAGCAGCAGCCCGATCTTAACTGGGAAAATGAAGAGACGAGGAAAGCCATTTATGACAGTTCAATGAGATTCTGGCTCGATAAAGGTGTGGATGGATTTCGAGTTGACTGCGTTAACATGTAAGTTCTCTTCACACTTCACACGGGCACGAAATACCCGGTTTGGTGATCTGCCGTACAGCATATGCTAACACATTTCAGGTGTAAGCAAATTTCGAGGCACGCACTGACTGAACAAATACTGAAATCGAATAACAGACAGCAAAGGCCTGGAGTATCAGGATGCGCCGATTTTCAACGCCAGTGCAGTCGAACAGCCGGCCTGGATGATCTACTGTAATGGGCCACGGATGCACGAGTTCCTTCGTGAAATGAACGAGACAGTTCTAGACAAGTACGATGCAATGACAGTGGGCGAGCTACCACACACTCCTGATCCCAAACAAGTCCTTGAGTATGTGGGGCTCTCAGACAGACAGCTCAACATGGTCTTCCAGTTCGATATCGTGGATGTTGGGCAAGGCCTCTCGTATAAGTACCAATTCAAGGAGTGGAAGCTACCTCTGCTAAAAGGCATCATCTCGAAGTGGCAGCAGTTCATCGATGGTACCGACGGATGGACGACCGCCTTCTGCGAGAATCACGATCAAGGACGTTCTGTCTCACGATATGCATCTGACGCACCAGAATATAGAGTCAAATCGGCTAAGATGTTGTCTATGATGATGTGTGCTCTTACTGGTACACTTTTCATCTACCAAGGGCAAGAGATTGGCATGATTAATGTACCGAAGAACTGGGGAATTGAAGAATATAAGGACATCGAGTCTCTAAACTTCTACAATTCTATTGCAGCTTCGACCAACAACGACAAGGAGGCGCTGGACTATGTGATGAAGAGCATCCAAATTCTCGGCAGAGACAACGCCCGCATACCCATGCAATGGGACTCTTCACCCTATGCCGGCTTCACCAGCTCCAAGGACGGTGCCTGGATGCGAGTTCACGATCTCTACCCTGAGATTAACGTGGCCAAACAGCAGAGCGAACCGGACTCGGTGCTGAACTTCTGGAAAAACATGATCAAGTTCCGCAAGGAGAACGGCGACATTTTCATCTATGGCTCGTTCGACATTTTTGAGCCAGATAACGAGCAGACTTTTGTCTTCGCAAAGAAACACGGAAACAAGAAGGCGTTGATTGCACTCAACTTCACCAACGAGGAGCAGACAGTAACTCTTCCCGAACCAGGCTATGTTTTCAAGGTTGGAAATTACGATGCTGGGGAGAAATCTGAAATGCCGTCAAGCGAGACAGGATTAAGTCGCGTCTTGCGTCCATGGGAGGGAAACCTGTATATGCTTGATCCCCTGAACTGAGGAGTGTTTTGACTTGCGTAAAGGCATCTAGAGGTCAGTCTGTACCAAAGCATAGTTTGCAAGACCTAAGACATTGAAATTTGATCACATTGTTTTGTAACTGTTCACAACAGCAACTGGGTCAATGCCTCTAGATTCCATAATCTAACAATAGCGACCTTTCAGGTTCTTTGATTCTCCCAACTCCCAAGCCACCTCCATGACTGAGCCACCTTGTCCACTTCCTCGAGCGCACCCTTCACCATTCCATCGGGATCGTCAAGCTTACTGCCTTCGAACTCTACCAGAAACAGATATTGGAAAGGCTGGATTAGGCTCGGCAAGCTATTGATGCTCGTCAGGTTCAGCTTATATTTCTTGAAGACATCCAACACATCCGCCAGTGCACCCGGCGCCTTATGTGGCACCGTGAACGAGACCAGTGACTTGTACCTCGCACTACCCAAGGCCGCAGCATCCTTTTTGCTTGATGCACTAAACTTTGGCGCCCCGCCCTCCGCGCCCCTGTGAATTATGAAGAAGCGGGTTGTGTTGTCGTCGCGGTCCTCGATGCACCGGGCCAGGATATCCAAGCCATGCATCTCGGCAGCAATCTCGCTCGCAATGGCCGCACTCTGGCCCGTCTTGTCCTCGCTCGCAAGCTGGGCGGCCTTGCTGGTCGAGCTGACATCCATCTGGTCAACGCCTTTGAGGTACGTCGATAGGAAGGCAACAGTCTGGCCAAACCCTTGTGGATGCGAGTAGATGCGCGTGATGTGCTTCAGGCTGCTCAGCGGCTTGGCCCTGGGCTTCAAGGGGTTGGGGTCCGTTGCCGTCGGCGTGCACTGCCCTGGGGAGAGGGACTCATCCAGAAATCGTACTGGGCTCTTGTGGCCCAGTAGAAAGTGGTGAACGTCGAGATATATCTCCCCACAGACAGACAGATCTGTATATACGCCATTTCTGTCTGCTAGGTTGTCCAGCGTGAACATGACTGGCCCATGTGTGGAGTTCTCAAAAGGCACAACGCCATACTCCGCCTCTCCAGCTTGTACCACATCAAAGATGTCTGACCAGAGTGTTAGAGAGGGAAATACAAGGGATTCTCAACAAAATAACAGTTGAGACGCATTGGACATGCCTTTGATATTAACCACTGGCGCCAGCTCCCATGCCTGTTCCGAGAAGGTGGTCTTTGTGGCCTATAAGGAGGTGCATAGTTAGATACAAATCATTCATCGAACCTCCAGCTACAAGAACATGCCTGATGAGAGAACGAAGAGAGTGGCCCTAGAAAAGCAACCAATGGCTTCTGCCGGGCCTCAGAGCCCTCGTTTGTCATCTGCATCTCGGGCAGGCCTATTTGATACCCAGTGTCGGTCACAACGCTGAGGATGCTCCGCCGTTACAATGATTTCCAGCACGACAATCGAGAGATGGAGAGGTAGATATTCCGAAAAAGCCCGTGTTCGGTCACATCTCTTTCCGCCCCAGCTAATACATCATAAGCTCTCGCGTCAGCGGAGGAGAGGGGTTGTTGGTTGGAGCAGGTCACGGCAGATTATCACCGTTTGTATGTTACGGTAGTGCTGGTCTCATTCGTGAAAAAGACGTTATGGGTCCGCTGAATTTCGGGACTTGTGTGCTCTGTAGTCGACTTCCGGCACCGCACCAAAACTTTTCAGCCGGCCCGCCGTTTTTAGGCCGGCTCAGACGTCTCTTATACCTAGACCAACGACTCCGAAATGGAAGCACTGAGCGCATCTGCGCAGAGAAATCTTCTAAATGGGCTCATCCGCTCATCCGCTACTCATGCGAGTATGCGCTGCAAATTTACTTCAGTACTTGTATTGTTCTGGCTTCAGGCAGTCTCCTCATACAAGCATCAAAATAAATCAAGGAGAGGCATCATGCAAAGTCGATACATCGGCAATCAATATAAAGAGTGACTTTTGGTCAGTAGCTAAAGAAGGGCAAATATCGTTGGACAGTAATGGTATCAAAGACGTCCCACTCTGGGCTTACCCGCTCTTGGGGGCTTGCAGATGTTGTCTAGAGGATGCGATTCTCGTTCTTCCGCTTTGATACCCAGCTCCTCTCTCTGAGACGCAAAGCTTCCTGACCTCTTTTCTCCTTCCTGTCTATCCTGCCCCCTGGCTATGAGACTCTCGCTGAGTACAACCTCTCAATCGTCGCAGGGCACCCGAGGTAGCATCTACACACGTGGTCAGCTCAGTCGGACTCGTTAATGGGCGAGCCTAGGCACACTAACCTCATCAGAATACGCAGTAGTAACTCAAGAAGTTGTCATTACAGAGCGGAGCGGGCTTGGACGTGCTACCTGATGAGTGGAGTGGCTTGGAAAGGCTGGGAAACCTCTCATCAAGCGCCGATCAGCAGGCGTGACCCTTGACGGGCCACGCGGCTTGACCAGCGGTTGAATCTCAACAGGTGGTGGCTCCGACGTGATTACTTGAGTTGGAGACCCCTCGTTATCCACGAGGGACTCGGTTGGTCAATCTAAGACTATCAGCACATGTCGAAAACAAAAGTCTTGCAGCACCTACCGTCGTAGTAGTCATCATCGTCATCGATATCAGCTAACTGTTCGAAGTTGACCTTGTAGCGGAGAATACCACCAATGCCGCCAAAGCCCTTGACGAACTGGTTACCCTCTGTCGATCGGTCAGACACAAACTCAAGAGTCGTGCCGAAATCCTTGTAGTGTTCCGCGATCCACTCGAGGAAGGATTCCTGAGAGACAACTTCCATCTCCTGACCAGTTTCTTTGTCCATGAACTTGTCACGGTTGGCAGTCTCCTGCTGCTTGGTGGTGTGCAGGATAACTTCAGCACCTTGGCTGTCCTTGAGGACCCAGCGCGTGATTTCGAGATTCTCAAACACGATGAGTGTCTCCACGGCACCGAGCTCCAGTGCCTTGAGAGTGTCCTCAATACCGTAGCATACGCGTCCTGTGTCTTGACTAATTTCCTCAAAATACTTGCCAATGAGTTTCTTCTCTTGGATAAACTTGACGTTGCCGAGTGTCTCAGAAGAAAGCTCGATGGCTTGATTGAATCCGTTCTCGCCACCATATGACACATCGACGACCTTGATAACCTTGGAAGCAAGGCGGCCGTCGAACATGTCAGAAGCGTTGAGATCGTTCTTGAAATCAGCGGAACCAGCAAGAATTATACCGGCAACATTGACCTTGTCGTTGGTGATGAAGTTCTGCACTGCCAATTCGGCTACCTTGCGAACATAGTTGTGACGTTTCTCTTCTCGCAGACGGGCGAAACGCAGCGCAGACTGACCACCACGACCGTGCTTCTTGGGTAGATCAACAGAGAACTTGTGAACAATGTCTCTGGTGTTGCCGCTCAGGGTGCCGAAAAGAGCGCCGTTTCCGTCCATGATGATAAAACCAAACTTCTGATCAGATTCAAGGAGCTCTGCAAGAGCCTCGGTATGAAATTTGTTGTCGCAGAGGTAGAGAGAGGTGTTGATGGGTTTGAATGGCTCAAAGTCGATGTTGACCTTTCGTTCCTTGCCTTCCGAGGTCAAGATTTCACCACAGTACACCACGAGGCCGTTGGGAGGGACCTTGTTGTATAGCTTGAGTCTCTGCTGAGTCGAAGTGATGGCTGACAGCACGGACTGACGATTGACACGAGATTTAATATTCGACGCGGTACCCTACCAACCTGTTAGCAGGCCGATTCACTGTGAGAGATCCGGCAAACACGTACGTATTCTTCAGCCAACATCTTCGCGGCCCTGGAAACTTGGTCCTTTGGCGCTATATCCGATCAGTTAGCACTATATCCTGGGTAGGTGAATCATGAGAGGGCGCTCTGTCACGTACGGATGATCAGGGAAATCATAGAGGTACCATTGCCACGAGCAGCCTCGAGGCGTTTAATCAGTTTCTTCACCTTCCATATCTCAATCTAGAGGTCTGAGTTAGAATACAGCATATATGTGGTCGCCGATACTGGGGGCTTCAAGTCGCGATGAGGCAAAAGGGAACGACTAACATTCTTCTCCGCTTCGTTAGCCTGCGCGTCAGACATGTTGTCCGGGTGGGCGAAAGACGCCGCGGCAAGTGAACAGGGGGCTCTTTTCTGTCTAAGGAGCGTAGAGAGAAAGAAACAGAATGGCCTCAAGGGAGAGCCGGGAGCCTGCGAGCTTGCACTTGTCAACAAAGATGTCGATGGCGGGGTCCTGTGCTGGGGGAGGGGAAATTCAAGAGTTGAAGTATGAAAAGTGTGCCATGCTGGTTTAGAGGGGCTCGGGGGTTACCCACATTTCGCACTGCCCTGCCCCCGCGCCCAACCGCTACTATTGGTGCCCTTGGCTTCCTTTAGGCGACCTGAGCCCGAGTTCTGCTGGTGCGGCCCGGCTTTTTTCGCGCCACCAAAACTCTCCAGGGCTGCTGTCAGAGCTTGCCTTAATGATGAGGTAACGTGCAGCGAAAGGGTGGATCCCCATCCTCTACTCCTTGATACCCTCAATAGCTAACGCGGTCTACCTACCTACCATACAGAGAAGCACACAGCTGATTTTGACGACAGAGAGGCAACCTTTACCAATTAGCGACAGGTTCATGACTGCGTTCGTGTCAACGATTATTCAAATTGCTGCCAGGTGACTCGAAGTCGACTCATCCTACGTCACAGCCTCCTTCGGCACACTTCTCCAGCAGCTACAGCTAGCGAAGAACCATCACTAGACAAGCCGGCACATACGCCCGCCGCCAATAGCCAGCAGCACCCATGGCGTCCGACATACCCATCCAGATCGCAGAGACGATACAGACCGCGCACATCAAGAGAGATCCCTCGCCGCGGCACGACCTGAACCCCTCGACCGCCGCCTCAAAGAAGATACCTGTTGCCCTGGACGAGGTTCACGATGCCGATGATGAGGAGGACATCCCCTACAGTGTCTTGCGGCCAAGGTCACGGTCTACACACCTACCGCCTCTGCCTGATCTGCGCTTTGAACAGAGCTACCTCCACAGTATAGCCGCTGCTGATACTCACTGGAAGGTTGCATGGATCACGATACGGGATCAGGTATTACCATGTTCTGTACCAGGTATGCTGAAGTATGCTGATCACCCGTTAGATCATGATGCCCTTTGCTCAAGGTATTCTCTACAACCTTGCTATATGTGGATGGCAATCTTGGAACAAGAACGCTCGCGTACACGGAAACACGGTGGGTGCTAGAGTCAGGAGGTGGTGGTATGGAGTGAACAACTGGCCAATCCCTGCGGAGAAGAGGAAAATCTGGTAAATGACGAGATGAATGAGAAGATTAACGGTCGATAACCACGAGTGCGCCGTGTCTGCATGTAAAATACTAGGGGTTTGGAACGTTGATGGCGCGCACAGGAATTTCTACGCGTCACCACAAACCACATATTTGGGGATATTTTATCCAGTATACATATCTATTAATGTATCATCATGCTCTAGGTACCTCGGCGATTTTCGTAAAAGCTATCACAGCTGACCATCTAACGACACCGTGTCGTGAAGAAGTACCTGACCGTACACCAGATCTTTTGGTAAAACCCTAAACTCCTCATACGTGCTGAATTCATAACATGATAAGGGGAAAATTCACTCCCCATTGACTATGTTGATCGGTCGTGGGACATGCTGAACCTTGTCTGGGCTTCCTCTAAAAGCCAGAGAGGTAGATACACCGCCAGACGGCGTCAAAGGAACCGATGGTTCAACATCGTTAGGCATCTGCGGAGCGGGGTCTGGTGTCTTTCGCTTGAATGCAACGTTGACCACGTCACCGGTCCGCTCTGGAGTTCCAGTGGAGATCTGAAGGGGGCTGGCAGGTGAACCAGAATCCCCCGAAGGTGAGGCAGGGCTTCGGACATCGGAAGGCGAAGTAGCAGAAGGGGTATCCTGTAGCTTGGGCTTTGCATTGGCCATACGTGAGGCTTTGCCGTCCTTGTCAAAGTCGACCTTGATGCGGAGTTTGACGACACGGCTTTGAGAAGAGTCAGGACTGTCGCCAAGATCGTCTTCGTCGAGGCTTTCGCGATCGTCCTCGAACTCCTCCTCATCATCGTCCTCCTCGTCAGGGACGTGATCATCCTCTTCATCATCACCGAAATCCGGCTCACTATCTTCATCCTCATCATCGGAAAGATAGTCTTTGCGCCGCTTCTTGTTCTCGCCAGCCCAACCATTCATGCCATGATTGACAGCCGCAGATCTTCTTGGCCTGCCAGTTGGGCCAATCTCGTCGCCATCTTCATCCATATCGATGTCGTCGCCGCCGAGATGGGCATCTCCAAGAACACTGCCTGGCGCGCTTGTTGCGCCGTTGCTAAGAGTCTCGGCGTTTAATCGAGCCACGGGGCGCGACTGACGGCCACTTGCAGTTATGATCGGACCAGAGTCCATCGGGGTATGATTGCGGGTGTTGCGAGTGGATCGTCGATTGGTAGAATCAGTGTAGAAGTCCTCGTCGTCAGAGTAAGTGTATTTGGCTCGCTTGCCTCTGGTGCGACCCTCGTAGAGAGAGAATCCCACCTCAGGACGTCGGAATTGTTCCTTGCGGCTGCGGCGATACTCGCGTCGTTTGCGCTTCTGCCACCCCAAATGTTAGCGCTCCCTGTAATGTGGCTGCTGTTTTTTCTTACCTCTTCCTTCTCCTCGAAACCTGCGATAGCATTGTTGATTCTAGTAACAAGCTTCCTCGCATTCGGTCCTCTGTCGGTTAAGGTCAATTTCTCGGCCAGAGCCTGAGCTTCGGGGATGCTGCCTGCGACGCTCCACCATGTTCGGTTGAAACCAGCTGGGTTGCTTTCGCGATAGATGCGGAAAGAACTGTCGTCTTCGCCCTCGACTAGGAAGTATCGACGCTTATCTCCATCTGAGCCCCATGGCTGGACGGAAAGTGGCTGGTTGAGATCATCCTCATGGCGGTTCTGCTTATAGGATTTGTTGATGGCACCTTTGATCGTGTCGGAGTGCGCGAGAGACCAGTATATGAGGGACTTGAGAAGGAGAAGCTAGAAAACATTAGTCTAGGTAATCAGCGACCGAAGAAGGGCAGCCATACTCTTTGGGTAGGGGTCATGGAGTTGAACGAGCCACCACTCGAGAGGGGACTCTTACCCTCCCACTCTGCTGGCCATTGAGAACTGTACTCCTTGATCGCATCCTCCAAAGCGCGATTGTAGTGTCCAGGCCTATTGAATGCGCTGTTAGATGTGTCCGCAAAAAGAAGGCAATCAGACATCCTGAATACATACTTGATGTCTTGCTTTCGGTTCAGCAGTAAAACCAAAATTGCGCACAGAAATCGCTCGACTCGTTCGCCAGGGATAGATTGAACAATATCTTGCTCGAGTTCGAGAGGGCCGAAATGAGGGAGTGTTTTGGGGAGTTCGTCCTTGAATCGCTTGCGGAACATGACGATGAACTAGAGGTGGCGGAAAGGGCAGCCTGGTCAGCCAAAGTCACCACGCGCATTTTCGCGTTCATCCGACTTTTGGACGCGCCAAAAGTGAGGGAACACTCACTGCGATGTCAGGATTATCTGCCAGAACATATTCGTGCTCCGGAGACGGGGATCTCTTGCGCGGCGGCGGCGACATCTCCTTGGGCGTTTCTGAGGCGTTCTTGGGGATCTTATGGAAGAACCTCAGAATGCCGTCTGGTTGTTTTTGGAGAGAAATGTCGCCTTCATCGTCGGAGGGGGCAGGAGAAAGAGAAGAGAGGGAGGAAAGTTCGGAAGAGTCATCGTCGGCCATGGCTTGGGTTTTGTTGTGTGCAATGGCTTGCTTTGACGAAAGTTGTGAAAGGGCACTATGTAAGTAGGAACAGTAAGTGGGAGGAGGAAAGACACCAAATTGGCAGCGCACTAGGTAAGGTATCTATTTCCACGCCAGCAATAGAAGAGCCGCACCCTCAAATCCTAGACGATAGACAATTTGATAGGCTGAACTACTTTCTATTATGACTGGCCACTCGAAAAAGCATAGTATCGACGTTCCGCTATGTAGACCGCTTGCTCTCGACTAGAGCCCTTGATGAGGGAAACCCTAGCCTCGTCATCTCTGATCTGCCGCTCTGCTGTCAATCTAGTCCTCTGCCTCCCACCCCGCTGATCACGATAATGATATCCAAGTTGATACACATCCTCCACAAATATGTCCCGTGTCTTAGCTTTTCAACAGTCATCATCGTATCCCCATATCACCTCGTCAGCACCAATGATAGCAAATTTGCAAATATAGCAATGGTCATGACAGCCATGGCTGACAGCAGTCAAAGAGCTGAGGACCTTGAAGCGAGAAGCTTAGTACAGCATGAGTCCATCACCGACCTCTGACTTGATGGGCTCTGTGTACCCCATGGCATCTGCAACTGCAGCCCCGCCAAGCTTCAAAAGTCGACTACCAGGCGTCGCATCCATCACCACGCGATTAAACCCTGCATTATCATTTGCATCATCCGGTGAAAACGGTGCGTACCGTTGTAAACGACGTCGCCGTGACGCGCACCAAAGCATCTGACCATCGCGATATATGCCAACTTTGGCCCTCTCACGTTCTAAAATGCCAAGTGAAACTTTGACGATATGACCATCCCAGGTCCACTTGAGATGTGAATAACAGTCAATCGCCTTACCTTAAATGAGCTTTGAATACCAAGGGCAGTGTATAACTTGCTTGGTCTCGGCGTCAAGGGATGGGTTGGGGTGCGTATGAGTCGGTTTTGACTGCCGACAGACGGATTCAGGAGGCCGAAAATGCCCATCGTGTATCATTTGCATCTTTTCCCGGATGCATTTCCAGATACTGCTACCAAAACATGTTGGATAGGTCCTTGGTGCATCTGGGAGTCATATATGCTGGTTAAGGGTCACCGCCTGATCGCTTGATCATTTCCGTCTGCCACCACCTATCGACAGGCGCGGTTTGTGAGCAAAGTGGCCCGTTCTCTCCGCATCCCAACCCCGAACAACTTAAAAATTCCAGCATGTCCACAAACAGACTCTGAGATGTAGATGAAGCGCGAGAGTGCTTGGAACTCATCAACAAGGCAGTAAAAGTGCTATTTGATCCATCCAAATTGCCCTCAGACGTGTGAAAGATGTAATAAGCAATAGTAAACAGCATCCATAGTCCCATTAGAGACGATGGAAACAGGAATGCGGATGGTCATCGCGATAGAGGCGATGATGCAGAGCTTGAGGACTGAGGTGATGAAGTTGCGAGCTTTGTCGCGTCCCTGCCTCAGCCTCCGCAAACGCCACCAAGCGGACAGTGTGCAAGACAGTGTCATATTTGCACACTCAGCCCTTGGCGAGTGCATACGACCTAGACTTCAAAGTTTGTAGAGTAAAATGAGCAATGCCATTCCTCTTCATGGCATGGCAGGTAACTTGACATAATAGATAAGTTGCTGATCGAGGAACAAATGGTTGCGCAATGATAAATCAAGTTCTTGACGGGTCACCTACTACTGTGTTGAAAGAGATCAGTGACATGCGCTTGCATTTGAGGAGAGACCAGGCTAACATTACATAAGCAGGCGCTAGGATCCTTGGGGCGGGGCTCTGATCACCTGACCAAGAGAAAGGGTCGCACTTTCCGCCCACAACTCATCAATTTTCGCAGCTAAAAATTTCCCTTGGAGATTCCCTCAACCACCCGTTGAAGCGACATCAACATCAAGACAAGATGGTAGGATTGCCCCAATATACCAACAGTGTCCTCGCAGTTATTGACAAACGTCTTTAGGGTCGCGTTATTCGCAACCAGAGAAAGGGTCGCGGATCCATCTTCAGTAAGGCGAACCTAGTCAATTGCGCAGCGATGGGATTTTGGGAATTCTAACACATTTCGATAGCCGCCAACACTCGCCTTCGAAAGGCCCCGGCCCAGTTCCGAACACTCGACTACGCCGAGCGACATGGTTACGTCCGCGGTATTGTGAGGGAGATCATCCACGACCCCGGCCGAGGTGCTCCTCTGGCCAAGGTTGTCTTCCGGGACCCCTACAAGTTCAAGCAGCACACCGAGACCTTCATCGCCAACGAGGGAATGTACACTGGTCAATTCATTTATGCCGGAAAGAACGCTGCTCTGACCGTTGGCAACATTCTGCCCCTGGGCTCCGTTCCTGAGGGTACCGTTGTCTCAAACGTGGAGGGCAAGATTGGTGACCGAGGCACTCTGGGCCGCACTTCCGGCAACTACATCACCGTTGTTGGCCACAACCCCGACGAGGGCAAGACGAGAATCAAGCTGCCCTCTGGCGCCAAGAAGGTCGTCCACAGCCAATCCCGAGGCATGATCGGTATTGTCGCTGGTGGCGGCCGTACTGACAAGCCCATGCTGAGTACGTTTTCCCCTGCGGTGGCATAGGTGGAATCGAGAGATTGTCATATTTGAACCTGGAAGAATTTTGTGCTAATATATGGAACAGAGGCTTCTCGTGCTAAGCATAAGTTCGCTGTCAAGCGCAACAGCTGGCCAAAGACTCGTGGTGTTGCCATGAACCCCGTCGACCATCCTCACGGTGGTGTAAGTGAAACAAGCACTGAGATTGTGATTCTTAATTTGACAAAAATCTATAGGGTAACCATCAACATATCGGTAAAGCCTCTACGATCTCCAGGTACGCTGCACAGGGTCAAAAGGCCGGTCTTATTGCTGCGAGAAGAACTGGTCTGCTGCGTGGTACTCAGAAGACGAAGGAGTAAGGCTTTCACGATTCCGTCTAGGGGCAGGGGTTCAACGGATTGCATTGATCTTTGCTTTGCGGTTATGGTACTACGGATGGGCCATAAGCATGCTCTAGGGAATAGTGCCTGCATTTGTGGAATAAAAAAGAATTCCTGAACTGAAATCGTGTGTTTTGTGAAGAGTGATGTTGAAACAATTCCCATGCATCTATAACAGGCCTAATTCAGCCAGAGAGATGGAGGATCTAAATGTAAGAGCAGTTGCTGATGGGCAAGCGCCAATTTCCCGCTTTCGTTTATGAGGTCACCCCCCTGGTCGGAGTGGCCAACGGTTATAGTAGTCGTATCATACCACTCGTATGATCTAAGGAATGGATCATTCATTTTCTTGGAACCAGCAAGCATGCACCTACAAATGCAAACGCCAGACCATCCACTGGAGAGCTAGTTAGGACATTGAGCTCTCTCATAAAGCAGAGAACGATTCAACTCGATTCCTCCGAAAGCATCTCAACATGTTAAAGTCAGTGGCATTTGCCGGGCCGGCGAAGAGCCCTTTGGTACGAGGCCTGACCCGATTCGTCTCATCCCACGAAACATGCATAGCACGCACTCTGCTACCCCACCATAATAAACCCCCCACCAACGCTGTCTCTTCTACCCAACAGCGAAGAAATTTCCACTCTACAACGTCCAAGATACACCCATTGAACAAGATGAGCACTTCCAAGGACTACCGCCTGCTCTGTCTGGAGAATCCTCTACTAGGTGAGTTGCATCCGCGCTGTAGAGATCCCAAAGCCATCCCAGCTGTCCTTCCCGGGGCCAACCCCTCCTCCCCATAACCCTGATAGCCCCCCAGACTGACAGCCCAATTTAAGACATCCAGGCCTTCGGCAACCAGGAGCTGCTCGAGAAGTATGGTCTCAAGGCCAACGATGCCATTCTCGCCGAGGAGAAGCATCTCGGCCTCTACGAGGATCTCCTGAACAACTACGAGGCGAAGCTGCTGGCCGGCGGTGCTGCGCAGAACACCGCCCGTGGTGCACAATATATCCTGCCGCCCAACAGCGTGGTCTACATCGGTGGTGTGGGCGACGACAAGTACGCCGCTATCCTTCATGATGCCGTCAAGCAGGCCGGTCTGCGTGTCGAGTACCGCGTCGACCCGGAGCACCCCACCGGCCGTTGCGGTGTGGTCATCACGGGCCATCACCGCAGCATGTGCACGGATCTGGGAGCCGCCAACCACTACGACCTCGACCATCTGAAGAAGCCCGAGATTTGGGAGCTGGTTGAGAATGCCGAGGCTTACTACATTGGTGGATATCACTTCACTGGTGAGTGGTAATGTTCTGCGAGATGATCTATAGGACGAGACCTTAACTCTAAATAGTCTGCCCTCCTGCTATCCAGGAGCTTGCCAAGGAGGCTGCCTCCAAGAACAAGGTCTTCATCCTATCGCTTTCGGCCCCTTTCATCCCTCAGTTTTTCAAGGACCCCCTTGACGCCAGCGCCCCTTACTGGGACTATGTGATCGGAAATGAGACCGAGGCTGCTGCTTACGCCGAGTCTCATGGTCTCGAGACCAAGGACCTGAAGGAAATCGCCAAAGCGCTGGCCAACCTACCCAAGGAGAACACCAAGCGAAAGCGTGTCGCCATTGTGACCCAGGGAACCGAGCCGACGCTCGTGGCAGTCCAGGGCGAGGATGAGGTCAAGGAATTCCCAGTTCATCCGATCGACAAGTCACTGATCAACGACACGAACGGAGCAGGCGATGCTTTTGCCGGTGGTTTTTCCGCCGGTATAGTCGATGGCAAGTCATTAGAAGAGAGCATCCAGATGGGCCAGTGGCTGGCCAAGCTGAGCATCCAGGAGTTGGGTCCTTCGTAAGTCATCCCAAGTGAATCCTACACCCTGATAGAAGTACACATGCCGTTGTAATGATCGTTTATTCGTGTGCTGGACGCTATGCGTTCATTACGGGCACATGAGCCCCCAAAAAAATTAAGCTAACTATCCTCGACCCCTCGATTGCTAACTTCCTACAGGTACCCCTTCCCTAAGCAGACCTACCAATCCTCTAGCAACTAGAATCGCAAATGGCTCTTCCATCGGTGTTCAAAGCAGGTTAGGCGTCAAAGGTACAGGGAAAAGACTCATGGTTTCAACAACGGTGATTGCATCCAGGAAGGTAGAAGAGAGAAAGAGTCGCAATTCGAAATTCAACTTCATGATTCCCCCATAGGACGGAGCTCGTTCAGCGAGATCGAGTGGGGCATATATTGCCGTCTTCACAGAAGAAAATTCTGAAATGACTAGTTATAAGCCAAATATGGCAACACTCATTCATCTTCCTGTTCACTTTAGACGTGACAGGCATGTGGTATCAAGTTTCCGATCCCTCGAAGCGAACAGTCTTCCTAGGGCTACAATTGGATTGAAAACAGCCCCAGGGTCAATTAAGCAGACATTGTGAGAGATCTCGGCATGATAAGTAGTATAATATTCTCTGACAAACGAGCTCTCAGCGCTGAGGTCGTTTATCGTCCAACAGAGCACCTGCAAGGATTGCACGATCGTAAGCATCTGCCGCCTCCACTGCTGCGGCGATCTCAGTCCTCTTCACTGCATTCTTGAAATGAGTGGGATCGTCCTTGTTCGCAATTGGACCACGTCCAAATGCCGTTGTAGCGTTGTAAAAATTCCCATTGCTTTGATAGAGATTACCGGACGGCGAGAAGTGGGCTGAAGAATCAACCAGGGCACCACCATATGGATATATGTTATTCTTCCGGGTTGGGTGTGTCTGGCGCGCTGCCTCCAGTCCCCAGGGACTATTTACTGGTGGCAGGCTGGACGCATTTTGGGAGAAGTTGGACGAAGTAAACGCTGCTCTCTCCGCACCAAGCTTAGGACCTTGCCAAAAAGCAGCACTGTTCGAGGCAGTCGGGGGATTGAGAGTGTGGGTGTAGGCGTCTGCAGCAGGCCAGGGATGCTGGCCTGAGAAACCGCTGTTGCTGTCACCAGGAACAGGAAATCGATTACCAAACCGCTCGCTTGCACCATTTTGGTTTTGCGGAATGTCAGCAACGTCGCTTCGGGGTCGTCGTGCGTAAGCGTCCGGAAAGTTGTGCTCAGCTGTAGAGCTGGTCAATCTCGTCGACATCAAGTCTGAACCCTCAATCTTGCGTCTAGGGTCTTGGAATGGAGATTGGAGGCCTCTTGGTGACGTGAACGGGTCCTCGACGAAGCGCGTGTCACGGTATTGAGAAAAGTCTTCTGGTGAACCTGGCAATTTCTGTTGTCGCAACTCATGCTCCAAGCCTCTCATTGCACCGCCTTCCTGGCTTGGGCCATGGGGCGCGGGCGAGATGAAAAAATCCCAAGGTAATGTTGGAAAAGCTTTCGCCGTTGCAGAGCCAGGGGTAGGGCTCTTGTTTTGGAGTGAGCCAAACACCTCGTTTGCAGTGGATGAATGCATGCCGTACGAGGTCTCATCTCCACCACGAACAGCCTGGTCAGTCCGAGATTCAGGCGGTGCCAGAAAGTCATTCACAAGATTGTACATCTCGCGGTCAATATTAAAATCAGACTCGAACTCAGCAGCTGCTACCTTATTCGTTGACTGCATCGGTTCAGTCGGGGACCGTAATTCTTCTCGTCTATGAGGAGCCGGGGTCTCTTGATCCTGAGCCAACTTCCCAAGGCTGTCCCTGGTAAGACTCTGTCTTGATTTGCGTTCGCGAGTGACAGGGGATGCTTGTAGATCGCCGAATTTCCCTAGCAGATCTCCTACGCTGGAATTCGATTGATCTGGCAAGGCCTTTGTAGTTGATTCGTCAAACTGTTGGGAGGAATCCTCTTCCTGGTATGTGATTGCCGTAATATCCCGAGCTTCTTCATGGACAGTGATCATTGCGAAAGGAAATACACGATCAGTCGCGAGGAAATAACCACAGCTTAAGATGTCATAGATCCGGCTGAGTAGCTCCTGTTGCGGAGTGGTTGGAATACATCCCGTATCACCGGGCCGTGGCTTGCGGGTATCTTGATCAGGGGTATAGTGGAGTCTACACTCCGAAGGTAAGGAAGTATCATCAAGAGGATTAAGTCCAAGTGCTTCCAAATCTTCAGGAAGAAGATAGGAAGAAGTGGCCAGATCCTGCTCAAGGAATTCCTTGATCACTGTAGTTAGGGCTTGACCTAAAGTTCGGTACATGTCGTGTGCATACGGCTCTAGATGCTCTCCATACTTGACAATATCCGTACGATATGTGCAGATCCATGTCATGTATATGCGTAGAAGAGGCAGGATATTCTCGGCATACGGCTTGAAATTAGCAGATAGTTCCGGGGTTTTATCGTGATCCTCAGCCTCCACGGGCAGAACCGCCTTCACAATATCGCGAAGTTCTGATTTAAGCAAGCGGCTGAGGACCAAAATAAAGCGTACATTGAGACGAAGGATGAATTGGCACGAGGTCGACCCAGGATACGTCCATTTTTCTGATAAGTTGTAAGTAAAGGCAATGTAGAATGAGCCGGGATTCTCTTACTTTTAATCTTCGCCTGAGCAACATAATATGCTGAGATGTTCACAAGAACCATCTTCAAGAGAAGTCTGAAAGTGCCCGGTGTTTTCAGAGACGTCTCAAAACGATGAAGAACTTCTTCCTCTAGTTCGCCATGCTCGGGGAAGGTTTCACCCTTGAAGAAACGCGCATGTAGTCGAACAAACCATGAGATAAATGCCGCGTTTGGATCTGGTGGGCCAGTTCGCTTTCCAGGCGTGGATGGATTCAGAAGGGTCTTAAACTCTACTTCAAGGTTATTTGTAGCATTCGGATGTGGTGCTCGAACAGCCCAGGCGCGGTAGAAGTGGTAAACGATTTCCAGATGGTTTTTCTCCTCCAGATAGATTACGCCCATTTGATGATGGGCGAATCCGGAGTCGGGATTGAGATCCTGGGCTAAGCTGTAATATGTTAAGGCGGTTTCTGAGCCGTGCAACTTTTGTCGCATCTTATGTCTGTATCTAGATAGATCTCCAAGGTGAAGCAAGGTGGCATGGCAAGACTTGACTACACCGGCCTGGGTTTCCGCGCTAGCTTCCTCATCAACGGTAGCATTTGGCATGGCATCTAATCGCATAGACTGTGCGATGCGCCCGAGCTCGGGTACGTCATATCGAGCCCAGAGTCTCTGGATGTATCCTCGGTAAAAATACTGTGAAGTCCTGAGGTAGGTGGTATAAAGTTTCTCGACCTTGCGCTTTGTCACAATCTGTTGCGGTACTTTGAGATCGCCCAGCAGGCTGCGGTACTCATTGTTGACGAAGATGTGAAGCTGCCACAGTGAATTCTCGACATCGTGTTCCTTAGCATACTTGAAGTCGGCAAAGATGGTCGTTACACAGGCGAGGCGGTAGCTGGCATCAAGTTAGAAGAGCATTTATGACACGCTGCACTTCAACACATACTCCGACAAGAGCCTTTCTACGGTTTCCAGTTGGGCTTCCTCGCTCTTCTCCCCTTTGTTTCTCTTGAGTTGCTCCACTTGCTTCAGTACGGCTCGGCGCGATCTCTGGGCGTTACTGGTAGTGAGTTAGCGAGACGTATACATGTATGGTTGACGACCATGGTTCGACTAGGGAGTGGCACGTCTCAGGTAGGCTTGTGCGCAAGCCGAAAAAGATTGCTAAAGAGCCTCCCCAAAAGGAAAGTGATATGGAGAGTGAGGCTGTGTCACCTACTGCCAGTACTGTTGGGCGGCACTCGCCATTTTCGCGGTCGGGTGCCGATGAGGGGATTTGGTGATGCTTCCTTAAATGAGGTATTGATGAGAGTAACGGCAAGTTAATTGCGGCTGTGGGCTCAAAGGCGAGCCCGCAGTCAAGAGCTTGGTTCACACAAGATCACAGGCGAGGCGAGGTTGCGCTTGTAATCCATAACGGTTGTGCCAGGAAGATGAGTGTATTGTGCGCAAGACGCGAGCTGGAGTCGGTTCGAGGGCTGCGGATGAAGAACACATTGGCAAAACGTTGGTCGCAAAGAACAAAATCGGGATGGATGACTCGAAAGAGTGTGATGTCACAGGGGGGCGTGCGTGGAAAAACGGATCGCAAAGGTACGGAAATGCAAAAAGACGAAGCTATCTCCAAGTCAGTCTCTCCAACTGACGTTCGAGATATCGAGCTAAGCCCCTCTGTTCCCTTGCACGCCGCGCAATGAGGCATCCAATAGGTGCAAAAGCCGGCTAATTGATCCACGGTCTTCAATATGCTTGGCTGGCGCACGGTCTAGTACTAGTCCCATCCTTCACTGAAGCAGCTCCACACAATCACACACCCCGCCATAACCAATATTGTTCACCTTCACCGCATTCAAGTTACAAAAGCTCCTGCTGAGCACCAAGTTCGGAAACTTTCCTGCTGGATTAAAGGAAGCTTAGACACTCACGTGGTTCTTTTGACCAAGATGCAATATTAACTCTAGGCGAATTTTCCAGGATATCGCACGTCGTGCCCGTTAAGAGAAGAGCGTCTAGGCAACCCTTGATGAATTCGCGTCGTGGCCCAAGACACCTCACATGTAATTGCCCCAAGAAACACATTCAAAAGATGAAGCGCTCACGAGGGTCTGAAGAAGACACAAGGTTGTCTCGTGGGGCAGATGATGATACTAGCTTCTCAGATCACGACTTGGCAACAGTGCCTCCTTCTAAAATTGTCGATCTCGAGCTCAACGACCAGAATACGCCCATAGAATCAACCATGAAGTGTTCTATGCCAGGCCACAAGGAAGGTCTGACATTCAATTCGTACGAAGAGTATGCGGCACACTATAATAGTGCGCACACAAACCGATGCCTAGAGTGTCACAAGAACCTGCCTTCGTCTCTCCTCCTTAATGTCCATATCGAGGATTGTCATGATTCCTTTATCGCAGCCAAGAGGGAGAAGGGCGAAAAAACAGTACGTTGATAACTTCCTTGCATAATCGGTGTAACTAACGTATGTAGTACTCATGCTTTGTCGAGGGTTGTGAGCGGAAGTGTTCAACCCCAGAAAAGAGGCGTCTGCATCTCATTGACAAGCATATGTATCCGAGAAACTACTTTTTTGCCGTGACCAAAGCTGGAATAGACGGTAGGAGATCAATGCTCGTCGAAAATGGCCAGCACCGCCGGCAATCTAGCAGCCAGAGTGTGTCTCGACCAGCTGGGCGGAGGTCTAGCAAGATCGAAGTCCGGCCAGAGACTGCGAAGAAAAGCACCGAAGGCGAGAAGTTGGCTGCAAAGGATGCCGCCAAGAGTGAGGTCCCCGAGGAGAAACCGGATGTTGAGATGGACGATCTAGCTGGAGCTATGTCGGCTCTGCAGTTCGTTCCCAACAGTGTGCGCTTCGGTCGCAAAGAAAAGGTTGCATTTTCCCGACGCTAGAACGCTTCATGATAACACGACTGTGGACGACTCTTCAACATGTTTTGGACGATTATGACCAGAGATACCCGAGTAAACATACGAAGACACTTGGTTTTGACTGAAATGAAGTCTATTGATGCTAAAGCGTTATACATACACCTTGTGAAGTGAAACTTGCCAGGACAAATCGAAAGTGAGATGCCATACCTTCATGATGAATCTTGATTCAATCCCCTGAACTCCGACGCGGAACCACAAAACCCTAAACTCCAGAATCCATGAAGTTCTTCGAAACGGATGACGCACTGTTGATCTAATCACTGGATGCGCAACCTCGGCAACCACAACTGACACATTGTATGTCTCGATCCTCCTTCATTTGCGCCTTCGGAACCCTGCATATGCATGTCGAATTGAAATTTGTCTCCTTCGTTTGAACGCATCGTAAACAGCATAGCTAGAAAGTAGGTTAGAAATTTGCCTGTGACAGTATTCTTAGAACCTGGGGATTCGACTTGCCTTCTCGTAGCCCTGCTTCTTCCACTTGGCAATCAACATAGCGTCCGCGTAGCCGTTCTTCAATAGCCACTCGTACAGTTGCTTGCTGATCGCCTCTTTCTCGTAGTAAAGCTCGTATATGTACCGACTCCTCTGGTGAGAGATTTGGAATATCGGCCATTGTGCTTGATGCTTCGGTACATTATCTGCCGGCGCATTCTGGGCATCCTTCATCTTGTTGCTGAAGATTAGGAGGTCGTCCTCGATGTCACTGAAGCCTTCTGGAGGCGGCTTGCGCTTCGACGCATGCCGAATAGCAGGCATGTTGAGAACCGTACTTTGTCTCTGCTTAATTCGTGGCGAGAATTCGGGGTGCGAGGCAGCAACTCTACCAGGCAAGGTGCAGTCCGGAAAAGTCAGAATACGACCAATGTTGCAGAGGTAGAAGCTTGAGAAAGACAACAATGGAGGGGCGAGGCTGAAAAATAGGGTGTTATCGGTGGCGGTGCTTTACTTATCTGCACGTGATGCTGTGGCGCGGATCCTAGAACCGAGCTTCCTGCAAAGGCCGGGTTTCTGGAACGACGACACGGAAAGACATCAAGCAATACCAACGGGCAAGCACTCGATTGCAATGGCCATCTCACCAACCCAATTTGCGCGCACAACGCGCCAATGTAGGTTCAATCGTTCAGCAATCTCAGATCAACAGCTAACGGCTGGCTAGCCACCAATTGGGGGGATGCAAAGCTACGAGTGCTTGCGGCATATCGAGAATGGATTCGAGCTGTACGTTACCTGAGCAAGAAACAATTCGACGAATACACGACAGCTTGCTGGACGAGAAGATCTGGAATGATGCCTAGTGACTAACGCTGGTCGATTGATAGGCGCCTGAGATCCAGACGATGTACTCTGTTCCTCTACCCGTTTCGGCAATCAGGACACGAATGAGGCAGGAGTTCGAGCGACATAGATACGTAAACAAGCTACCTGTTGTCGATGTCCTACTATTCCAGAGCAACGCAGACTATCAGGTACGTTACAACAGGTTCTGGATACAATATGGGCCAGCAGGGGGATGTCAACTCTGTCCTCGGAGCACTATTCCTTGCTCTTTTGTCTATCCAAGTGCAACAATGGTCAAACATTGGTCAATAATATACCGATCTAACGCGCGGGTTTGCAGGAAACCATGAACTTCTGGCGCCAAACCACCCATATCATGTCATATTTCAAGGAAGAGAACTTCAGAGGAGACAAGCGACTACCATCCAACTTCATGTCAGGATTTTTGGAGGCAAGTTTATCCACAAACATGACTGAGCCTGCAAGAATCGATGCTGACACTCTTTTATTAGGGTCGGAATTAAAAAGAGATTTTGGGCCACCTCCTGTATATACCTTTTAGTGTCTCTAAACCGCCGAAAAAAACCCTTTGAATGCCATCTATTTTACGCCAGTACGCCGCTACACAATGCAATGATGAAGATGATGCAATCAATCACAGAGGCACGCCATTCTCATCTAGTTGCTTCTTAGATGGTGCCGGTGTCTTGGGCATTCCCTGGGCTGCTGTCCAGAATTTGTCAGCCACCACATCACAGAGGTCTTGGAGGTCCTTCAAGCCCTTCTCCAAAGCCTCGATAGCTGTTGTGCCCTCTGTAGCCTGTTAGTGGTGATCCATTGGATTAGCAGCGGGTCACTGACCATAAGTTTGAATTCTTATATTCATCTTTGCCTCAGAAGGGTGAGGAATAGCGTAGGCGCAAAATTCAACCTCGGGGCTACGAAATTTTAGCCTTTCTCTGAAAGATAACAGTGCGCAATTGGGGCACATACTTCTTCATGATGATGAATCTCAGAGCATTTCCTAGAGTGTGCCCTTCATCGATAAACTCGAATGAGGCAGCTGTAGGTGTTGAGCCAGGTAACTACTGTCATTAGCTTGAATCCCAGCACGAATCCCTGTCAAGTGGACAGTTCGAACTCACCATGTTGACCCGCCGTGACTCGTCTTCTTCTTCCTCTTCCTCTACATCCTGGTCCATTTGCTGATCTGCCTCTTGCGGTTCGGCATTATCCTCTGCTTGTGGTTGGTGAGAGGGAGGCGCATCCTCCATGGTGGTGTCCTCCGCAGCCTCAGGCTCGGCTCGTCGGCTCTTGGACTTGGGAGCCATCATGAAGTTCGCAAGACGGTGAGAGTGAAGTTTGTCTCATGTGAAATTCACGAAGGCAATCTTTCTAAGTGGTGGGGCTCATCACTGAGGCTTTGTTCGATAACGGACAAAAAACTTTTCCACTCCCGGCAATTTGGGTTGGGAATCCTGATTAGCCCCGCTACGCCACACCTTCTTGCCGTAGCTACCTGTCATACTAGGGAAGTTGTTCTTCGACCTGAACGGCCAACCACTCCAACGGTATGGAATCCTTCAGGTCATGCAGCGCCAGCCTTCATGCCAAGTTGGCGGTGGGATCGAAGAACTAGCTGATCATCCTTCATTCTATCCCGAAATGCACGGCTCAGTTGATCGGCATATTTGCGGTCATGCACTGTGCTAGTGCCGGTGTTGAGAGTGGCCTACAGTGGTCTCCGGCCACAACTGAGCAACAGCAAATGCAACTACACGACCTGCGCGCCTATTGCTCCGAGTGGATTCGTGTGTTGGCGGCCATCATAACCATGTTCCTACAATCCAAGCTCTGGATCACACGCGAGCGGAATACAGTCGACGTCATTATTGCGCTACATATCTGTATACAGGCGCCGCCGAGGCTGCGCGTAGCCCTTCCACGACTTCGATAAGTCAAGTCAAGCTCGAGCTGCATGCTTGCACAAGCGCTCGAGTTTCGAATGTGTGATACTGCTCATTGGCAGGCGATCAGCGCTTCTGCGCAACGTGAAGTCTGACAGGTCATCGTTCGGATCCTGATCCAGAATGTGAAAACATCTATTACAGACTAGAGGGAGTCCTGCACCGTCACGAAGAAGCAGCCTGATGGCATCCTTTTGGAAAAAGTGCATTTGATGGAGGGCAGACCTGGCTCAAGTAGTCCCGAAAGGGAATCATTGAAACGCTGGCGCGCGGCAAGTTGCAGACTGCTTCAGGTGAACCAACTTTTATGGGATGAGCAGGGAATGCAGGTCTACTACTGGTGTGTTCGTTAGCTCCCAAGGCGAACCACAGCAGCAGGTCGTGGCACACCGTCTCGGAGGGAAGGACTCACAATCTACTAACGCGCAAAGGTTGCAGCCGGAATGCAACATCATCGCGTGTTCGTCGAGCATTGTGCTCACATGTGGTAGAGGCCCAGCACCCAGGTATACTGAGGTCGTAACATCTGGCGAGAATTAACTACATTTAACGGGAGGCTTATGCCCGCTACTGAATCTGGCGCATGTATCAAACACCTGGATTTACACTCTGGAGAAGCATGAGAATGTCACGGTGCCAATCTACCAGCCTATTTTTATTCGGTCTTAATTAACTCTTCAACCGGCCGAGATGGACTTCCAAGCAGTCTTGGTCGCTCCACAACAAGCATGGACAATGTTGCGAGGTTGTCAAAGCGCCAGCAATCGCGATGCGGTGAATGATCAGATCTTTCCCCCTCTCCCCCTCCAAGTACACCTCCGACAGGGTAATAAACGTTATTTTAGCAAGTTGAATATACCAGAAACCAGGGTTGAGAATACCTGATTGAGTTTCGAAGCTTCTGTTTATTTCTATAGCCCCGCTGGTCTCGACAAAAGTAGCAACTCCCTTGTCTGAGAAGTCACGATTCCCACTCAGAATTAACAATTATTACCCCAGCAGAGGTGTACCTGACCTGCGCGTGAAGATCCCCCCTGTTGTGGCTGACAGGCCAATCTTTAATTGGTGTTCGGCTGGAAATCGCGTTTCAAGAGAATACAACGTGCTGCGAGTTTAATTGGCTAGGGTCCGGGCTCCCAGACGCGATGGCCTTTGAGAAAGATGGTGGGGAAAGGTGTGCACAAGTCAGCTCAAGCGGCTCACCCTGCAAGGAGCAACGGTTAAAGAATATGTTGTGAGTTGATGTACACCATGATGCTCATCAGGGAGACACAAGGTGTCTTGTTGAGATGTCACCAAGCCTGATCACCGAGAGAGATATTCCTTAATTACTATCGCAGTTTCTGCCCTCCCGATCATGTTCGGATGACACCCGAAAGCCTTTCAATTCCGATTACCCTGTCGAGCCTGTTTTTAGAGCAGGGGGCTACATATGAGTCTAAAATGGTGGCATGAATCCGCCGATTTGCCATGGAACGGCAGCTAGCCAAGACGGGAGGCGGAGGGGAACGTTGAAGAGAATAGTGTCCAGACCGCGGCTTCAAGAAGAGTAGATATTAAATTGTTTCTTCGAGAAGGCAAGTGCAACAACAATAGAGGGAATTACGGTGTCTGTAGCACCTGAAGTCGGATGGCCACTGCGATCTCCTCCAGGTCCCAGTCGCTGAGCTCGTATTCCCTGATTATTCATGCTGCGTCTCATCGCCATCACAGCCTCTTAATAACATCACAAACATTAAGATCCAGACATGGGTTTGCACAGGAAAGCATGGTCGGTGACCAAGCGGCCACATTGGGAGAGTCGTGATTTTCAGGGACTCTGTCCTCTTGGCTTTGGGACCTATCTCAGAGCCCTGGCTTTGTGACTGTACATGCAACGACACCTTCCATCTAGACAGGGGTCTGTTGATGGCAGGTCGATTAGTTGGTACTGTACCGTACCGTGAGGGGTTGGGTTGTGCTTTGATCCTGCATGTCACTCAGTTTCGTCCTGCAATTTTTTTTAAAAATTTTTGACACCCCTTCCCATGTGCGGTAGGTACCGATAGTCCCGATGATCATACCGTGCTGTAGAGCTGAGCGGGTGCTCAACAATCATGACATTTGGATTGTCTCTGCAGAGCTGCCGATCACGAAAGGTCACGATGCTGAAGACTCCGCAGTAGTGCTGTACATCGTTGAGGAGCGATCACCTAGCCCCTTATTGTCTCCTTCAAGTTCAAGACTTTGTGCGCCATCAGGATTAGTGGGCGAGCTGACGCGCTGTGGTGGTGTAACTTGGCTGAACTTGGCTGTGGTGTGGGGAGGCTGTTGGAGCTGAGACTGGAGCCGCAGCACGGCAATGGGTCCAGAAGGCAAAACCAGGAACGCAGATTGTACATTGTTTTTTCTTCTCCTTTGCCTGTCTCGTTTCCTGACAGCCGTCCGTCTCAACAAGCTACCTAACTGTGGGGGCATGGGAAGGGAAGCATCGATTTAGGAGGCGGGACAGGTTACATCTCATGCCCACACGGCGGTCGTGTTCATTGCCTCGCCACCATCCAGCTGCTCTAGTCCACATCGAAGTGAGGATCAGGACGCATCACGGGCACAATGTAATAGCGAACCACTACGGACGGCATGGGCATGGTTGGATCGCACAGGCTGCAATTATTAATGACGGCGAACTACTGCGCGTCCTCTGGATGATCGAACGCCCTGTCGCCTGTAAGAGTCAAGCCGTCGGTCAGAACATGCTCGTCGAATCGATTTTGTTTCTGCACTTGAAGGTTCCCCTTCCAGCGATGGAGGAGATGGACTCGGGGGGGTCCTGGCAAGTAACGGGACCCAATCAGAGACGACAGCTAGCCTTCTCGCCAGCATCAATGTAAAACACTCTACTACAGTACGGGGCTCAAGCGTCCCCCGCCGCACCCCCTTCTCCATCCATCGTGTGGCCCTAAATGGCCGCTCCCATGTCTTGCCGGGCGCCCCCTCAGGCCCCCTACTTGCATGTGCAGGCCGAGTGACCCCAGGACGACACACGCCAGGCCAGTCGGTCGTCCTGGTCCTGGAGCCCGTTGTAACTGTACTGTCTGTTGCAGCTACGGTATCTAAGGAAAGGTAGGCAGGCTGGTGCAGCCCGCGAGTAGCCCAGAAGCGGGTTTCCAGGTCAAAGCCATGCTGGCCACACACAACGCAACAGAAGTGAATTGGGCCACAACGAACGTTATGTTACTCTCTGCAACTCGATAAAGGTCCGAAGACTCTTCTTCCGTGTCACTCCTGTACTTGGCAGGGTATGCATGGGAGATCCGACAGTCCAACTGAGGTTAGGTCTCCCAAGCTTGTAACTCGTCAGGCCTCGCTGTCGACTGACCACCGACAGGGACAGACAGGGAATAGCCCTCAGATCTCTCACACATAACTGTATCACTGACACTGCCCACCTCCCCTTTCATAACCAACGGTCGGCCATAACGAGCCCCTTCCCCCTGCCACGCTGCCCCCTCCTCTGACATACCTTAACATTTGGCTGCTACGGTCGCTGCAACCTGCGACTGGACTACTGTCTTGTGCCTTGTCTTAGCCAAACGCAGCGACCCCTAAAATCCTTCCTCCCTGCCTTTTCCTCTCTCGTGCCCCTCCTCTCTTCTCCTGCTTCTGTTTCTTCTCTTCACCTACCTACCTACCTACCTTACCTCTCTACCCATCTCAAGCTGCCTTCTCCCGCCGCCCGAGCCCGTCCTTTCGCTTTCGGCCTCGAATTCGATTCGCCGTTCGTGCTTTCTCCTCGTCGTTGTAGCTGTGGTCATTGTTTGCGGGAACTCCCCCTATTCAGACCACTATACACGCACACGCCTACGACGCCCCGCACCGCGCGACTACCTACTTTTAGTCTTGTGGACTGCCGACGACCTTCCAAAGCGTGGCAGGGAAGCCAGTGCGCCGCTTGTGGATACATAACAGCTCCTTGTACAGCTACGATTGCCCTCGCAGTCAGTCGCACAACCAGTCCATTCGTTTTCGGTCATTGAATAAGACGAGAAGCGGGAAGCCGGGAAAAACGGCGGGCTATAGAAAGCTGAGAAATCGATCTCGAAAAGAGAGTCGACCAATTGCAAGGCAACACAAGTTATCGCAGCAGACGGGGAAGCCAGCTCGCAGAGGAAACGCTCCCGTCCTGTCGAGGTGATCCCCACGTCGTCTCTGGTTGCGCCAAAAAGCCTCCCTGAAACTGAAACTAGCCTAGACTATACTATACTACGGTATACTCTAGCTAGTCCCACGAAAAGCAAATCCCACCAAAAAAGGCAGGGAACCCACGCCGACAGACACGAGAAGGAGCGACCCGAAACTCTGTGTCGACAAAAGACAACCCTTTTGTGTGTCGCGGGAGTTCGCGACTCTCTTTTTTTGTTTAACTTCGCATTGTCGCGCATATTCATTCTCCCGATTATCAATCTCGCCCTTTCCGACCAGACGAGCGCAGACCTTCCCTCCTGTGCCGTTAATATCTGAGGGACGGGGTTAATAATCTATCTAGGCGCCTTGCAAGATCTTGGCAGGGTGCGCAACGGCAGAAAGGGCAGCACCAGCACCAGCACCACCAACCAGCCCTGCTGCACCGCCTATTAACACGGGCACCCGGAATTCCCATCATCTCTACCAAAGCACACAAAACGCTCTCTTCACCATGAGCACCGCCATCGCAATGGCTCCTTCGCCAGCACCTCACGACAGACCTTCTTTTGGTGCTGATTTACCTGCTCCTCACAGCGCTGCCGCATCTGTCTCTGCGGCGTCCTCGCCCTCCGCACAGCGAACAACTGCCGCCCCTTCGGGTACCCCGAATGCTGCACAACAGCAACCTCGCTCAGGCAGCGGCAGCCCCAGGGGGGGTGCACTTGCTGCAACTGCAAAATCCTCTCCTCCCAGCGCGTAAGCAAACCAACAAAATCTGTCCTATCCCATACGATCATGCCCAGCCCCGACTTATCCGTGTCTTTCCATTTCCCTTTGATATTACAGAAACCTGCATCTTGCGTGTAGCCAACCTGACTAATCAATTGAATTGTTCTCTGCAGTACTCGAAATGCTGGCCATCCCCCCAAGATTATTGTGAAGAAAGAGCCAGCATCTCCTGACTTGCCCACTGCCCGCCATCGGCCGAGGAAACTGGATTTGTCAAAGAACACAAACACTACCTCCCCTGCGACGGCGCGGCCCCTGACCGCCCGGGAGAGTGGCGGACTCGGCATTCAGGAGATGGGCCTGGCATGTTTGTCGCCCGGCTTCGTGACACAAGACCCCGTGATGAAGGAGCAGCTACAACGAAGCATGTCTGTCCGCGAGCAACAAAGACACATCATCGAGGCAAGGTTACAGCAACAGTCAGCCAAGGCCGACGGTCCCATGGATTCGAGCAAGGACAAGGACCCCGTCAGCAGCCATTTCGCAGCAAAAACGCCAGGCATGTCTCGTCGAAATAGAGCTCCTCCAGGACTATCCATCGTAGCCCCTGGCGCCGAGAACTTTGCCCACGAGAGAGTAATCCAGTCAGCGCCTCTGGGTCAGACTTTTACAGGCATGAATGCGCCGCATCCGCTTACCCGACATATCACAAATCAGCCCTCCAAGCTGTCCAATACCTCCCACATTCACCACGTTCCCGCTCACCAGACCAACAACCGTCTCCCCCCAATCGCAGACGTTTTTGGCCAGGGCCTCTCTGGGCACCCAGATTCCAGCGGACATGCCCTGTTCGCCAGCCAAAGTGCTGCGAGAGGCCCTCTCACTTCTCCAAGCCACCCGCCGCCCCCTCAGGCCCCCACGCCTGGAAGGCCGCGGGAGTATAAGTCTGCGGAGGAAGTCCAGGCCGAGTTGGCTGGCGGACGACCCGAACTCTTGCCCAAGTTAGTCCACTATGGAGGCCATCAGCCGCCGACCCCACCATCCCCCATGCCTGGAATGCCGAGAATTGACGGGAGCCGAAGCACCAGCAAGAGACGAACCCGGGCCGAGTACGAAGAGGGTGGCAGCCCCCCCCTGGGCAATGGCCGATCAGCTACCAGGAGAGGTCCCTTCGGCGAGGGACGAGACAGCCCAGAGACTCAACGTGCAAAGAGAGAAGAGTTCCTTCAACTATGCGAGAGGGCGTGGGATCTGTTCCACTCGTAAAGCAACCGCTGGGTTCGAGCCTTGTCTTCCCACATGTCCTTGTGAGGACGACGGCTTGCGAGCGATTCCGGGCAAGTGGTTGTTTAGCTTATGGTGCATTTATCCGATTGTGTCATATTCTGTCACATCTACTGCGCAAAGCGAACGGCACGACATAGTTTTCAACGACAAAGTATTGTTTTTTCCTCCACTTTCTAATATTAAAGAAGGGAGACGGAGATATACCAGGGTTTTTGGGTTACTTGGGAATTGGGACATAATGTTTATGTAAACTCGTCTACTGGATTGAACATCCATGAATCTCAACAAAAGGGCAGACAAATGTTCACAACAACGGAGCTTACGGCCATGGCAAACTTTTCTATATCGACTATTCCTCAACTTTTTTTTCGTATATTCTTACCGACTTCACCGCAAACCCCCAATTCTTCCCCTAAGCTGATTCCCATTTTGTTCGTTCAACTCGATCTCCCCATGCCGAAAAATCAAGAGAGATTGCCCCTCATATCTGGGCATTCAGAGAGGCTATAATTGAGTCCTAGGGATTTGGCGCGGCGTTTTGAGGCTGCTTATTACCCGGTTTGGCAGGATGGAGAAGAAGCGAGAGAGTAGGATACTGAGCCAGCTTATCCTGCTTGGATGGGACGGAGATGGTATCTATTGCGACGGAGTATCCGGGTCGAACTGGACGCCTTTGGGGGATTGATGAAACTTATGTTTATGAGACTGGGAGGGGTGTATTGTACGTATCAAGCGCAGTCAGTGAGCAGGTTCCCCGGTATGGGGGACCTGATACTGAAATGGAATATTTTCGGTGTATACATAATTTCAATGGTTCCTAATCTGTTTCCCAATGCCCTTCACCTCTGTCGATCGCCAAGGCGTTCCGCACGCTTGACGGGCTCCTCACCATTGTTCCGACCAGCTCGTGACATCACTGAAACAAGCTGCTGTTTCTTCGGGACCAGACCAAGCTACTCTCTGTAGCAGAACCGAGGCAGCATGACGGAGACACTGTTGGACAAGCCCTTGTCCCTGTGCCGATCAACATCCATCCAATTGGCCCCTCCCCCTTGCTGGGCGCCGAGCTTCAGCCTCGCAGGCTCACTACAACACGTTCCTCTGTTCCTGTTCAGCATCACGAAGAGAAATACCCATCACGCCTACTCTAGATACGGAAGAGCCGTTCAAAAAAAAGATCACACTACGAGAAATCACCCTTCCCACGTGTTGCTGCTGACGTGACGTGACGTGCTAACCAACAGTTGCTTGTCCAGCAGCGAGCGAGCGAGCGGGCCCTTCCGAGGCGCGCGCACCTCGGAGCGGGATCCCCACTCTGGCCTACCGTGTGTGTCTGCTTACAGTGCCTTACTTGCTTGCCAAGCGGGCAGGATATCAAATACCGGTACCTCGAATCTCACGAAGGATTTGATCACACCGGGCGCAGACAGTAAGATGATGTAAGCACCCAAGCATCTGATGAGTGGGATAGTACTGTAGATAGATAGATAGATAGACAGACATAATTGTCCTCCTCCAGTCCCCCCACTGTAGATTTTCCTGTGGAAAGAACCAAAGTGGTTCGATCTCGTATCCATTGGGAGTGTCTTTGTGTGGAATGCCGTGCATCCCGTCTCTCCTGTAAATAGGTACAATGAACGGCCGCCTCCTCTTTTAACAGGAGAAGCTGTGACACTTTTTATGTGCAAATATATACTTTCCCAGCAAGCCACGATGGATGGGTAGATGACGTGCTGCACAGGCAATGCATAACCTGATTGCTCCCACTCTCGTGGTAAAAAGGCGGGGGGGGGGGGCTGTGTGGAGAGAGAGGAGGTCTAGACATGAGCGACCTGGCACTGCCTATGTGAAGAAGCTGCTGCACCCGCATCCTTTGTGGCCTAGACGCATGTGTTAGGGTAGGTATCGTGGAAGAAAGCGACCCGGATCTAGATCCCAATGGAGGGCGTATGCCAAGACCCTTTAGTCCGGACCTGTAGGGCAGCCTCTTCTCTTTCCATTGTCTTCCCCCCCAAACCCAAGCTCACATGCAATAGAGGGAAACAAAGCGAGTGAATTTGTCAGGTTTTGCACAGGCTACTGTAACGAGGGCTGCCTTCATTCAAGCATCACTCAGCGCCCCCCTCCAGAAGAGGTCGGCAAAGAGCAGGAAAAAGAACACAACTCTCCTTTCCATCATGTGTGTGTGTGTCGAGGCTGGCACTCCCACTCTGTCAGACTGGGCCTCTAGATTTCCCCCTTCATTCCAACCTCACTAACCGCCCTATATCACTGTGATGCCCTGCTGGAAACCAAATCCAACGGCAACACACAATACTATGCTCGCGCTCTTCCCTCAACTCTGGCCTTCTGTCTTATTCTTCCATCTCTAGACGCTCGCAGCATGGCTCACACCTCGGCCATATGCCTGCTGTAACAAACGCTCCGCCAAAGGGTTTTAATTTAAGCCTTTCCGATCTGATGCAGAAAAGTCTCAGATTGCCACCAGCCGGATGGATCCTGCAAGGATGAAGATGCGTGAAAAGCAGAGCCGCAGAATTTTTGTACTGTAGAAGAAGAAAAAAGTGAATTGATTCAACCAGATGAACCAGTTGTTGATGATAAAAAACGCCGGACTCCGGTGCTGCCCCTAATGGTCGCATGACATTCGTAAGTAAGAGCCGGGCCTCTCCGTATGGTATCGGGAGGCCTTTGTGTAACCGGTCACACGGTTTCTGTTATATTCTGTCGGTATGGGAGAAAGAGTGGTGGCGTGCCACTCATGGGACACTGGGGGATCCAATGTCACAGGATAGTACGCTCCGCCATTCGTAGGCAAGTCCTCTCACCTTACAAACGGCGGGACGTGGGTTAGAGGCCCTCTTCCCCAGCCTTGCAAAGTTTTATTTCCCTGCCCCATTCTGACTTGAGGACTTGGGATGCAGTGATCCTGCGGGTGGGATTAGGATCTAATATTGAGTAGATCACATTGCGGCATCGTGCCTTGGTCATGTTAGCATCACGAATCAGATAGCACGGGATTTGGGTCGAGCTCACCCTATGCAAGGACTCGATGGGTCCGTATCCTTCTTCGTCTCTCCGGCCCTCCAGATAGCGGGCGTAGAATTCGTCTTCGTCCTTTCTTGCCACTCGCCATAGATGCCGTCCAGTCCTCATTGCCATGTAAATAACACCGCAAGCCCAGACATCAACAGCTCGGGCATCAAACTCTTTGTCAACATACTCCTCGGGAGCAATGTAGGGAGCAGATCCACAAAGGCCAGAGACCATGTGTGCGTCATTTTCCCATGCCATGCGGAAGCATTCACCATTGCCAAAGTCGGTAATCTTGAGACCACCGTGAGTAGTCAAAAGAAGATTCTCTGGCTTTAGGTCACGGTGGGCCACTCCCATCTCATGCATATACTCCACACCGCGCATCATCTGCTTGAAAAAGCAATCTGCCTCCTGCACCTCCAACTTGCCAGCAGCAAGGACCAGGGTGTACAAATCACCGCCGGCGCAGAACTCCATGACCTCGCAGTAGTCGCCTTTCGCATCTTTAAGAAGGTCGAGGGTATGAATAACATTCGGGTGGCGAAGGGAGGATGAGATGCAGAATTCAGCAGTCAGACGCTTGCTGTACTTCTTTTCGGTCTCCTCTGGTCGGCGTCGAAATTCCTTGACGGCAAACAGTTTCTCGCCGCCTGCACCGTCTAGCTTTTTGTGCGATATCCTCACAATTCCAAAGGCGCCGCGTCCCACAACTTCTTGACATTTGCCGTACTTCTCGACCAGGGTAGCCGTAACAGCGGGTCCATTCTTCTTGTCCCCTGCTAACGAGTCCTTCTCTTGCTTGAGAGTATCGACCCAACTTGAGACCAAGGACAGATCGTGCTCTGGTACCTGCTCTGCCTTCTTGCCCAATAGGCCTTTGAACATGTCGGTCAATTTCTCTTGCCTCCTACTCGACTTCAAATGGTGCTCGTGACCGCCCTGGACCTCCATATTGACGACGAAGCGCTGCGAGTAGTACCCCGTGCCGTTGGCGGACTTCTGACCCTTGACAGATGGTGCAGGCGTCTTTTCAGGGGCCTTGTCTGTAGTAGACGGTTTGCGCGAAGGCGGCTGAGGCTTCGGAGGAGTGGTCGTTCCAGATCCAGCGGTGCTTGATGCTGAGCTCGGAGCAGGTGGGGGAGGTCTTCTGGCTGGCGATGTGACGTCGCTCTGAACTGAACGCTGGCTGGCGTCTCTAGTCGAGAACATGCGGGTCAATCGATCCTTGACCGAAGCTTTTTCGGCTTGCTTCGGTAGTTGGTCGACTCCGGCTACAGGGCCATGGCCGTTCTGAGCCCCGAGCTTTGGCGAGGGTCTGGCGGGTAGTTCGACGGATTTGATGGATGAGGGTTGTGAGGTTGACGAAGTTGTGGTCGACTTTGCGTCTGAAATGCTGGCCATGGCTGACGGCGAATGTGCGCGCTGCTCGCACGCAGGGTCGGGGGTGGGGGTTTGTATGCGTTATGCGAGTGACGGAAGGATACCTTATAGGGAGGGCAATAGGCGTCGTGTCGTATGAGCCTGGGACGCTGTGTGACCGGCGAGTGCGGTGCGTGCGTGCGCAGGCGTGTGTGGGAGGAGGAGCAGCGCTAATTCGCTATATTGCGGCGGCGAACGCGCCTTGGGTGTGGGCAAAGCCCGGGGTTGTCTCTCGTGGACGGGTCAAAACAGCAAGATTTTTATATTTTTGGTCTTTAGTTTTCCCTAGGTTCCTCTGGAAGGAGGGAGGGTTTGGATTCCGGGGGTTTGGGTTTAAGTAAGTGAGTAGTAAGTCGGCGAGTAGTGTGTGGCAGGAAATTAGAAATTGGGTGATGAACCGTCTAGAGCAGTGGAGAAGACGGTCGAGGGCCGGCCGGAGGGGAGCGCAGCAAGCGAACGGTGATGCGATGGGGGAGGGAATGGGAAAGGATGGATGTGGCTAATGTAAGTCGAGTCAAGTCATCGAGTCGGGGCGGTCGCTGGGCTACTAATTGCTTTGCTGTGTGCCAGAGGCGGAGAAATTGAAGAAGCGAGGAAAAAAGGCTGTTTCTTGCGTCAAGCGTTTTGAGAGTACCTATGGGAGGGTACAAGTGTGCGGTACGGTACGAGTACGGAGCCGAAGGTTGATCGGCTGGTGCGTGATAAGTTTAATAACAGGTTCTCCAAGAGACGCCGCAGCAATTTGTTAGCGGGACAAACAAAAAGAGGGCCCAGGGCCAGGGCGAGGGCAAGGGCAAGCAGGTCCGTAAAGTAGCTAGGTAGAGTTAATGGCATGTATTGTGTAGCGTAGCAGGATCCGGCGCAAAATGTAGGTTACGTTATGTAAGTGAAGTTCCTTGGAGGTCAAGTGAGGTAAAAGTAGATCGAGGAAAGGTCGACTAGAGAGCATGGACCATGGAGCATGGGGCAGATCGGTAAATGGCAAATTCTAGACTAACTTATAATGCGATGTTAGAGGCAATGGGTAACGATAAATACTGTAGTGCGTTACGGCATGAGAACGCGCCCCCCCGACTAACTTAGCCTGGACTAAAATGGTGAAGAATGGATGGGGATGGGGAATGGGATCAATGAATTTGAATGACTGAATGATTGATTCCATGAGGAAACCGACTTATGGCAGCGGTGCTTGGATCTCTTTTGGTGGCCTTGGGCAAGCCCAGGTGCTTCATGTAATGCCCAGTACAGTAAGTACATGTACAGCACAGGACAGCACCGTAGCCGCACATCTTAGGTATCTCAAGATACCTACCTACCCAGCACCACTGGTTGATCCTTTGCGGTTGTGAGTAGGAGGGAGACAAAGTCGATGTACGAGCGATCCAGGTAGGTATGCAGGCATGTACTTAGATACCTAGCACCCTAGGTAGGTAGGTGGGCAAGTTGGGGCGGGCAGAAGCCGACAATGAGACAAGAGACAGGAGACGGGGGGGGGCAGACCACAGCGTGGGTTACCGTTGTTGGGTTCAAGCTTTCTGACGGAAGAAACAGGAGTCTAAAATGGACGAGACGTCAGTCGGGCTGCCCAGTGGTGTATTTCTAATGCTTAATACAAGCCCACCATGTAAGTGGTACTTTGGTCCTTCCCCCGGGATGAGCCCAACCCACTCGCACTTGCCCTTCCATTTTCTCTTTCTCGCCCACAAAACCCGGGCTTTGCATTGGCCCTCTGGCCTGGTCTTAGTGAGTGGCTCCTACCTGCTGGCGCTCCGATGGTGATGGTGCCGTGCAGCGAGGTACCGGCTTCCAGGTAGGAGTGTAGGGTACAGTACCTGCCAAATGTAGGTGCCTTGCCGCTGTGCAGAGGCGGTGCCTTCCAAGATGTCCTGGGAAGGTAATGCTCTGTAAGTCAAGACAGAGAGATGGCCAAACTATTACATATCCACGCTGCCCAAGTAGAACACGATTATCGAACAAACTTGCCCAGGTGGCCTTGACGGTAGGAAGCGTGGATCCTTCCCTCGCCTACCTGACTTGCTCTTGCCGTACAGGACATTGCCGACCGTAATCATGTCTTATCCGTTGACGTACTTGCCGTGCTGCATGCAATGGATGTAAGATGTAAGGAGAGAAGTACCGCAGGGAGTGTACATCCAAGATCTGCCCGTGTTCAGGTTGCTATGACTATGACCACGAAGAATTTTCTACGGGGGAGAGAGAGAAAAAAAAAAAATTCATTTCTCGTGGCTCCTGACATCGTCGTCGCCGCCCGTACGGTGTGGTGGGAGATGTCCTAGCTTCCTAGGGCTCTTAGAGAATGGCCGCCTGCCGTTCTTTAGTCATCCGTTGCAAATTTGCTATGGTGGCCACAGTAAAAACGGCACTTCATAGTGCCCTACCTAGTACCTTACTTACCTAGCCATTACGGCCGTGATGCGTATTGGGAAGCAGTTCCCTTCGTGATGGACAGTCATTGCGCTGTGATATGCGTATTCTCACCCAAAGTGATTGCCCACGAGGTAGAAAGCATCAAGCCTAGCGGCCTTTTGTGCTCCCTGGTCCACTGCCGAGAGGATGTCCATCTCAAATCATTTCGTGTTTGGTCTCCGTGGGAGGCAGCCCATGGTGGTGTCGTTTGGCTTAACAAAGCAGTCCCAACTCGGGATGATGTGGTGGACATGCTGCTACCTCACTTTACTTGATCATTCAGTAGCGCCATGCATCTCGTGGCCGGCCCCAGTGGCCCCTCATATCTCACCTACCTCCATCCGTCCTTGTCTGTCTCTGCTGAGACGAAACGGAACTGGGATGCAGCAACACTCATCGACTCGTGAAATCTACCGTCTTCGTCAGCGCGGTCCATGCCATTGGATTCGTCTCTTTGAACCTCGGACGATCTCAGAGTGGTAGGCTTGTAACGTTGGGCGAGCGCTCCTTGCTGCAACATGCACAAGCTCTTTAGCCAGGATGACCTGTATCTTGCAGATGGCCCTGTCCGTTCGTCAAGTCCCAGCAAGTATATGCATGGCTCGAGTAGAGTAGGTAAGGGCAGTCTACATTTCAGAATAGCTGTGAAGTTTGTAACCTCGGGGCGAGTGCAAATCGCATCGGCATGAAACTGTACCAAAAGCACCTGGACATTCCGAGGTTCATAGCCGACCAGTTTTCCAGGATATCATTAATATCAGTCCCGTTGCTAGTCGGCCGCTACTGCTCTAATACCTACCTAGGTAGAGCTTCCCCGATGGAAAGGAAAGAGCCACCCAAAACAATCGGCATCAATGTTTCTCCTAGGAATGAATTGCATAGTGCCACATGTTAGGATCGAGGGCTTAGAGCAACAAAGTCTTTCCCACCTGGAGCTGTAACTAGGAAGCTATGTGTAACGGTCTATAATATATCTCAATCTGCCGCTGCGGATGCTATTCAAACACACCATGGACCCGATAAGGACATTTCAGCAACTGAACAACCACTACAAACCGCCGCCCTAAGAATGAGGTCAGTGTCATGCGCTCCGGCTCCCAGCTTCACTGGCCATACCCACCAGTCTCGGTGGTTTGCGGGATTTATTTTAAACGTACCCTGACTCGGCCGTGCAGAGGCTCCATTTGGGGCTCGCAACTCGCAACGACACTACTGTACGCTACACTGACCTGCTCGTACTGGCTGTACTATGTACTGAGCGCACACGCATGTTACGAAGCTCACCCAACCTCGCGACTGGTGATTGGTTGATGCTTGGTGAAGTGGCATTTGAGCACCCAGCATCCATCCTCCACCTGCTGCTAGAATCGGGAAGGCAGCTACCTACAAGCTCCTGTTTGAGAGACACATCCTGCAGAGGCAACCCGCCTACAGCTGCTGCTGTCGGGGACATGTTGCACATGCAGACCCCGGGGCCAGCTTCCGGCGTCAAGCAGATATTCCGGGGTCGTGGATAGTCTTCGATATCTCCATCCCGGCATGCGTTCCAGGCCGTTCTCGCAGATGCTGCTCGTTGGCGGACTATTTCAAGACACGGAGTAAGGGGATCAAATGCCTGCAGCCGACGATGAGTTGTCCTCGAGCCCAGAGCTCCTTCTACAAACTACTACTCACTGCTCAGATCGCGAGTCTCCACGAGTCGTGCAGACCGAACTTCTGCGATGCGAAAGCACGAAGCGGTGTGTCGTGTCCGTCGTGTCGTGTCGCCCCGCGGCTGCACGAAACGACTTCTAAGTAGGTCGCGAGCATAAGCCGTATGTAGGGACGTTACTTGGCCCGGCGAGTTATCGGTGCCATCATACTGGTCCGGAGCTTCTAGGCCAATACTCACCGCAATCTCTGATGCTAATACCTCCCTTGCCATTGCCTCCTGTAAGGTAATCACTGCTGTGTCTGACAGCACTGTATCTTTTGCTTCCCGTCGTGCAGGGTCCCTGATAAGGGCTACTGACGTCATACCGGGCCCACCATCCAAGCTCGGGATTCCTTACAGCTCTCTACAGCGTTTTTCTTGTGCAACATCTGAAAGCCTCGTGGCAGAACAAAAGCAGCGGACTGGCTGATCTACAATTATTCCCCTATTCACCTGCTTCCTTCTTCTCCCGAGTGCGTCCTGCAGCTTCCCGTCTCGAGAGGATGGCAATATGCGCGCATCCGCCGCTCAGGTTTAGTTTGTAAGAGAAAGCTCACCCTCTACAAGCTACAATCTGCCTGAGTGGCTCTCGGTTAGATCGGGCAACCCGCCGAGACGGCCAAGCTGGATAAGGGTGCCGGAATGGGGCAAATAGGGCCACATTGGTTCTCAGCTATGCAACCGTGGATACTCCCCAACATGAGGGGTACTTTGCCTGTGATTCTGAGACTCTCGGCCTGCATACACACCGTCTTGGTGATGGGGTAGGACAGGGAGAAAGAGGGTCGGTTCCCTTGCCGTGGATCAGCCAATTGACCTCCGTACGCAACGCCTCAGGTGGCCGCACACGTGGTCTTGGGCTGCCGATCTCCGCCATCTCTCCTTAGTATCTTGGCGGTTGGTCGACGACATCGAGGGCTCGACAGGATGTTTAGCCAACGGCATCTCGAGGTGCGGTGATCTTGGTGGCGTCGCTGTGGCTTTTTTGTGTTGTTGCCGCACAATGCTTTTCCTACTTGAGGTCTTCTAACCGCGTCTCCCGGGGAAACATGTTGGGCGAAATACAATGTGTAGTATCTTCGATCAAGTATTGTTGGGAAACGGTGAATTCGTTATCTTCTGCGGATTGAAACTTCCAAATGACTCCTCCATCAGGGAAGACAAGGTTAGTTCGTCAAGGTAATGCTACCGAACAATGTATCGTGGTACTTATTCGCGGCTTGGGAAATTCTGTTTACTGCTATGGTTCGACAAACTTCATTTGAGGCAGTACCTCGTTTAAGCGGTCCTGATAGCCTTGATGAACTAGACATTTGTTACCCTAGTGGAAAAGTATTTTTGCAGGTGGCTTGTAGCCTCGTCTCCAACTCCTGGTATCACTTTAGCATTCGCCTCACTTAAAGGGTCATGATCGTCCGTTTCGGATGTATCTCGGACTTGATCAACATATCGGGACAGTGACCTTCTCGAAGAGCTCATGTGGCTTCTCGGAAAGCGTCTCAATCAAGTGGCAAACCTCTGGGACACCATCTTTCAATATCGCCCATAGAGCGTGTGATCTCTGCGTCTTCGTCGGCTTCATGAGAACGCTACAATGAAAGCAGTGATCAACGGCTTCCAAGTGGCACAATATGAGCAACCATACACAGACTGCAGTCAAGGCCAGACAAAGGTTTGATTATCTATTACTACCGGAGAGGTCATCTTTGCTTCTCTTGCTGAAGAACATGTGAAGGGTACATATCGTATATCTGCCTCGTAGACTCATCACTCCATAGGTCCAGCACCACGACCAGCGTTGCGTTGTATTGTACCAGACTGCGTGTTATCGCTTACAATACCATTTGCGGTCACGGCGTCTTTGAGCGCGGCGTTGGCGTCGACTCCGACTGGCTCTTGGACCGCGTATCCTTGATCGTCTCAGCAACAAGATCCGCAAACTTGAAGCCTTTGAATGCGCCGCCTGCAGCCTTGCCGCCCCCGCCCTCATCCTGCTCTTTGGAAAGGGGTGTGGGCTGTCTTTGCTCCTCGATGATGATGTGGTCATCTGACTTGTACCGATCGGTTTCGTTGAGGAACCGAGTGAGGTACATGGTAGCACTATGGCTCTGCGAGCGGATGCGTTCTACCTCGGCTCCATAGGCGCGGTCATAGACGTCATACTCGACAGCCGTGGGCGAGTCTGAGACGATCTCGGCCGGCGTCTCGTGCTTGGCAAAATCGTCTCGTTCACCAGTGCCGATACCCAGGAAAAGGGGCTCCATGTCAGTGACCTGGTGCGCATGCCCCTTTCCTGCGCCGCCGAGACTCCCGTCGGTTGCCCTGCGGAGAATCCGCCTGCGCTGGTCAAGAAGCTCAGCGGCGTGTTCGGCATTGGCTTTCTCGAGGGCCTCCTTGTTTTTCTCCAGGGCGGAGACCTGTGTTGGTGTAGGATCACTGTCTTCCCTAGTATTATGGCTATTCAGCTCGGGGTGCTTAGCCACTATGAGCCCCTTGAATTTGGCGATAGCTTTCATCTTTACGGGTTGATTAGCAGGCTGTCGAGACTAAACTATCCGGAACAACTTACGACACACAACAGGTGGCTCATCCGCCTCGTGAACGCATGGTTGACTTCAAGCGCGTTCGGAGGCTCAACCATATCAGACGTGTTATCCTCTTCGCTAAGCAGAGGATCCTCGCCACGTTTCGTAACCCAGGGATGTGCCTAGCGATCAATTAGAAATTTAACAGTGCACTGGTCTGCGCTTTGTGACTTACCCTGAGCTCGGACATTTTGATCCTCTTCTCGGGATCCTTCTCCAGGACTTTGTGCAACAGATCTACAAAGTCCTCGTCTTCGTTTTCGGGCAGCTGTATGTCTCGTGTTTTGATAGCATCATACATCTCCAGGACGCCATCCGTCTCGAACGGTATCCTGCCGTAGCGGAGACAGTAGAGGGAGACGCCCATCGACCATATGTCTGCTGCTTTGCCCGAGACGTCGCCATGTCGAGCTACGCACAACTCAGGGGGGAGGAAAGCTGGCGACCCGGCCGACTTGGCGGTTCTCATCTGGTCCGGCTTCTCAAACATCTCGGAGACACCAAAATCGACGACCTTGAGGACATCTTCATCCGTCAGCAGCAGATTATCCGGCTTGATGTCTCGGTGGACCACTCCCTGTGCATGTACTAGAGAGACAGTAAGCAATGGTGTTGACGACGAGGGGAAAACTAACTTACAATATTCTATGCCAAGGATCAAGTCCCGAAACCAACAGCGACAAGCCTCCTCGCCGTACGGGTCGGCAGGTTCGCCAAGGCCGACCTTCATGACGACTCCCTTCTTGCACATCTCCAAGACCATGTATAGAGAATCCTCCTCCGGGTCGTCCAGGACCTCGATGAGGGATACCAGGTTCGGGTGGTTGATCTTCTTCATGATGGCAATCTCCTCCCTGATCAAGAAGAGGGCGTCCCTCTCTTCTCCAGCCTTCTGGTCTGATAGCCGATCGGACACGCTGGGGTCCATGCCGCCCCGCGGTGGGAAACGCCCCGGCCTCCTAGGGCCATGGCGCAAGATGTTCGACTGTGCCCTTTTCCGTAGCCGGGCCTTGGAGAACTCCTTCACTGCCTGTTTCCGCAACAATTAGCATCCATTGATGGTATGAACGTCGCAACATGTCTCATGGTTGGTGTAACAAGCAAGCAGCGTACATATTCCTGGCCGTACTGGTCCACGGCGAGATGGACAGCCCCGTAGGAGCCCCGCCCTATCTCCTCCTTGATTGTGTACTGGTTGATTTTGTGGTGTGATCGACCGTCCGAATCATCGCTCGTGTATTCAGTTCGGGCATTGAGTGTTTCCTGCATTTGCAAGGGCAAGCAATTAGTTTCTTTGTGTCCCCGGGATGCCATCACGCAATGGCGAGGTTGCGCAGACAAGCTGCCCCGCCATCGCCAACAGGTTCAGCGGGACCCAGCGCACCTTGACTTCTCGATGATGGGAGGGGGTGCGGCGATGTTGTCTCATAGGACTCTTGTACTGCTGGACAGCGGGTGCGGATCTGATTGGGACGTTCAGCGGTGGTTAGCCAGGTCGCCATGCCATGCCATGGGAAGAGGGAGCGAGCCCAGATAGTCCATGCCATCGTTCACTTGCATGTGCGCGCGCGCATGCGATCCAAGGAAATCGGGTTTTGCGGGGGTGGCTGTGTAGACAAGAGCAAGGACTTACAAGTGGGCGGGGAGCGGGAGAGGTCTGGGGTCGTCCCCGCTGTCGCCGTGGACTTGGATGGAGATCTCGGGCTCGGGCAGACTCTTGGTCGAGCTGGCGCTGGTGCTGGCGGACATGATGGCGTCGCCGGCGTCCTGGTGAGGAGATTCGGAGGTGGTGGGAGCAGCTTCGCTGGCGGCGGGCTGCGTCATGTTGGCCTTAGGTGCTGAACACGGGCGCTGGAGGTAGGGTCGGTGGATCTTATCGATCACAGCCTTGCGCTGGTTTCGAGGTCTGCCCGATAAAGAGCTTGCGAAAGGCGGCCGCTCCGGGTGCTCTCTTCACTGTTCGAGTCGAATCACGCGAGACTCTCTCAATATGTGTCAAGTGTCAGGTTGGACCACCCGCCAGCTTCTCTTCACATCGGGGGAGCTTTCTTTCCTGTTTCCTTTTCCTTTCCTTTCCTTTCGGACCCCAAAAGCAGGCAGGCTGCTTCAGAACCCATTGAATTGCTCTAGTTCAGCTTCTTCTGCCAGCCCCAATTTCGCAGCGGACGAATCTCAGAGCTGGAAGCGTCCCCCGTCACTCCTGATCCCAGACTTATCGCGGGATTGGCCCCCACCTCACATCTACATTTGTACGTAGTCAATGCGCCCCAACAGCACTACGTAGAGCTGCGTGCAATCATCGTCTGCCCATTATCCTGGATGCTGCAACCCACTTCCCTCAGGTGCGTCCAGAGTGTTCTGGGCGTTCACATCCACCTGGACTAGGTAATGTACCCAATTAGCACACTGGGTTGCCGCTTAACCGCCCGCCAAGCAGCCCCCGGTCCGCTAACGTATCAGCCGCTACTGGGCCCTGTAAGGCTGGCCGTCATGCTTAATTACTTGGTAAAGAGCCATCGACTTATGACTCCATCTACTATAGGTAGCTGTATGGAGAGCTGCATTTCACATTGATCGTACCTGCCTTATTGCTCTAGAAAATACCTGGATGTCATTAACTCTATAATTAAAGACTCAGTCTTCCAAGCTCCCATGTATTTACCTAATCTCATAACTGAGTAATACTTGACGAGTCTTGAAATAAGTGCTGCCGTTTGATAGAGACCGTGTTGTTCTCAACTGACGACCAGCATATCAACTCGACTTCCACTGATCGAACCCTTTATCTTGTCTCAAGACTCTGTCAAACATCTTCCTGGGCATCAGCCACCAGGTCCAGCCAACAGCGCCCGCAGTTCCGCCGTGCCACATCTGCCCGGTGCGTCCTGCCAACACGTCCCGGGCTATTGACCGTCCCGTGGTCAGGGGCTGCTCTCTCTTCTCGTCGAACTCGCCTTCAGTCATCCCGTGGAAGAAGTTGGCGAGTGGCTTGTAGTGCGAGTCTTCCGGCAAGTCACACTTGATGGGTGCATAGAGGTTTGTAGCGACTAGGCCGAGCTGCACCGTCACAACATTCACGCCCAATGGCTCGAGCTCGAGACGCAGCGTCTCAGAGAGGCTGCTCAAGGCTGCCTTGGACGCATTGTAAATGGCTGATTAGAACATCAGTAACAACACTAAAAATGGCTATCTCCGTTCCTCGTAGCTCTTTGACTTGCACATACATTGCCACGGCACACGGGCCACCGCTGCCATGGACGAGATATTGACAATCGTCCCCTTAGCCTCGATCAGCATCGGCGAGAATGCTTGCATCACCATGAAGGCACCCCAGAAGTTCGTCTCGAACTGGGCACGAGCCTCAGCGATCGGCGTATCCAACGTCGGCTTGATGTCGGCGGTCCCGGCGTTGTTGACGAGAATATCAAGCCGTCCACCCGTCTTGGCACGGACCTGCTCCACGCACGCCGCAATGGACTCGGGCGAGACTACGTCCAGCGGGAGGACCTCGACATCGACATAGTCCGAAGTCAGCGAGGCCGCCTTGGCCGGGTCGCGAGCTGTAGCAAAGACATGGCAGCCCTTCTCGGCGAAGGCCTGGGCCAGTCCATAGCCCATGCCGCCTTTGCTACACCCCGTTATCAGAACAGTCTTCTTGGCCATGATTCGCAGTTGCTGCTGGTCATGCCAACTGAAACATCAGCGAGTTCTCTCCATTTATATACCTCGACCTCGAACACAAGGCGGCCTGACTCCATAGAACTTGCCGGCTTTGAACGGAGTTACGATACACTTGATTGAGATGAGAGAATGCGAATACTGGTTAGCGCAGGGAAAACCCGTAAATCCATCGGCAAGTGCACTGCTACGCCTTGCAATTCTCCATCCTTCGCCCCTGAAGGCAGATCCTACCCCAGATCCTGTGCTGGATGCAATTGATGCCTTTCCCCTTTTAATTATTGTAGACGGATAACGATAAGAGACATCAAGTGAAGCCCAATGATTGGACAAATTGCACCTGCCCCACGTAAGGTTCACGGATCCCGGTTATTAGTGGACATTCGACTACAACAGCGCCGATTGCTCTCCTTGACGAGCGGTAGCTTGTAGACCTTACCAGGCAAAGCAGCCACCACACACAGTGGTGCTGCCTTTTACAACGACATCGCATCAAGACTGCATCGTGGTGGTAGGACTACACCATAGCTGCAGGGAGCAGCTCATGACGGGGTCGCCATGACCGTCTTCTCCTTCTATATCTTCGACCGGCACAGTATGGCATACCTCGCAAACCCAACGCTCTAGCTCTCCTCTTTGAAGACCCCTGCTAACCTCTACTTCTTCTATAGCCGAGTGTATATACACCAGGACCTGGCCCTCTTCCTCCTCCTCTGACCGACCCATCTCCGGCGCGCCGACATCTAATGGCACTACCACCACCGGCGGACGCAGCGCCGTGGCCAAGGCGCGAGACGACGCGAAGCTGATCTTCGGCACGGTGTTCAGCCTGCGCAACATGGTGCGCAAGCTGGGCGGGGACGACGACGCCTTCATCAGCTACCGCACGGCGCAGTACCGCCTGCACTACTACGAGACGCCCAGCAGCCTGCGCTTCGTCATGCTGACCGACACGGCCACCCTCAGCATGCGCAACGTCCTGCACCAGATCTACATCAACCTGTGGGTCGAGTACGTCGTCAAGAACCCCCTCGCCCCCGTCGAGCACAAGGGCGGCGACGGCGTCAAGAACGAGCTGTTCGAGCTGGGCCTGGACCAGTTCGTCAGGGGCCTGATGTGATGACGAGGATGGGAGGAGATGCTGATTTTGGCCTTGCGGCTGGAGAAGAAACACCGCACGAGCGATGAGCCTGTCAGGCGCCGGCTCAGAAACGCTGCGAGCTTGAGGACCAGTGTTGGTTGGCCGCTCTAGAAATAAATGACCTCCGGCTAATTGCCCGAGGATCATCAAGCCAAAAGTGGTGCTAACAGGAGGCTCATGACGCCGTGGTCAGATAATTGACAAGAGGCCCGGATTCACCGTGCGAAGCGAACCTGGAAAAATCAGGCTCTCCACCTAGCATTACCAGAAAGGAGTAGATGAGTGAAGTGGCAGACCCTTGTTACGACAAGTCTCTGTTTAGAAACTACTGTTCAATTCCTATCATTATAGCAATACAAGCTCGGGTCCGGTATCATATATATGCAATGTCCAGCTGCTTCGATTCCCACGCCATAATATTTGAGACTGCCCCTGTCCTTCACGCCTACCCCGTACCCTATTTCATCCTCTGAATTTTTGAGTGGTGTCTATGTGTTTTTCTCTACCGCCTTTTCCCAGGCACTTTCGAAAGATGCTTGAGGATCAACAAGCACCAGACTCTCATCTGCCGTCGAAATCTGGGACTGCCTCACGCTTGTTGCGGGCGTAGCTGTTGCTGTGACATGTCCTGCCTCTGCCATGAGCGTCTCGTCCCTGATCTCATTCTCCCAGTTGCTCGAATACACCACCGCCGCAAAAGCCTCCACCTCTCGAACCTGGTCCATCTCCTGCAGATACTCGTTCGGCATGCCGTTGCCAATGGAGTGTGCCTGCCGTGTTAGGATAGACAGGATCTTAGGTAGAAGCACTGTCTTGCTGCTCTTTAATCTCTGAAGCTCGGGGCTGGGGCCCCCGACAGGGGGCGGAGGTAGCTCGAACGCCCCGAAAGCGAGCTTTTGATCTAGAAGCTTGGAGAAGCCGGCATCGAGGACGAGTGTAAGAACCTGTGAGAAGGCCGGCGACTCAGTCAGGTCAGCTGTCTCATCTAAGAGCCGTCGCAGGGACGATGTTGACCCAGCGGACGATGGTGCCGGTGCAGTTTGTGTCTGCAGGGTGGCGCTATCATCCAATATGCCAGACTCCTTCAGAACATACTCCTCCATGTCTGTGGGAGGGAGTAGGAAAGCTAGCCACGTTGTACGCTCCTGGGATGGGCCGCCGCCTTCTACTAGCTTTCGCACTTTGCTTGTCAGCTCGGAGAAAGCCTCAAAAGACAGTTGATCCCGTGGGCTTAATGAACCGAAAACCTCCCGCACAGCGTTCTCTACTCGTTGCATGACGTCCACCCACCCCTTGTTGAGCAGCCACCAGCTAAACGTGAGATATTTCCTGTTCGTCTCGAAGTCGTCCCCATATGCTTGATTCGGGTTATCGTCGTCGTTGTTCTCTAGGCTGATTGTCGCTTGCGCGCTGCCCGTAGCCAGCGATACTACGCTGGATAGATAGCTCCTCCGGCCGAGCAGGTTCAGTTGCACCCGTGTCAGCATCGTCAACAGCGCTAGCGTGTATATCAGAGTATACGCCCTCGTGATAGCTAAAACACCCAAGCCGTCAACATCTGCATCGTTGCATGTACAGGGCACAAACACTTACAGCTAATCGTCAAGTCATCCCACAACTGCCTCTTGGTCTTGCGCTTCGCCGCCTCCTGTCCAGCCTCGGCCGCCGCGGCGCTCGGCAGCGCCATCTGGCTCGCATGCACGCCGCTCTCGCTCTGCATGCTGACCATGCTCCTGCCGTCCTCGTCCGTGAAGTTCGTCTCGGCCAGGCTCATCGAGTCGCCGCTGCCGCTCTTGACGCTCCTCGCCGCCGCCGCGCCGGCCGCGCCGCCCTTCATCTGCTGGATCTCGTACGTGATCTTCTCCGTGTTCATGGCCTCGAGGATGTTGGTCGTCGCCGTGGGCAGCAGCGCCAGCACCGTGAAGGTGCAGTCCTCCTGGTTCTGCTCGAAGCGCCGCCGCAGGTTCTCCTTGGCGATGCGGTCGCTGCTCATGCGCTCGCGCGCGTCGTTGATCTTGCCCAGCACGTAGTGCGTCGCCGCCCAGCCGGCGCCGACCACGCCCAGCCCGATGGCGATGGGCGCCCGGTTGCGCCGCAGCCAGCGCCGAGTCGCCCCGAACATCGTCGTGGTGGTGGTTATGCGGTGTTTGGAGAGGTGCGGCTGATGGTGAGTTGTCGCCGAGGGCTTCGGCCGAGAGAATGTAGGGCCCGACTCGAAGTCGTTGCCCAGCGAGGTTGGTTTAGTTTGATGTCTTCGAGGCAGACATTGAGCTACGTTGTTGAGAATGCGCCCGTTCTGCTGAATGAAAGATGCTCGTGGCGTTGGGGGAAGCTCTTGTCACGATGGAAGAGTGCTGAGAGACGATGGTGTACTTGCCTCGGCTCGAGGGAGCCCTTCTACCGCGCGCTGTGGGCTATTAAGCTTTTAGTGCTGGAGGTACTGCGTCACTGGGGCCAGGCAAGAATTACCAGCCACGCGAGGCTCAAAGCTTGTGATTGAGCGTCTCGGTCCGCTGAGAGACCGGGGAAAGTAGAGGTACTTCAGGTGTCCAATTTACCCCAACCACCACTAAAGAGACCTGGAAGCGGCTAGCAGCATTAACGGCTTAGCTTTGCCTGGCATGCCCCGCCATAACGTAAGGTGTGGTGACCCCTCCTCCTCCTCATCAGCACCACCAACACCAACATCGCCAGTTGCCGTGTATGAAAAGGCTGCCAGCTGAGCTGAAGCCGACCCCGACACCACATCTACACTTCAACACGAGCTACAACTTGCAATGTACGCAATGGAGCAGCGCAGTGCTCCAGAGTTCATCCTCGAGGCGTTTGCTGATCCCACGTCTGTCCGGGATGTCGTACGTGGTGAGTCTCTCCCACCCCTCCCTATCTAGCTGTAGCGGCTATGTTGGGTTGTACCACACCCTGATCGTTCAATATATAAATGGCTATGGGTGTTTGTATTCAGACAAGAGTTGCAGAAGGCTATCTTGGTGTGGCCTTGACATGATTCACGACAACCTTGGAGGAAGCTTGAGCTAGCCCTCCCTTGAGAAAACCTGAAGAGACCTACCTGCCCGGACATCCACTGACACAACAACTTCCCTTACGCAGGTATTCTCCAAACGATTTTCTTTCACCGCTTCTTTCCCTCTGTGCTGCCTCACACTCGTGAGGTCCTCGATCTGACCCTACCGTACGTCGCCGACGCCGAGCTCGAGACGATGATTGACCAGCGCACCGCGACACTTGTGCGGCAGCTAGACGCCGAGCGCGGGGCGCAGCAGCACCACGCCACGGCGGCGGGCAACGGCGGTGGACGCGGTCAGATCATGGTACAGTTCTTTGAGAAGAAGCGTCGCAAGACGTGGCTCATACGCGGCGACGAGGAGGTCTGCTGGGAGTGCTGGACCGTCAAGGTGACGGTGGCCGAACCGAGGACGGAGAGTGGTGAGTCGTCCTTCTCTTTGGGCTCTTTATGAAGAGGACTCTGGCCCGAGCCTTAGGGCCAAGGCGAGAAATCCAGACTGATAGCATGTGCCTACCTACAGAGAGAGCCAAGGTCCGCAAGGCCATGGAGCAGACACTGCTCGCCGCCATCATGAAAATTGTCACCTTCGCCAACACCCACAAAGATCACATCCCCCCAATCACGACCACCGAGGCGAACCCCTTCCCCTATCAGATTACCGTCAACCAGAAAGAGACGGGTTGGGCTACAAGAATGGGGATATATTGAGCATTCAGGAGGATAGGCAAGCAGGTCACTGCTTCCATCTCTTTTTAAGCTTGCGCTAGTGATGAAGTCTTTCCTAGAGCATTGTGCGGCGTTTTGGAGTTGAGAGAAGGATCTCATTCAGCAAGTCATATCAGCTTGATGTAAAATATTTCAACCGGCTGGTCGGTAGGGCAATGGTAGACGATACCCAGGGCAAAATGTACCTTGACATCTTCACTGGCAACCTCCGTGAGATGTCACTAGATGGAATGATAACTCAATACAAATTCCTTCTAACCAAGTGTCACTTGGCAACACTATTACGGCAATATTCACTTAGCAGGAACACCAGGAAGAGAGAGAAGTGTTGGTCAAGAAGCCTAATATCAGTCCTGGTGGACAGCTACACTAAAGATGTAGTAGTAGTTTCATACATTGCTCATTGACTATGGAGGATTCCCCCGAGCTTTCCCGTACTCAAGGAGAGCAGTTGACAGTCTTGCGCATTCCAGTTTCCATTGGGCAGTATCACCAATCGCCCCTTGTGCCAAACCAGAAAGAGACCGAAAAGACAAAAAGAAGCAAAGCTATTCCAAACACCAACCCAAGAGGAGGCCGTTTCCTAAGAACTCTGACATGCTACCGTATGTACCCTAGAAAACATTCATCGTTATCATCAACAAGGACGCAAACATAGACAAGAAGCCGTGGGGCAATCCGAGGCCAATGAGTTGTTCTAATCAATCCCATCATTCCTCGCGTTCATCCATCCAATTGCAGGACCAAGTATCCTGTTAGCACATGGTGCTTATCGCCAATTTGGCATGTCCACGTTAGGACAGAGTAAAAGTGCCTCATCATAATCGTAATAGTCGTAAACACTGCCTCAGCCCAATACATAGGGCAAGTAGAATGTCAGGCATTGTATTTAGAAGGTAGAAGTATAGCTGCGACCAAAAGCTGGCTTAGAGGTGGGACGCGTTGGTTGAGAACCACCACCAATCTTTTCGAAGCCTTGTAGAATATCAAGACCAGAGAAGTCGTTTGGATCGTCAAGGAAATCAGTCGTGCAGAAGTCATCCAAGATCCAGTTGGTATTCTCGATATTGGCCAAGCTGTCGTCGAAAAGAGGTGCCTTGCTTGGAGACTGGAAGTTGAGGAGCTTGCTGGGAGAGCTCAAGCCGTCAAAAGCCTTGCTCGGGGTCTCAAAATTGACAGCAGGTGACTGCCCAGGTACCTTGAGAAAGGGGGCTGATGTAACAGACTTGTGAGATGCAGAATTTGTGATGTCGGTGAGAATGCTTGCGCTGTGTGCCCGATCTAGACGCATTCTCTTGACAGAGCGCTTCTCTGGAGATCCATTTTCTACGTTTCCGAAGAATGCCGAGCCATCGTTGAAAATATCAAAATGGTCACAGGCTTCTCCGTAGACGAAATCGCGCTCAAACAGATCATAATTACCAGGGCCAGGGCTGTAAGGTCGCGGCTCGCCCACCTCACCCATATTGCTGACCCGTCTCAAGGGCGATTGGAGCATTGAACGAACTCTATCGCGGTGGAGCTTGAGGTTGGTATTCGGAGACACGGACGGTGGAGGCTTAGGGGGCGCCTTCAGTTTCAATGCCGGAGTCAGTGGAGGCAACATCTGATGCGACTCATTGTTCGGGTTCTGACGAAGAGGCGATGAGGAGGGTGGAGCAAATCCATTCCACGAACGGCCCTTGGTCGGACTATCATATGACGAGGCACGAATGCGAGCAATTTCCTCTTCAGCCCTGCCCCGTTTAATCCGCGGGCGATCAGCCTCTGAGGTGAGTAAACGACCAGCCTGGCTTGGTCTTATGATAGATGAGTCCAGAGAGGAGATGTATCCGCTGTCGTCCATCGAAGCAAACTTTCGCTTGTGAGATCTGGTAACAGATGATCCAGCAACCGCTTTCGTTACGCGCGGAGGCGTATTATTGTGGATCTCGACATGTCTAGGAATAGGTGGTGAAGAGTGCATAGTAGCTGGTAGCGGAGAGTAGAAGCCAGAGTCCAGTTGTACCTCAGTTTCAAAGGACTTTGGGAGGCCGTCTTCGAGTAGTATATTGTCTGATGCCGGGATTGTCGCATCCGAAGACGGTTCCTGTTGAAGAGGAGCTGCAGGCTGAGAAGTTGGGAGATTTGGCAAGCATGTTTGGTGAGTATGAAGTTGAGGTGGAAGCGTCGGCTCTGGTAGGGGAGCAGATATTGGCTGGATGGGTTGCGAAGGTTCCAGGCGCGTAGACATTACAGGAAGATTCTCTGCGGCCGATGTCGACTTCCGTACTGGCTTCTCCTTCATGAACAAGTGTTCCATACCGGGCTCAATTGCCCAGTAATTGCCCTTTCCTGGATCATCCTTGGGCCGTTCTTGTTTGATGAAATTCTTGTTCAGGCTGAGGTTGTGGCGGATGCTGTTCTGCCATCCCGCGTCCTGGGCGTTGTAGAACGAGTATGTATCTGAGATCCACTTATAAATTTGAGATAGAGTGAGGCGTCGGTTTTGAGCCCGTAGAATGGCCATACCAATCAGCGTGGCATAGCTGTGGCCGGGCTTGGTGCCATCGTCGGGAATCGGCGGAAAGGACTCGGGCGATGGAAGAGGAGCATCATCCAGCTTCTGCTTCTTCTGTGGTCGAGCTTCTTTGATGGGAGCTGGCTCTAATAGTACTCGTTTGCCTGAAGGCTTCTGGTAATAGTTCTCGAAAGACAGATTCGGAGTCGGCGGGGCAGGATAGATAACAGGATGTGAGTTCTCCTTGCCCATGGACTGCGGAGCGGTTTTTTCACCAAGAGGCTTCTGGGCGACTGTCTTGAATCTTGACATCAATGGCTGCTTCTTTTGCATTGAGTCGGTAGTCTGCATCTGATGAGATGGCGGCATGATTGATACAGCGTTGAGCTTATTGCCTTGGGAGGCTTTCAGAGGGGTCAGTGGAGAAGTAATCGTCTGAGTTGTCGACTTGAAGGGCGATTGCCTCGTGAATGAGGCGCTCGGGGGATTTAGCACCACGTTTCCCTGTGAACTCTGAAGCGGTCTACGCGCCGGTCTCGCAATAGGGGGCATTGGAGCATGGTTCATCATGGGGGCAGAATTGTCGAAGAAGTCGTCCTGAAAGATGTGCAGCGGTTCATTACTGCCAAAACGCGTGGGTTTGGCCATCTCGGCCACGTCGCTGTCAAGAGATCGCGGTCAAGTAAAGCGTGTCAAGTTTAGAATCCTTCCTTTGCACGTCAGCAGGCTGACTATGGTGGTTATGTGGCAATACAGGCATAGGAGTAAGGCGTGAAGCTGGCTATCTCATTTCTTGACCTTGGATATACCAAGGCGATACTGGGTGGAGGGAGATGTGCTTTAGAAGAAGGAAGGTCGTCACTTACCGTGATCAGGTTGGCAAATTTAATGAGCTGTGGGGCAGGCTGCAAGGGAGAGCCGTGACGTGTAGCACTGAGTGAAGCCGTGTGTGAAGTCTTTTGGTCAGGATATCCTTAGGGTGTAGTAAGTTCCAGTAGGCTGCTATTTTGCGGGAGTTGATGGTAGGTTGTCGAGATGTTCCTTGGTGGACTGAGGCCGGACACGATGCGGAGAGGAGAGACGATGGCGATGGGAGGTTTGTCGGAGCAAGCGGGAGAGGGGATGTGATAGGGAAAGGTCGATTGAGCGAGCGCGGAGAAGGCCCAAAGTCAAAGACGTCGTACGGTGCGGTACGTTAGGATGGAATGAGGGTGAGGAATGGACGGACTGCCAAAAGTGGGAAAGGACGGCAGAAGATAGATTGACGCAGCCAACTCAGCACCTGTTCCAGGCCTGCAGGCCGAGTGGAGACCGAAAGAAAAAGTGTGGTAGGAGATGATTTGATGGCTTCAACTCAGGCTGACACTTGGACAAGGATCCGGGCGGTCGACTTGAGTCGGACGGACAGGGTTGAATGGAGCAAGCCTCTGCTTGTCACTGGCTACGCGCGTTGGTACCGTTCCGGCTTGTATGGAGGGAGGGTCAGAGCAAGCAAGCAGACGGGGCAAGCCTGAGGTATAGCAGACGAGGATAAGTCGAGTAAAGTGGATGGATGATGGGCCACACACGCACGTCAAGGCGACCTTCTTTTCCCCTCAATTAAAGCACACCATTCAGGAAGCAGGAATGCAAGAGGTGTGAGCCAGGCGAGCAGGGACTGATGGGTACCGATAGGACCATCCCACACTGCACAACCAAGCTGGGTTTAGACCACAAGGACACGCCGAAGAGGTCCCAGCTGGAGAAGTAAAGATGGTGGAGCACTGAAGGGGAAAAAAGACGAATGGGCGAATATAGGTCAAATGGAACCAGCCAGGAAGTTCCCAGAACAAATACCGTGGGAAATCTCAAAAAGCGCGAAACGATGAGGGTGAGTGAGAAGAATAGCGGCCAAAGGCAAGAAAAGAGGAGACGCCAATGAGGCTTATGCCGGCGCCGTTCCAAGATAGTTTCCTAAGCCGTGATCCTGAACCTGATCCCGATGAGATCGGTGATGATGATGAAGCAGACGGTGGCAGACTGCGAGACGGACTGGCCAAAGCGGGCTGTGCGAGTGAGAAGGAATGAGAACAGACTAATATGAGCGATTCCCGTTCCGCGATTGGTTCGCACGTGCGGCAGAGAGAGTGCCCAGTTGAGGTGGGAGGGTTCGGGTGCTTGGGGACTCTCCTCCATCAAAGTGCAAGAGGAGGAAGGAGTGAGAGACAGACGCGATGTCGTCCTGCGACGCGCTTTCCTTGACACGAACTTTGTTTACGTGCAGGCCCCGCGTCAGCCAATCGCTCCTGCCTGTTTCATGGCTGTCCTAGAGCTCAGCCCCTCGTTGGCTGGAAAGTGCAGGCCTTTGAGGTAGGCCGGCGCTAACAAGCTCCACACATTCGCCCTTATGCCGTGCACATTGGATAACGCTCTTACACGAGTAGAATTCTGGACCTCTTCAAGTCACCAGCAGCAGCAATGTTGGCTGAGAATGACCATAGAAGAAACCCAGCATCGAGAATCTTTAAGCCACCCCTCTGCTCGGCTGTACGGTCGACTGTCGTTTCATAATATGATATGACTGAGCTGATGGCCACCGGGTCAGAGCACAGTGTCTCCCCTCAAACGGATCATCATCTTGCAACATTACAGTGAGACCCATCCCGCTCAGCCCACTACGTCGGGCGGTATCTGTTGGGCGGCTTAGTATCCAGCCAGGCGAGCCTAGCAGATCTGCCATTCACTAGAGCAAGCACTTACAGCGATCATACGGTTCACGTTCACGCATTCACAGGTAAAAAAGAACGCTAGGCACGCAAGACATCTGTATCCTCGGCGCGGCTTGGTCTGGCTCGTAGTCAAGGCCGAAGGTTTCAGAGCCAAGTTTTCTTCTACCAGACCTCAGAGCGTGAATGACATGACATCATGCTGTAATCCCATTCACCTTCGATCGGTCGATCAAGGCTTTCAGGTTCCCCCTCCACCCATCGACGTCACCTACCGTAGCCAGCATTCTCTGCTTCCGGGCGATCCCACCCGTTCAGAGAGACTGCCGAAGAGCCAGCCGAGCCAGCCAGGCCGCCAGGGCAGATGCTCCAGGACCCAAGCGAGAGTCCAAGACATCTATCAGGAACAATCGGTGCTGCGTGCTTCGTGTTCACCACCGCCGTGAACACTGAACACAGCCCCCGTTACCCACCGACGCGGAAGCTTCAGGCGGACTCCGCCATCTGACTCAGGAGAGACAGTCCGCTTCATCGCCCGCCTGCTATGTCCAGGGCCTCCCAGGATCACCCGGGCCAGGCCAGCCAGGACATGCTTGCCAGAAAGATTTTTCCTATTCTATCGTCTCTTTTTCCTGACGGGTCCCTCGTTCTAGTTTTCAACAGGAATTTCGGTCCCATAGTTTCGGTCCCGGGAACAGGCGCTCGAAGCACCTGGCTCCACGGCCCCCACCCTGCCTGTCCGGGGAGCGCGTTAATCCTGGCGGGTTATAAAGTCCATTTATAGCCGCGCAATATCCCCTCCCTTGGGTAGTAAATACATTCAAATCAAGGAATCTTCATCCGTCGATATCTTCATCGTGAGAGAGGATTGTCTATGGGTAAGTATGGCCGATAGGTCAGGTAGTCAACACGCAGTTTTCAGTATCTGAGCAGAGTAGTCATGGCACAATACCCCCACGAGGATGTCCAAATCTTGGAATACTTTCGGTCTTCTTTGATATTGGAGTAATCTGTAGCGTAGAAGAGGGTGTGGCCGATCGTTATCTTGTAGGCACAACGCTGCAGTCGGCACCCAGAACAAACGTGCAGAAACGCACGCTCCTCGTGAAACCGGCATCAAGCTATGCAGCCCGCGGTGCCTCTCAAGCTATCCTCGTATATGTTCTCATGCAAGAGAGCACGTTTCAACATGAAAGAAACGTACTTAGGCATGCACAACATGGCCGGCATCCTTTGGATTGGATGAAGCTTAATGTAGGTATTACAGCGGTGTTGTGGAGTAGATATCAGAATAGTGACCGTGAGTTGCTTGTCCCCTCTTCAAATCACGACAGGGAATATATGACTCAGAGTCTTACTGGGGGGTCATGTAGAATGAGCTATTAAGGTAGGCTAAGTAGAAATCGAGAATAAGCACTTTCTATAGGTAAATCAAGGTGGCTATGAGAGTTATCTGAAGTATTACATTGCGAAGGCTAGATCAAAGTCACGCGCATATTGATCATATTTACACTGAACTGTCAAGATAAGCAGTAGACAGCAAACAAGTTGTGTACATAGTCAAACCAAAAACTATTAGTTCTCTCCGACTGGTTATGTCAATCTACCTATCTCCATTGATCTCCCTGATGACAGGGGCCCGGCCTGCTTTCGCCGACCGGACTCCTGGACACGGACGAATGCATGAACACTTATATTAATCCAACACCCGGCCTGCCACTGCTGCCCCACTCTTATCCTTGGTAGTTGTCTTCTTGAGCGCCCTACCAGCCTGGATCTCTCCCAGGAAGCCTGTTGGTCGACCCCCTGATGGTGCGGCAGCTGGAATTTCGCCGGCCGCCGGTGGTGGTGGCGGTGGAGGAGGTGCCATTCCCGGAATCGGCGGAGGAGGCGGCGGAGGTGCGGCAGGGGCATCCGTCGGAGGCATTGGTGGTGGTGGTGGAGGAGGAGCACCGGTAGGACCAGGCGGCGGAGGCGGCGGCGGTGGTGCTGCCGGAGCAGGAGCAGGCGAGGACGGCTGCTCAGAAGGGGGTGCAACGGGGGAGCTGACGGTAGGTGATGCCTTGTCACCTGTAGCAGATAGAGGACGGGGTGGGCCCATCGTACCGAAGAGAATCGAGGCCAGGGCAGCGGCGCTCTTGCCACCAGGCCTGTCATCATCCGAGTCCTCCTCTTCTTCCTCCTTGTCACTGCCCCATCCGTCGTCATCAGGCCGTTTACGAGAGACCGGGCCAGTTGGGATCGGAGGAGCGGTAGTAGTAGGAGCCTTGGCCTCCTGTGTCATGCGGTAGAACGGGTTTGTAGACACATCTGGTTGGGGCGGTGCCGGGGCCGAGGTGCTCGGCGTAGATGACTCGGAAGACTGAGACATCATCCGGAAGTACGGATTGCGGCTTTCAGCATCGGTGGGTGGACTAGTAACAACGGCAGGCGGCGATACAACCGGGACGGCCGGGATAGTAGGCGGCGTTGTCTTCGGCTCCAGCTCTTGACTGCCAACCTGACTGCCGCCCAGGGTCGGTGTCGATGCCTGAGGGGTGATTTGTTGAGGACCTTCATCATCATCAGACGAGCTGTCGTCATTCATAGCTTCCAGCTGTCGCTGCAACTCCTCTTCACGCCTGCGAGCTGCCTCGATCTCAGCACGTCTGGCGGCGAGCTTAGACTCCTTCTCCTTTGCCTCAGCGAGAGCGGCCTTCTTCTTTTTCTTCTCTTCCTCTTTCTTGAGCTTTCCTTGCCGAACCTGCTCCTCAAGGGCCTTGAGACGAGCTTCTGCTGCCTGGCGCTCCTTGGCTAATTCATCTTCTTGCTCACGAGCATTTTCCCTATGTTTATTAGCTTAGTCCCAAATGTCTAGAGTTCGAGATAAAAACTCACTCTAACTCCTCAGTGGCGCGCTGCTGATCTGCACGTTCCTGTTCCAGGCGCTCTTCTTCCGCCTTCTTCGCCGCCTGTTCTTCCTCGGCTCTTCTCGCGGCATCACCGCCAGCGCCCTTTCGACTTGGCGGCGGAGGCGGCCGCTTAGTGTCTGCTTTCGGAGATGATACAGAGGGAACTCCCATCTCCTGGTCGAGTCTAGCCCGTCGCTCCTCATCGCGGCGAGCATCCTCTTCTTCAGCTTGACGGAGCTTGGCGGCGCGTTCTGCACGTTCGCGCTCCATACGCTGAGCAGCGCTTTCACCAGGCTTTGATGGTGCCTTGATGCCAAGCGCAGCGAGCCTTTCGGCCATGCGTTGCTCAGCCTGTTGCTTGATGAAAGCTGCACGCTCTTCAGGTGTCTTGTATGACGAGTAAGAGCCTCCGCCAGTAGATGAGGCAGTAGTCGGTGGTGTAGCAGTCCGAGCTGTAGAAGCAGGGCTCTCATAGCGAGCTGGGGAGGCTACTTCGCTCCTGGCTGCTGGCTCTGCTGGCTTGCGCTCTCCACGGCGATCCTGGTTACGAACACGGGCCGCTCTGCTCTCACGTTGCAAGTCAAAGATGAAGTCTCGGACCTCATCTTCAACCCCAAGTGCATCCTCCCATCTACGTTTTTCATGTTCGTTGGTAGAGGTCTGGCCGCCCTCCTTCAGGCTGTCCTCGATGCCTCGTGCAAATTCGCGGACACTATCTTCCACGTCCCGCACCATACGCTCGTTGTTCTCCTTCTCTGTTCTCACCTTGATGCTCTCTTCTTCTAGACGCTTTGGTGCATCATGATCGTCAGGGCCAACGTCAACTTTCTTTCCAGTGAGGGCGGCCGTGCGCTGTTGCATCATAGCCTTTGCTCTAGCCTTAAGCCTATCGGACTCAGTGATCATTCCACCTGGACCAGTGCCCACGATCGTGCCAGCGCTTCCTGGGTGCGCCTTTGCATCTTTAATGCGGAACAGCTCAAGCCTGGCATCCGCGATAGCCTTCTCTGTCTTCCTGACCTGAGATGCCAACTCGGGAATCTTATCGGTCAAGTTTTGCAGCTGGCGTTTGAGAGACCTACGCTCGGCATCAGAATCCCCAGTGGCTAGTGCAGCATCTGGATGGGCGTCAATATCATCCTGGAGCCTTCTGATGCGTCGATAAAGCTCCTCAGCCTCGCGACGATCTCTACGGTCAAGGACGTCATCCTCCTCGGCGTTCTTCTCATCCTTAAAGTCCATTGCATCCAAGATAACTTGTTTCTCTCGGATCTTCTTTCTGAGTTGGTCGAGAGTAAGCTCGTCATTAGATGTAACAGAAGATGGAGATTCCGGCCGAGGGGAGCCATTGCCTCCAAGCCTACGCCGAGCACTAGAGCGGTATCCAACCGCATCGTCGTTGTTCTTAAATACGGTGGCATCTTTTCGATTACCGCCAAATGCACCGCCTGATGCACCTCTGAATGAGTGGTTCTTGAGATAGCTCACTCCAGTCTTCTGTGGAAGCAAGGCAGCGCCCGAGTTCTTTCGGTAGTCAGACTCCTCGTGCAGCATGTTCTTGATTTGGCCGATTGCTCCACTGAAATTTCTGGTAGATGGAGGCACAAGTTCCGCGGGTAGCTGGTTAGGAATAGGGTACCCATTCAACTTGCGATAGATCAAATGCATAGCAACGGCAAACTCATCGAGGTCAAGGCGGCCCTTGTTTCCATTGTCCGCCAAGGTCCAAACGCGCTCAAGGTCAGGCTTTTCCAGACCGCTTTGCCCAAAAATCTCGATAGCTTGATCACCTCCAATGTAGCCCTTGTTCAGTCCATCCCAGGCTCTGAAAAGAGAATCATATCTGTGTTTCTCGTCCTTAGTGATGGCCCAAGGGATCACAGCATTGCCCTGTAGACCAGCAGTGGTGAAGTTCTGCTGTTCGCGACCCTGCTGAGGCATCATCCTTGCTTGCAGCGCATCAATATTGGGTAACCCACTTGCGGGCGTATTTACCAGTCCCCATTGCCCTGGGCGGCCAGTAGGTTGGGCATTAAGAGGTGCAACCATGCCGCCTGGTCCACCGGGTGTCAAGTTAGAACCATAGCCAGTAGGCATGGGAGGCATGGGCGGCCTCGGTCCACTGTAACCTGTGGGCTGCGGATTGACACCTGGAAATCCTGTCTGCTGAGGCTGCATACCCTGCTGTTGTTGGCCTAAGAAGCCAGGTTGCTGTCCCGGGAAGCCGGTCATCTGCGATTGCAGAAGTTGTGAGTTTGAAGGCTGCGGTTGCGGATGCTGGATTGTCGGCGGTGTAGCTGTGCTCTGGCGTCCGGTGAAATCAGGAGCATTGCTAGCAGGGGTAGGGCCCGAGCTACCACTCGCAGCTTCCTCAGCGATGCTGAAGTTAATGATGTCAACCATGCTGGAGACCTCATTCTTGATGTTCTCCGGAAGTGTTGAGGGCAGCGTCTTGCCGGTCAGCTTGAGGTTGCAAAGATACATAGCTAGCGCAAACTCAGGAAAGTGAAGCTGTCCGGACCGCGTTGTATCGGCCAGAGTCCTATTTGAAGTGTTAGCCCAATCCAAAAGTCCGCCCAGATGTTGACCAACCATATATGGGACAATGAGTCTCCATCCAACCTGGATCTCATCAGCAGATCGCGGGCTTTCTCGCCTGACATTGTGGTCTCGCTATCGCCAACAGCTGATTTAAACAGTGTCTCGAACTTTGCCTGATCTTGCGCCGTAATGAATGACAGTCGGATGTTTGGAATCTTCTTCGACGGCTTCTTCTCTGCCCTTCTGCCCTGAGGCTTTGCTGTCCCTCCAGTCTGGAACGAAGCTGCCATCTCGCTAAAGCCTGTCGGTTGAGGTTTCTGAACAGGAGCTGGTGGGGGTGCGGATGCCTGTTGGGGAGGCTGCGGAGGGGCAGAGGCAAATGGGCTCGGCTGCTGTTGTTGCTGCTGCTGTTGAAACTGCGACTGGAACTGCTGTGGGATCGACGGAACCGGAGGAGCACCGGTCTGGAAGCTCTGCTGCTGCGGTGCCTGGCCTGGGAAGCCGGTGAACTGCGGCTGGAGCTGGCCGGGGCCTTGAGGTTGCTGCTGCATGCCCGGGAAGCCGGTATACTGTTGCTGCAACGGAGCTTGGCCGAAGCCTGTCGGCTGCGGAGCAAACGGACTTGGCTGTTGCTGGCCGGGCTGCTGTTGCCCCTGTCCCGCGTTGAAAGAGCCTCCATATTGCTGAGGCCCGGGCCGCAGGCTGTTGCCGCCGCCGAGGAAGGAGTTAGATCCTGAATACATCGCGGGCGGATGAGCCGAGGACGGACGGCCTGGATGGCTGGTTAGGAAAAGGAGGCGGGCAAACGATTACGCTGCAGAGCTGCTCTGTACCTGCGCAAAGGACCTAACAGACGGTCAAGAAATGCAAATGAAATAAATAAAATGATGTATAAATCAATGAGGGGAAAGAGGCGATAAGGCCCACGAGCGCAGATGACGAAGCTCTCACGAGGTGCTCACAATGTCCTGCAGAGTATCTGCGAATGAGGTGCGCAAGTTGGCAGTCGGCGCCTCATACAAGGCAGAGAGCTAGCACGGACGTAATTCGGTGGCTGAGGCATTCGCATTAGCGAATCGCTTTCTTCAGTGTTTTAGTGTATTACCTAAGCCAGGACTAGCAATACCTAGCACCAGTAAGGCAACTGGGCTCATTGATAAACTACAATAGACATCTTGGGCATTTCGACTTGAATCTCACTTCACTTCTAATGAGCTTGACAATAATAGTGTCTGTCTAGTATTACTAGCAGATTCTTCATATTTCTAAACCTTTTCGACATTATCGGTCAATCCTCCTGAAGCTGCACAAGCGTAATGATTCTGCCCATGCCTCCCTCCTTAAATATCTTATCCACTAAGTGTTAATTGGCCCCTTGAAGCTCGTTCAGTACCTACCCCGGCTATCTTCTAAGTGCCGTGTAGATCGCGATGCTCCAAGCTCCCTCAGAAAATTCGTAGTCCTCCCATTCTTCTCCGCTACGTCGTTCAAGTAGATGAGATGGCAGGGAATTTTGAGGCCTCAATCTTCGCCCAGGACTTCAGGTTTGCCTTTGTGGCGGCTAGTGCTCCAGACAGTCCAAATTGGTTGGAAATGCCTTCAACTCTGTGAGTCGAATTCAGATTCTTAACCAAGACAATCTGATAGCAAGTAGCGCTACCTTGCCGAGAAATGATGGTTGAATAAGCCAAGAAGTACTCCCAGATCTATGGAATGTATTGTCAGCAAGGTAATTGTCGCAGACCGTTTTGATAGGACATACCCTGAACCATCGCTTGCCATATTTGGCTTCCACTTTATACTTGTTGGCCACCCAGTTTCTATACCATCTCCACAACGTTGCAGAATAGTGAACACCAACAGTGTCAATACCCTTGACCTCAAAGCCAGCTCCTTCGAGCTTATCAACAAACCAACCAAGCGGTGTGCTAGCATCTGCGCCAGGAAAGATGTACTTGTTCATGAAGAGCCCCCAGATCAAATCTTCGTACTGCCAGCTCTTCCGGAGGCCGGCAATCTGAAGAAAGAAAACACCGTCATCGTCCATCATATCGTAGACCTGTCTCAAGAAGGTGTGAAAATGCCGAACGCCGACGTGTTCAGCCATTTCAAGACAGGTAATTCTGTTATAGCGACCTTTTGGAACGGGTATGTCTCGATAATCCATACACAATATCTTACTCTGTCCTTCCGGAATACCGGCCTGCCGCAGAGCATTGTTACCCCAAGCAGTCTGGTTCCTACCGAGAGTAATACCAGTAGCACGAGCACCGAAATTGACACTGGCAAATCGGGCAAGAGTGCCCCAGCCACATCCAATATCGAGAAGACGCTCTCCTTCCTTTAGCCCGATCTTCTCGCATACGATAGCAAGCTTGTTGTCTTGAAGTTGCTCGAGGCTTTCTTCACAGTTGATATCAGAAATAATGCCTGATGTATAGATCATACGAGGACCGAGGAACCAGCCGTAAAAGTCATCGCCACGATCATAATGATCTCGGACCTGCTCCTCATCTTGAGATCGAGTGTGCATGATAACCTCTGGAATCATTCCAAAGAGGAAAAACTTGATCAGGCCCAAGGTAAACCTAAAGCTCGCCCAGTCGTGCCTGTACTCCATCACCTCCAAGCAGTCACCGTTGAAGTCGACATCACCATCGAAGTACATCTCGTGAAACGTCTCCATAGAAATTGTATTCTTTCCATGATACGTAGCCCTGTCCTCAGGCTTTTTGAAGGTCAGATAGTGCTCAACGGGCCGACCAGGAAAGCGGGCCTTCTCATTTTTCCGGGGGCTAAGTGAAGAGACTGCCAGCCAGAAGCCAGCTAGGAGAGGAATGGTTGTGAAGAGACCAAAAAAGATGGCAGTCTTCGTGCCACCGCCAAGCTTCCACGAGAGCCAAAATGGTGGAATACCAAGTACACCAGCGAGAAGGAGCAGGGAGAAGCTGTCAGAGCCAGGGCCATCAGCGGGTAGAGGCGCATTTTTGATACAGGGGTACTAGATGGATGTATATGTAAGCAGAGTTCCGCGAGTGTCAGCAACGAGGTAATATGATAAATAAGCGCGTCTAGAAACATCTCGTGCGCAAATCTAGCAAATTTAAGCACAAATTTTACCTACCGAGGTAGTGCGAACTCCACAATCTTCGAACTTCTCAAAGTTGGGAACTGGAGCTTTTGGTGTTTCGATGAACTCGAAGTCAGTATCGCTACTGGTGACACTATGAGGCTTCGACATATTGAGCAAATATTCGTAATCTCACAGATTCAATCGGAATTATGTGGATGAGATTCATTTATAAAGGCTTGCGAAAACCCCCCTGGTGGGAAGGGCAGCTTTGGCGCCTCCCAAGCATGTAAGTGGCCACGAAGCGCACGAAGGGAGAGGTTGGGAGGGGCGATCAAGCTACCTAGGTAGAGTACTCCTTGCCTACTAGGTGTGTACCTTACGTATTCCAAAATAATCCGTAGAACAAACTCATCATGCAGGGTGTCGGTAGCATCTTATTGTCATGTTAACCACGTCTCTTGCATCAGTAAAAGGAGCCATACGCGAAGAGTTGCGAGCATTCGAAAGCCATCTAAATACCATGTCTCTTTGCAATTGTTACCGCCCAAGAGAATGCACACGAGACATTCCTATCATACCTTAATATGATTCCAAGCACATACCCAGCTGCCGGACATCGAGACCTCGCAATATAGTTCATAATACCATTGCTATAAAATGTATGATGATCCTGTTTCCTCAGCAGGTTGAAATTCAAACTATGCTAAGATCACACTGGGCGAAGACTGATACAAAGTTGTGGTTTCTGGGTAAATTTACCTGCAATTTAATTCCACAATATAATATTTGAAACCTTTTTTATATTCTCCCTATCTAAAGACTTCTTGATAATACAATGTAATCGAGGAGTGATGGATTATAGGAGACACGGGCATAAGCTTGGGAGAGAGAAGGGCTATGATTGGGCGAATAAGCGGGTCGCTACACATCGTCAATTCATCATTGCAGTGAGTTCTCGTGTCTCATCAATAATCGACAAGGTCTCAAAACTCATCATTTCTTGTACCTGGAGATCTCCAAACATCTAAGTAGGTCTATATAGCTTGATCAGATGCTTGAGAATCTATCTTGAAGACGACCAGCATAAGATGAGATCCGACACGCGTGCTTAAAGCAAATTTGGTTGCGCATCTCAGAATTGAGTATTCAATATCTAGCCTTCTGACGAACCTCGAAGTGAACTGCGCAGGCAGAGTCAGTCCGGCAGCGCCTGACAGATTGTTTGGGCAAGCGTCATGTGAATGGCTTGACCTATACATGGCAGGAACTTCTACGACTTGGCTGGGGCTTGTGTTGAAGATTGAAACGCAGCAACAATTAGGGAAAAATTGAACGATTTCAACATGAGAGGTGTACGCCTCACAGCCCTATCAGGGTCGCCACGACCAAGAAGATGTCTCACGGGTAGATGGCAGCGCCTCATACATACAAACGACAAGGTCAACTTCCAGGAAATCAAGAAGGAAATGGCGTCCAGGAGACCAAAGGCAATATACGACATTCTCTCGCCTACACAGTCCCACCTCCTCAACATATCACTCTCGGACTACCTTCCGCCGGAAACCTACCCGTCACACTTCACCATGCAGGACCTGACGCTACCGTCTACGAGAACGGACGTTGCAGTCCCCATGCCGCAAGGCCACCACCTCGTCTACTTCCCGCCGCAGATTCCGCCCTCGCAGCTCCTCCCGGATGGCACCGATCCGGACCACTCCCCGGGCGGCGCCTTCGTCCGGCGCATGTGGGCGGGCGGCTCAGTGCGTTTCGCAGACGGCTGGCAAGAGCAGCTGCGGCTGGATGGCCGGCGCGCGCTGTGCGTGGAGAGTGTTGGCGACGTCAATATAACGGAAGGCCGCGCACCCGGGACGGAGAAGATATTCGTGGACGTCTGGAGGCGCTACGGTTCTGTAGGCCAGGAGGCCGATGCCCGCGATATCGCCACCGTGCAGAGCAGCCCAGCGATTGAGGAGAAGAGAGTCCTTGTCTTCATGAGAGAACTTGTGGGCAATGATGGGACCACGCCGCAGGTCAAGGAGCCAAGAATCGTGACATGTAGGCTGAGATGTCATTATACATTACATATAGTACGCCGACTAACACCGCATGATAGTTCCGCAAAAGGCTGAGGCGTCTGTCACACTGACGCCACGGCACAGCCTGCTCTTTCACTTCAGTGCTCTTACATTCAACGCACATCGCATTCATCTCGACCCGCAATACACGCGAGATGTAGAGGGCCATCCAAATCTCCTCGTTCATGGCCCGCTATCCCTGACTCTTCTCTTTGCTGGCCTCCGGGCTCAGTTACAAGGCTCGGAGAGCATCAAGTCAATCGAGTATCGCAACCTAGCGCCGCTGTATGCGGAACAACCCTTAAGAATCTGCATAGCGAAGAGACAAAAAGATGCGCAAGCTGATGACGCTTCTCGTAAGACGTGGAACGTATGGGCCGAAGGACCCAATGGCAGTCTCGCTATCAAGGGAGTAGCATCTACGTGAGTATGTCGTGAGTGTATCACACTGTATATTATATCTTAGCCGTCAGCATTTGACTTAAGATACCCCAGCATGTCACAATAGTCGAGCTAAACCTATTGTCATTGAACTCATTCAATTCCTGTAGAAAATCCTTCTATGGGTATCTCTAAGGCCATACAAAAGGAAACCCAACCCTCCCAAACGCCGCACTTGTGTGTTCGTATATTAGTTACAGTATTACTCCTCCTGATGCGTGTCCAAGTCGCCGAGCTTGAAGCGGCTGAAATCATGCTGAAAGTCAGGCCCGATATCTATGCGGCGAGGAGCTTCATTGTCCGGCGGTGTGCTCGGACTGTGTAGCTCAGGGGTAGTCGGAGCCTCCGACAAAGGGCTCATCGCCTCAGTCGGGCTCTCTAGGGCCGCCTCATCGAGGCGAACGTGATATGGCGCTGGGATTGATGTGTTCACCGCGATGGTAGAAGACTTGACCGTTGAACGTTCGGTCGACGCAACACCAACAGGCCGCTTCGCTGAACCTCTCCCATCGCGGCCCTTGAACTCCAAGCTAGGCCAGCCAGCCACGCCTCCTGTTTCAGATGAATCGTCAAAATCCAATTGCTGGCCCCTTTCTGTCTCGATCGAGGTCTTGTTCCTTTGTATAATTCCCTTCAGTTCTTGGAGCTGTTGGTCCAAAGCTCCCTTAAGCAACGCCTCCTGGGCCTGCTGCTGTTGCAGGGCCGCCTTCTTCTGACTGCTGGACTTTCTCTTAACGTCATTTGCGATGCTGCTCCAAACTCTCTGATACTCATCAGTGGAGAATGGGAACTCGACTATGGACTTATTTTTCTTCAATGACTTGACCAAGAATTGAATGCTGGTGAGATTCCAGCTGTTATCTTGGCAGTCGAGCATCAATAGACTTGAGTTCTGCTCGAGAACGTTGCCAATGGTGCCAACATCGTCATGTAAGTTCTGGTTCCGGATACGGAGGTGAGTAAGTGTCGTGTTGGCCCCCAGACCTCGGAGACAGCGGCCGAAGCCCTTTCCCAGCTGTCCTTCGTCAAGCTTTCCGGTGTATCCAGAGATATCCAGGAAGCGGACGGACTTGTTCGTCTGGAAAAACCATTCCAGTGCTAAGCAGGTCTCATCGCTACAAGGTTCGCCGGCGAGAGGTGTCGGAGCCGTCCCGACTAGACTTAGATATGAGATGCTCTTGTTAATTGCCAACGCCTTCATAAGCTTTATGTAATTGTGCTCTTCTCTGAATTCCACCATATCAATGTGTAGACCCTTGGGTCCTCGTGTAAGCGCGATAGCGTGCGCAAGGTCGTCGATCCCGTATTCGAGATAGTTGCCGCTAATAAATAGGTGGACATTCCCATGTTGTCCGAGAGCACGGATTAGCCTTGCAGCTTGGCGTCCGTTGATACCGCAATTGTTGAAGACCAAACGTCGACGTGGACTGCCGGTCGCTTGTGGGTTCTGTTGCGCTGTCCCAGCATGCTCCTCAAGATAATCCTCAAGGGCACATAAAGTAGCCTCGCTGACCTGCCAGGGACGTTAGTAAATCCTTCATTGACAATCGGCACGATGTAATCTACCTTGGAATTTGAAAGATCTATTTCCTCCAGGTATCTGAAGCGCTGAAGGGTATCCAGAGAGAACAGCGGTCCATCAACCTCACCCATTATGATTCCAGAGACATTGAGACTCCTCAGATCTGTTGTCAGGTAGACTAACTGACAGACAAGAGAGGCATGAACTCGGCCGAGATTTCCAGAGGCGTCCAAGTATTGCAAGGAATGACCTTGCCGGAACAGAGCTTCGAAAAGATCTCGTAGAGCACGGTCAGAGAGCCCACATCTTGAGACGTCAAGTGCTTGGATGTTGGCAGCTGAAGTGCTAAGCGCATCAAATAACTCCTCCAGGTCGGCTTGGCCAAGTGGGTTTCCACTCAGGATTACTCGATTACACTTTGTCAGTCCAAGCTTGAGAAGATCCAATAACGGCGTGAGAATTTGTAGTCCAGGATCGCCTTGCGCCGCCACTCTGCGTTGGGTCGGAAGGTTACGGAAACAGTTTGTGAAATCGATCTGTCTTATATTCTCAGAACAGAAAGCAAGTCCATGTATTTCCTGGTGGAGAAGAGAGCCGCTTCGAAGAGAGGAGCATTCTACTTCGGCAAGGGCAAGACCTAAAATGTGGTCAGTAAGATTACTAAATAAGAGAATCTGATTACTCACAGCTACGGCTAAGGTAAGGGATGCTGCCTTTGCCTCTTGGGTCGATCTTGTTCCATAGACCGCTAAGGTCAATATCACGTAGTGATATGGAGTGGAAGTAGTCGTTATAGCGTAGAGCTCTGAAAACAGCCAAGAGCTGCAGGTTCGAATAGACTGAGCCTTCTTTTGGCGGAAGAAGTCGAAACTCGGGAGCAAAGGGTGTTTTCCAATCGACTTCCCATTCGACAGCTTGGCTGCGATACGCAGCCAGATATGCATCTAATGTACGCTTGAGGCTGCCAAAGTTTTCTCCTGGAATGAGGAAGGTCGACTCGGGCAATCCGGTCACACGGAAAACCTCCATAGTCTGCCATAATTGCGGCCAGCAGGGTTTCAGAAACCTATCTACTTTCAGAAATGTCAAAACGATTTGACGATAGAATTTGCTCGCAAGCTCTAATGTGACAGTCGGTTTGAATGGTTCACTGGAGAGATTAGCACCACTGGCCCAAGAAAGATTTGACCAAGATATCGGCGATGGTCTTACCGGAAGAATAGCACTATCCTCTCCTCGTGAAAGGACCAATTTGCGCGGAAAGACTCAAGAGCTACGAGACCGAAAGTTTGGTATCGTAGTTCAATGTCTTGTCCTGCCAATTCAGATCCTTTCACTACCTCGAAGAAATAACATAGATTTCTTCCTACGGCAAGATACCAGGAGGCTGCATCGGGGCCCTTTTTGCCCTTGTCGGATGATTTCGAACTTCCATCCTCATTTACGGTTGCCCTGCGGATAACAGGGAATATTTCCAGTTTACATGACTGATAGCTAGGCTCTTCCTGCGCAAAGACTTTTCGAATGCGAGCTTCAACCTCGAAAGGCACAAGAGAGATGTCCTTGAACTCATTGCTTTTTGCTTTCGCCAGTCTGTGAATAGTAGCCATATGTACGTCCCGCTCCCGAGGAAAGGCGAAGAAGAACTGGGCACTGCAGAAAGCGATATTAGGGAATGGAGATTTCCACCAAATCTCAATACCAAACTGCGGTCTCGAGCTTTCTGCCTGGAAGACAGATACAATGAGATGTGCAGGGATGGCAAGGATAGGCTCTGGAACCGGCCCAAAGCTGTCTGTGCTAACAGCCGAAGCCATCTGCGGGAAGGCGCTCATGGCATCCGACTTGCTCTTCATCTTGACGATGTAATCTTGAGTTGCAACCATGAATGTTGGTTTGCCGCGCAAAAGCTGGGGATCAGCCGCTAATGGGCCATATCCTTCCAAGTGCTGTGCTCTCCAATCAACGCTGTTTGAAGAGTTGCCACTAACGGTTGTCGAGGCTCTTGATATACGTCCATGATCCTCGGATACACTGGAGCTTCGGCGATGAGGTAATTCGAAAGTCGAGATTTGTGTGCGTGATTTCATTAGCCTGCGTCCACCTGGTCCAACAACGGACGACTCTCGTATAATGGGCACATTTGGCGTCGACCGACGACTCATATGCCTGACCGCTCTAGGGACGACGTGGCTGAGAAAGTCGCCCTTATTTTCACCGTTGGAGCTCGCAGGAGAACTAGGTCCGGTGCTCAAGTCATCCCGGCTATCGATCCATGTTAGAGGCTCGGAGGGCAGCGACTGAGCAGAGTTGTGCCGCTTCTTCCTTAGAATATCCATCTCGGCTCAAGCTCTCCCTCGTGATATCTTACAGGGTACTGACTGTCAACGCTGACATCGGAGCAAGCGCAACTCCAAGATAGCGGGTCTTAAGGCCGGCGCTCGAAAGCCTGTGGTTCTCCGGGCGACGAACCTGCGAAGTTCACACTGATAACGCAAAACCCTTCTTGTTTCACGGAGAGACAATTGCGCACAGCTGGGACCCGCGGAGGAATCCAGATACGCTCAGATGAAGTCGAAATAAGCGTTGCCGTGCAGATTGACCGTTACCACCAAACCAATTCGAGGACTGGCGGCGGGCACAACGACGGTCTATGATAGCAGCGGGACTGCCGGATGTGTATATCATCAAATGGAATGCTGCTCGTGAGATGCCAGGCACCATAAGAATGTGGCCGTGTCCGCGTGAGGGGTCCAACTGGAGCTATACGAGCTGTCGAGACCAGGGGCACAGACAGAAACTCCCAGCAACCAGGATCGCAACACACAAAGAGCTGCGTGGTCAATTAGACAGTCCGTAGCTGGAGGTGCAGCTCTGCTGTGACCAGTTCTTTCTTCCCGCTCGAGATCGTGGCCTCGAAGGCCGTGATCACAGAAGCCGCAAGCGGCCCATTCACTAATTGGTCCTGAAACAAAGATCGCCAAGGTCGAGCGTACAACAATCGCACAATGCCTGACGCAGCACCTCTAGAATATCGAACGAGCGGTGTAGATGGCGGTAAACCTCACAACCAGCAATCAATGGATAGATAAGATGGAGAATCGAATTGACCAGAGAATTATCACAGGAAGGCGGAGAAGGTGGGAGAACAGAACGTTGGACAGAGGAGGCTTAACGACCCCTCCACCACAGGCAGGATGTTGTTGATAGGCAACTAAGTAGCCAAGTCCCCTCTAAGTGCCTGACCTGAGCTGGACGTAGCGCGGGCGAGTCTCTAGCAGCGGCGTGGCCACCGGCAAGACGGGAGACACGACAGGTGGGTGGGTAAGTAGGTAGCTGAGTTCCAGAAGTCTAATGGAGCTGTGCAGGTCAAATCAGGTCAGACAGGATGAATGGCCAACTCCCAAGGTTTCCCACTTGGCCCCCTTTGTAAGGTGCTGTCGATAGGTGCGAGTAAGGTGTTCCCGAACAACGCCACCAGCTCCAGTACCACACGGCAGCAGTGGAAGAGGTGGATGTGGAGGAAGGCTTAGACTAGTGTCCGTATTTTGAGTACCTTAGGGAGGTAGCTATGATGTTATCAATCCTGTTTTTGCTGCTTGCGCATTGCCTAGCGGGGGCACTCCATTGGTCGCTGAAGACGCTCCTCCAATGGCGCTTCTCACGTCCACCAGCCCTGCCACGCAATTCTGCAGACACTGCATCCGTTTGCCAGAATTCATAATGATGAAGGGGATGACATTTGATAGTGATCATCCATTCGTTGTTGTCGGTCGGTGTACGGCCCTTGAAGTACAGAAGTTCTCCTACCGCCGCGGAAGGGGCGATCGACCGAGGATCACTGGACTCAGGCTAGCCCACCATCTAGATGTACCTTTTCACCATTGTAATAGACATCAATCCTCAAGGATGAAGATTACTGAATGACGAGAGTTGGGTATGATGCTCGGCAAGGCCTCAAAGCCCCTGTTTAATTACTTACTATAGATCTACAAACCTCGACAAAGGCAGCAACATCTCGTTGAGGAGAGTATGATACTTGCATTCATTATCATGTGCGACATACTTGACAGTCCACCCGGAGAGAAGCTCATCGAATGGAATGACCGATGGTGCTTCTGCTGCTGTATCACAGGCCACTCGGGAAATGTGTAACTTCCGGTCAAAGAACCTTCAAATTGACGGTCTCGTCACTGCTGCGATGATTGACACGGTAAGGGCCTGATCCGTACTTAGTTAGGGGACCTCGGCAGCGTAGGAATCTCGATATTGGGGTCGCACCCCACTAGAGTTCGCTGCATTGAGATAAGACCCAGACACATTTCCCGCACCCGTTCACTCACGGAAACCTTGCTGCAGAGAGATCTACCGCTAAAAAGAGATTGCAGATAAGAAGCGTCCTTCACCACCTGCTCGCACCAGTAAAAGACTCTGGGCGTACTTCCGCCTCAGCTGGAGAGGTTTCTATTTATGCTGTGGCGAGTGCAGGCGGGTTTGTGGCTGGTTGAAAGGCTCTTCAGCCTCAATTGTCAGGTTAAACTCGTTCGCTCAAACAGATCTCACTGTCAAATCGCATGCACTGCTCTACCTCACCTGACTGACCTGATCATCGAGACAATCGTGATAGACACGGCTCTCTGCTCTCACTTATCAAATGCAAGCGATTTGAGGTTCCTTAGCTTGACTGCCCAGATGACAATTACATAGCTGGCGCTGTTCGATTTGCTCTTCAGATCCTCCTCAGTGATTACCCATGAGCCCCGATGAGTTGTTTCTGAAGAGCCTGAGAGCCTGAGAGCCTCGGACAATCTCAGCTAGCTGGCGACACAGACCACGGATCTTCGCGGTTCCTCATCTCTGGGCCGAATGCGATATTGCGATGTTCGCTCTTGACATCACTGCGGAACGCGATGATGTACCGGTCTTTCTTTTAGTAGCGTTTCCCACGTGGTAGCGTCGTGATGAGGACAGTCCTTCCTTGCAGGCGGCTGGCTCCAAGGGCACGCCAGGGCAAGCCGTGGTCAGACACCCACATTCTCTAGTACGTTTCGAGTTTCGATCTAGCGGCCATCTAAGTGAAGGCCACTAGATTTACACGTGAAACAAACCGCGATTTAGCTGTAGTGGGCTTCGTCGTCAGCTTCCAACAAAGGCCAAGTTGGTCAAAAGGAGCTGAGGGATCTCTTCATTGTTGCATAAATGTGTCTTCGATGTAGTAAATGTAGATAGTACTGAGCCGAAATTGCAGAGCCTCACAGTTTCTTGAATAGTTGCTGGCCAGTGGATATCAATAGCTCACCAAACAACGAGAAACCTGCTTCCAGGTTAGCATCGTAGTGGAAACATATGCTAGCCGCATAGAAACGCGTACGATGACTTTAGTGGTGGGACTTCAAGGCTTTGGCGCTGACCACCAAGCATGAATTCAAGGCCGACTATCGTGATTTCGTCCCGAGCGGTGGTCAATGCAGGCCGAGTCCCTACAGATGTTTTGCGGTGCGTGAGGAGGCAAAGTACCGCACGGTATCGCGTTTCTTTCAACTGCTCCCCAATGCACAACGAAGCGCCGCAGCATCGTAAGCTCGTGCACCGTCTCAAGGTGCAAACATGCAGCATTCGGTCGTTGAAACCGGCGGAGTTTCAGGTGAGCGGATCTAAGGAGTTTTGACGCCAGGGATAGAACAGACCACCATCAGCAGGGACACCGTACCACCCCTCACCCCTTTCGTGGCAGCCTTTCCTGTGTGTGCACCAGGGAGCCTGATCAAGTGAGGGAACTGCACAGAGGACTGGCTGACCAATGACGGCTCCTTTTGCCGGCCCTCCCTCAGTTTGTTTTTAGGGACGTGGTCCTGATCTCCTGCTGTTAACGCCTGTGCGGGATGTTTCTTCCAAGGAGCCGTCGGTCTCCATTGGCTGAAACCGCTCGCATTTGCTCCTTTTGTCCTTAGTGGGTGATGATGCCGGGGGATTTTGTTCCGTCCCTTTTGAATTATTCCAGGTTATTACTGAGGACGGAGATGATTGTTTGGTTCTTCAGGCACACAAGACAGGCACTCCAGAAGCTCAGGTTCCGAGGCTTTGTGCCAGCTTCTTCCCAGCGCGTGCTGAGGGAAGATCGCCGTGCGATACAGACCAGGGCTTGCTGCATGCCATAGTGTGCTGGTACGAGGGAAGGGAAGAGAAGGGGTACTTTGTAATGCACATAATCCTCGTGGCGCTTCGGGTGGTCTGGAAATTGAGCCGGCAGTGGCCCGCCACCTATTCCCTTTGTAGATGAAGAAAATGGGGGGTCTAGCCTCGTCTTCGTCGCGCGTTCTACGGCGAGTGAATGTCTCATTTCCCCTCGGGTGAGGAGCCGTTGTCTTCAAAGTGGCGACAGCCCGAAGGCCAGTCGATGTCGTAGAGGTCGCAGCTGACGATCAGAAACGGATAATTTAGAGATGGGCAATGGAGGAAAGGAGGAGGACGAGAGCCGTGTTGTCCAGGCGAAGGTATCGCGGGACAGGTATCCTGCTATCTTGATCTCTACCAGCCAGCGCCATGGCGTATTACGGGACTACAGACAACACCACCACGTTACCCAAAGGGCGCCATAAAATGAAAAGGTGGAGACGTTTCACCAGCACCAGAAGGTGCCGCCTTCGCTGGACCCATGGATTTCCTACCAGGGTACCCATACCTCCTCGATCTGACCTCCTCCCCTTGCCATTGGCCCCTGTCCACGCAACAAAGAGACCAGAGGAGCTCCTTTCTCTCTCTCCATCCCCCCCTGCCTGCCCTCTATCGTGTGCCATTTCGTCCCATCCCATCCCAAAACCCTCATCATCAGCAGCAATTCTTCCATATTGTCAGTTCTGCGTCCGCGTCCATGTCTGCCCTGCCGGGTCCGTTCTTTCGCACGTCGCAGCCCTGACCCGTACCCGTCCTCCTGCTCCTGGCTCGTTATAATAATCATAATCATTTCTGGGCTGACTGCGAGTCCTGGACCCTGCTGTGCGTGGTCTGCTACTCTGCGAGTGCTGGTGCACGCACGAGTACACGTCCTCGTCCACGAAACCCTTCCTCCTCCTGCAACAACCGCTTCCACCCAAGACCTTGGGTTCGCGGCAGATTGTCGAAAATAGTAGCTGTTTGACTTCAGCACAAATCACCTCAGAGACATACGTCGCTCGTATGCTCTCCACACTCGCCTAACGCGTCCGCCCGCTCTGGTCTATTCTGGTCACCACCTCCGATCGCCGAGGATATTTGAAAGCGACTATTCCAGGCTACAGGCAGGATTCCCTACTGCGTTCCCGCCAACTACATAATAGGCCGTGGTCAGAGGTTCGGACTGCTGTCAGGCCCCCGTACAACACACATCAACTATCATGGCTATGCTCGCCTCGAAGGCCTACCCGGCCCAGCTGGGGTCTTCTTCATCGTCGACCATGGTGCCATCCAACAGTTCACAAGCATCATATCCTTCCTCAAGGAGGACGCCCGCCTTACCGACATCGAACCAGTCCTTCGCAAGTCCAACTGAATCCGAGTTCTCTGACGCCGACGGCCCAGACTCGGTCAAGAACTGGGATGAAGACAGAGTATGTGAATACTTGAGAAGTGTCAAATGCGGCGAGTATGAGAAGCTCTTCCGTAAGAATCATATTAACGGAGAAAACTTGCTGGAAATGGACAAGGAAGTCCTCAAAGAAATGGGCATCGACAAGGTCGGCGATCGAGTTCGTCTGTTTTTAGGTATCAAGAAGTTGAGAACGAGGGCATATGCAAATCAAAAGAAGAGGAATAGGGTAGGTCCTAGCCTAGCTTACACAGAAGCTGCCCACCCAAGTACACGATTGACACATTCTCTAGGATTCCTTTGGAGGTCTCGACCTGCAGTATACACCCTCCTCTGGCTCTCCTCGCCCATTGAACTCGGCGACTCGCACGCTCCCGACCCCCACTGCCAACAAGCGATACTCTAGGCAGTATGACACAGCTACTGCCATCGATATCACCAAGTCCTCATCTCGACCGACCTCGCCCCTCCCCGGTACCGACTACAGATCTGCCCGCCAACGATACCCGCAGCCCCAAGGGGGCCTTTCTGGCTCACGGTTACCAACTTCTCCTCCCCAGGCTCAGTCTGGCCGTCTGGTAAACATGACCCATACCAGGAATAACTCCAGTATGGATGGATCACTAATGGCTGCCTTGCCGCAGAACCAGGATGTCATCCGTGTCATCTCCACCGGCGGTGTTACGAAAGTCGTCAAGATTGCCGATTGCAATACCTGCGAAGAGGTGATGCGTGTGACGCTGCGTAAATTTGCCCTGCGAGAAGATCACGAGAGGAACTACTGCTTCTGGGTTCTGTCCGGCGTCGATCCCCTACCTAGCCAGACTCGCCGTCTCGGCGATACAGAGCTTTGGAGGGTCATCAAAGACCAGAAGCGACCGGAGCGTAACCGCTTGATCCTTCGACGAGTTCCGGCCGGGGAACCTGGTCAGTCAGAGCTTGAAAGAGCTGCAGCCATCGCATTGGAAGAGGCTCAGCAGAGCCATAATCGTGCTTTGCAGAATGTTGACACGCGTAGTCAACTGAAGGTTCAGAAGGTTCTCGGCGAAAGCTGGGATAACCTTCAGCAGCCGCCACTGTCCCCCGTCTCTTACCAGGACCGTGAGAGGAATGTCAAGAACACCGCTCGTGATCTTGAACGACCTGCATCTAACGATGCCCAACGTCCCATTCCCAGACGAAAGGGGGTGCTTCGACAATTTGGCGGACTTCGTCCTCCTAGTGAACTTATTGCTTCTGACCTGACCTCGTATTTCCCGGACCATCCGAGAGAAGACATTGATCGTACTGCAAGACTCTCCATGCGGAGATCTGCGCGTCTAAGCAAGGTCAATAGCCGCCTCAGCGTAGCCAGCAACCTGAGCTTTGCCTCGAGCATTCAAGATGCCCCACCAATCCCTACCATTGCTGATAGCTGGTTGAATTCTACTAGCCAGGTTGCCAAGGTTCGCCCCAGGGATTTACACGGGCGTGGGCCTCACGCCTTCCGAGACTCGATTGCCTCCTCTGTGCTTGACACCCTTCAAGAGGAGTCTTCGCCAATTGAGCCCAATCGCAAGTCGTATGTGTCGTTTGCCGACAGCGGGTCTGATACCGCAGCTGTCAGCATTACCGACCCTGAAGGCAATATTGTTCGACAGAGCTATTTCGATGGGGAGAGCACCACGGGGTCTGGATCGAGTTCTCTCAGGGAGATTGGTCAGGCGCTGAATGAAGATGGCGAAGACGCCGACGAAGAGCTGCAAAGCTTCCTGGCTGGCGAGTCATGGGACGATAATAAGTGGATGAAGGGCGCCCTTATCGGACAGGGCTCTTTCGGCTGCGTATACCTCGCTCTGCATGCTGTCACTGGTGAACTCCTTGCTGTGAAGCAAGTTGAGGCACCCTCTCCTGGCGCCAACAGCCAGAATGATAACAGGAAGAAGAGCATGATCGAGGCCTTGAAACGTGAGATCAGCCTACTTCGTGACCTTCGTCACGCCAACATTGTGCAATACCTGGGCTGCAGTTCCTCGACCGAGTACCTCAACATTTTCCTGGAGTATGTGCCAGGTGGCTCTGTCCAGACCATGCTCAACTCCTATGGCGCTCTTCCTGAACCATTGGTTCGTAGCTTCGTCCGCCAAATTCTCAACGGCTTGTCGTACCTACACAACCGAGATATCATTCACCGTGATATCAAGGGTGCCAATATTCTTGTGGATAACAAGGGCACTATCAAGATATCCGATTTTGGTATCTCCAAGAAGCTTGAGGCCACTAATATCTTGAACGGTGCCAACAACAACAAGCATCGCCCCTCACTTCAGGGCTCGGTCTACTGGATGGCACCTGAGGTCGTCAAGCAGACGAGCTACACCCGTAAGGCGGATATTTGGTCTCTTGGCTGTCTAGTGGTGGAGATGATGACGGGCACTCATCCATTCCCGGACTGCACGCAACTTCAAGCCATTTTCAAGATTGGAGGTGCCAAAGCCGCCCCCACTATCCCCGAGCACGCCAGTGAGGAGGCGAAGATGTTCCTCAGCCAGACCTTTGAGCTCGACCACAACAAGCGGCCCAGTGCCGACGAGCTTATGCTCAGCCCCTTCTTGACGCCGATCACTTAAAATCCCAAACTCAATCTGGTGCGGTATTTATCTCAACTTCTTGTTTCTTTGCCTTCGTCTTCCTTTATTATTTTCTCAGAAGCGAAGTGCCTATTTAGGGAAATCTGTATAGATGGATAAAAAGGTAGAAAGCACCTTTCAGCATTATGAGCTATGATCCTTGCACGAATGTAGCGTTGCGGAGTTGGCAGACATTTAGGAGGAACTTTTTGTGGTTGTATATAAATATTTCTCAATGGGTCTCTCACGATAGGACAAGTTTCAAGCATAGCTCGGTTTGATACACAGGGCATGAATACAGACGAGGCATTTAAAGTTCACACTCCACAGTATAACCGTGCGGTGATGTAAATTGTTGATGTTAAAGAAGTCCTGAGACGGCCATCGCCTAGTCACGTAACTGACTTCCTGCCGTTTCATCATACGCAGTCATCTCTTATCAGCTTTGTTCAGGAATCTTAGGCTCCACGTTGGTTTGGACATGATTCACAGACACATGTCTTATGTTATACAAGTGCCATTTCATCTCTTCGATGTTCTTTTCACGTGGCCTGGCATGCTTTTGGCACCGTTCAATCCGTGAACCTAACTTGTCGTACACAGTGCCTTGCTGTCTCTCTATCTCGTTGGATGCTCTGCATCACAGCCAACGAAACCATATAATTAACGGTCGCCGTTCACCTTTCGAGAAGGAAGTCAAATACAGCACCACAGTCTCTCAATGCTGAATTGCCCAGTCGATCATTGACAGCGAAACGTCAATCAGCAATGACGGATCCGACACGAGCAAATTCGAAGACCACATTCGTGGTCGGACCCGGCGCTGTTGACGGCCAGAAGGCCGGATTGCTCTATTTCGGGTATGGCTCGAATCTCTCGAGCACGCAGATGTGCTCGCGCTGCCCCGGCTCGGAGACTGTAGGGCTGGCCTTCCTGCCTGGGTACAGGTTCATTATCAACGAGCGGGGCTTCGCGAACGTGCTGCCGGTCAAGACTACTACACCTTCCGTGGCCGACGAGGCCGACAAACCGTCGAAACCGCAAGAAGAAACCCCCCGGGTTCAGGAGACGACAGCGTCTCGTCACATGGACGAGCAGGGAGTGTACGGCATAGTTTACAGGCTTGGCGACGGGGACGAGGACCTGCTGGATGGCTTCGAGGGCGTCTTGACTGGGACTTACGCCAAGGAGATGCGGACCGTCGAGCTGCTCACATCGACTGGCGAATGGCAAGAGAAGCCAGCACTGGTATACATCGACGGCCTCAGAGTTTCAGAGGATGTTCCGAGGCGAGAATATATTGCAAGGATGAACAGAGGGGTTGATGAGGCGAAGAGGGAATGGGGGTTGCCGCAGGGATACATCGACGATGTCATCAGGCGGTTCATACCCTCTGCGCCTAAATTTTGATATCTATAGACCAAAGGTCAGAGAGTGCTCGGGTTGTCGAGTTCGTACAAGTCTAGGTATAGACTGATACAATTTACGACTTCGACAAAGTTAGCGAGAGGTTCCCATACATAACATTCACAGCCCGGAGCATCAGGAGATCAAATAGGGGTAATTCTTCTTTTTGTTTTGAGTATCTGACTGGTCCACATGAGTGACTTCCATCTACGGTCTTTTCGCGCACATTACGCGAGTCACGAAACAAAAGCCAACAACGCCGATGCTATGATGCTCGCCCCGTCCCGAAAGTCTCATAATCTCTCCCCGTGATCCCCCATATCCGCACACGTCGGTCATCTATACCGACATTGAAAACAAATGCTAAGATGCCTAGGCCAGCAGGATCGGATGCCTGTCGCCCATGAACGCCAACTTAATGCTTGTGCCCGCGTGCGTGTAAGCCAATTATGCCGTGACCAAAGAAAAGAACACGCTGCTGTGCCAGAATTCGAATATGCTAGGCAACACCACTAGCAGAGAACGACGAGACCAGCAACGAAAGCGGCTGCTCCGACCAACAGGGAGCCGGCCACACCAGCAGACGGCGCCGCGTTCTCGACGCCAAGCCCGCCGGCGCTACTCGTCGTGACGACTCCCGCCGTCGCAGCCACCGAGTCCGTCACGGCGGTGGCGCTCGGCACGGCGTCGGTCCCCGTCGTGATCTCGAGCACGTTGCTCTCGGTGGCGTTGAAGTTTGTCTGCGCGATCGAGATCTCGTTGTTGTCCATGTCGTAGACGACGTATGCCGAGCGCAGGAAGGTGTCGCCGAGGACGTTGGTGCCGTCGCCCGCCGGCGCGATGCCGAACAGGCACGCCGTGGTGCCGTCCTGGAACGTGGGCCGCTTGCCGCTGGCCGTCACCAGGTCCAGCGCAAGCTCGTCCATGCCGACGGTGATCTCGACGCCGGAGAAGCTGAACGTCAGGCTCGTGTTCTGGTTCTCGATGTTGCAGGGGACGTATGCGACGCCGGACGAGGAGTCGTACTGGGCGTCGAGCTCGGTGTAGATGTCTTCTACGATGCTGTCTGGTAGATAGGTGAGGGAGGATCCAGAGTCCAGTAGAACGGCTTGTGCCAGGTCGTCGGCAAGAACCGTGCCTCCGAGAGACAGGGAGGTGAGTGTGATCAGAAACTCGGCATAGACCCCTGAGTTCTGCTGGATGGGCAGCGTGGCAAGCTCGCCTTTGAACTGTGCCGTATCGACTCCTCCAAACAGGATGCTGCCCGTGTTCGCATCCAGATCGTTCAGCCACAAGCTGTAGGCATTGGATTGAATTAAACCATCTGCCTTCATTTGAGACGGCAAATTCTGGTACGGGTCTAGTCCCGCTCGTCCAACTTGTACTTCATTGAGTTCATATCCGATGCCAAGAATTCCCTGGGCCGAGGTACTGGTATAACCAACGCCAAATTGGAGGCGATCGAGGGTGGTGTTGCCGATGGTAATCGTGTCTGAGACATAGTCGCCGCTCGCACCTGATCCGTCCACGTAGGATATGTTGAAATAGCTGCCAACGTACTCATACGTCGATGACGAGTTTGCCGAGTAAGTGCCCGCGAAAGAGCAGGGTTGCGTCCTCTGTAAGCATAGTTTCGAGCTCGGCGTGTTGACCCAGAGATCGCTGCTTCCTGTATCGATGTGTAACCTGAGTGTCTGCGCCGGAGTTCCGAGTGTTGCGTTCACAAAGTAGAGGGTCTCCTCATTATCCAAGTCCGCCTGCACCGACCCTCTTCTCCTTAACCGGTCTCTCTCTACCGGGTTCGTCACCGTTCTCCTCTGTGTGGAAAGGCTCACCACTCTCGACGAGCCTTCTGATCTTTTCTGCAGGTTTATCGCAGCTGTTGTTGATAGCAGGGTGGCCGCAAAGGCCAGGAGTGTAATTGACTTCATGATTCCAGCCACCAAGTCTCAGAACGGGCCAACACACAAAGAGGTAAAGATATAGTTGCCCAGCCGCGAGTTCAACCACCGTTAGAAGCGAGATTTTCCCTTGTGCTATAACATGGGACAAGTCGTTGCTAATGTAGTCCGCCGCGGGGATCAGGTGGTGAGGCTTAGTATCTGATGGTGGAGACGGTCTTCGTAGGCTACACGCGTCATGCACCACCAAGCCAGGGGCCAAGAAAAGAATCAGAATATCCGGAACTACGCCGAAGTGGCAATGCAAGTGATTATAGTCTAAGGGAAGGGCGATTTCAAAAGAATGTCAAAAGAAATACAGCTCAGGCTCGTGGAAGAAGAAGGACAGAGACGAAGAAAGAAGACGATGTACGTTGTGCGGGAACAACGACGTTGTTGAGCAGCCTCGACAACTTAGAGCATGAACCCAAGTCAGGAAGCGAACAACAGCCAAGACCAAGCTGTAGCGATCCGGGAGGCCCGCCAAGTCTCTTGGAGTATCACAAACAAAGCTGGGCACAGGCGCTTGGGGTTGCTCGGTATGTGCGCGGGAAGAGTTGCAGACGCACCGTTGAAGAAGAAGATCTCCTGGGACGTGCCCGGGGGGCGTCTTGGGAAACCCAAGGAAGACATAAAAGAGACGGCGGACTCGAGACGATGAGAAACACTTTTGGATCCCATGTACCCTGTCGGCATGCAACCATGCCCGCGGTACTTGGCCTAGACGACGCCTTGCTCGCTCTGGGCATTCAAGCACATTCTATCCTTGGAACGGAAGCCCGGTTGATGTACGTGGACAGTAGACAGGGAGCCAGGGCCCTTCCGTAGACCGTAGTGTACGTGTACTATGTACTAGTATGTAGGGCCAAGTTGAAGACTGTCCCAGGAGGGGCGAGTTGCACTTGCAGCAGCAGTCCACGGAGAATATTCTCTCTTAGATGTTGATAGTCCCGGCATGTGGGCGCTGACGCGCGGCCCCCCTGAGACTAGAAAGGGAGCCAGTCTCGCCCTCCGCGAACCTGACTAGCAGACCGTTCATTGCGAGTGAGACACCAGCAGCAGACATTCAATTCTCTTCCTTCCACGAGCCCAAAAATAAGAGGGTCGCCTGGAGGAGGAGGAGGAGGAGGATGACTCGTGGCCATGGAATGCCAGCCCTGCCCGGCCCTGTGAATCGGAGGCCAAGAGATGCCGACTCAGTAGCAGTAGCAGTAGCAATAGCAGACAATGGAAAGGGGACGTTCTTTTTTGGAGGGGCAGGGCGGCTCTGAAACGTCAAGCCTCGCAGCCACGAATGCGCCCTAAACCGCATGGGGACGGATCTGATACGTTTCGACAAGAGATCAGACATCTTTGGAAACCTCGAAACATTTGCCTTCGCCCGGAGTCTTTCTTTCCGAACCTGCCTGACGCGGACTTTTCTCTTTTCGCACAGCTTGAGCCGAGTTGGCTTGACTTGACTTGACTTAAGTTAAGTTAACTTGTGACTACTCATTTGACACGGTTCCCGTCCGCAGCCCATTCCAAGGTTGTTCAGATCAAAGCGAGGCGCTGTCAAAAGTCAAAAACGCAAAAGTGTGAAGAGCCCGTAGTGAGGATCGAGGTGCGCCTCAACCGCAGCAAGTGCCGAACCAACGGCGCCGCCCGTAGCAAGTGCAGAATACGCTACGCTAGACTCTGGTTATGCCACATGGCGTAGCCTTGGGCAATACTGTGCTGTGTGTACATATAATATAATGCAATAACGGTACGCAGTATGTAGTGGTGTGGTGGTCGCTGCAGGGGCTTCCACCTACTGTAGTGCGAAAATCCGGGGCGCGGCATATCGCAACCTCAAGCCTGCCAAAAGCGATTCGGAGAATTTCCATGTCAGAGCGCAATATTCTAGATGCGTGGTAGATGCCATCACATGGACAATACCATGGTGTTATCTTTGCTATTCTTGTTTTGGATTACTTTCCCCCAGTATTTTCACTCGCAGTTTTGCTGCAATATAGCGATAACCATCTTCTGATAATGTATCGATGGTGATAAGTCTGCGCAATCGCGCAAACATTTCCGGCAACCTACCTAGTTTACAACGGCGGGGCTTCTTGCAGGAGGTGTTTGTGCCATATGCCTTGTCTTAATCTCTTAATTGTCACATTCAACATGTCCAGTGTCCAGTGTCAAGTGACTGGTGTCGGGTTGTTGTTGAGTCGGACAAAGGAAGAGAGAGGTAGTGCTCGATTTGGTGCTCAACACACTTTGGACAAATGCAATCTAGGCCTGTAAATATTGGACGAGGTCTCTCAATAGACTTTTCGGATTCATGATCCAACCACACTCGAGATACTGCCAAAGATGTGTATCTTTCACCATCTCCACGTCCTTCGATGCGAAGTACGACCACTCGTCACAGTGGCATGGAACCCTGCTCTGGGAACCCACTCTGTCGCCGTCGACTCCTACAGCAAACCGCTTGGTTGTGAGATTCTCACGACCTGCTCGGTCAGTGACCCGAACGAACCGGAAAGACAGTTGGACTGCCACTTTCATCCTTGCTGCGCTTCCAGCTATGATATTCTGCCCTGCGCGTGTCTAGACAGAAGTTCTGCTGATGAAAACGCAACAGTCGAGCTGCTCGCACACAACTGCCCATGCCGCCATGACTACTACTTCTACAGTCAGTTAGGAGGGTCAGATTGGCCCCAACTGCCTGTTCTTGACGGCTGGATCAAAGAGATTCCCTTGGCGCCGACTTATGGCCAAGCCATCCCCGGTGTAAAGGTGTATTGCACTCCAGAGGAATACCGGTTCGAGCGAGGATCCTTGATTGAGACAGCGAAGGCCCTACGCCTTATCATCCCGATTGCCGTTGGTGTTTCTCCAGAGCTCGCTACGAAGATCCATGCCCTTGAGCAGTGGAAAGAGCCAGATATTGCTGCGCAGTTTCAGCAGTCGCGTTTCTTGGACCAGTTGGGAACTTACCTCACTGCAGAAGCCAGCTACAGAGCCTTCAAAGCTCGTGTCCGCCTCATTGACATGACCAGACAGGAAGTGCCTGCCGAGCGACGCCTACCGGAACTTGACCGTCAGCATGAAGTGCCGTCATTCTTGAACACCTTCTGTGCAAAGCACCCTGGGATGCTGAGACACGGCCTTGACCTTCAGTAGACATGAACAAGTTCAATTAGACACATGACAGCAACTAGTAAGTGAGACAGCAGAAAGTGGAAATAGAATAGACCAGATAAGTGAGGAGACGATATAATACGCCTGGGTTAACACCATCGGGCGTAGCGAGTGCAATCCAGACAAGACACAAAATTTGCCTTGGGTCTTATTTCTCACATTTTCCAATCTCATGGCTATTTACCAAGAAGTGCATTCTTTCAAGTCCGATGGCCTACTGCTGAGGCTGATAAGGCCAAGGACCTGACGTTGAGCCGTGTAAGTCCAGGAACCAATCACGACCGCCCATAATCTGTCTGCCTGAACACATTGCGCGTCTCCAAAGGAGGCGGCTTCACCCGCATGCCTTACGCTCGCTCAGCTGCAACTTCGAATCGGGTCGCTAGCCGGGTGCATTTCGTATGGGGAATCGGTACATAGATCGGCCGGATGACCTGCCCTTTGTCCTTGTCCAAAGTGGCCCGGGAAGACGCCTGAAGGCTTTCGAGCACCTCCAACTTCTGGACTTCAACTCAGTGGATTGAATTGAGACTAAACAAATAGCAAGAGAGACCAAAATGGATGTTGTCAATATGGACCGATGGTATGTTTGTGAGCTTCGATCTCCGGGTTCCACCCGTCAAGACTCTATACTGATTGACACATCCGCAGTCCCATCTATGCCGTATGTCTTCTTGTCGCCCATCGTCTACTATTCTTCTAGTCTAACAATCTCCCTTGCCTGACAGTCTTTCTTCGGAGCGCGTGAGTCAACCGAGATCATCGAAATACCAATTTAGACCTCACTAACCTCCTTGCCCCCTGAAAGTGGGATGCGCATGTTCTATAGTCTTCACCGTGTGCGGCGCCTCCTACGGGACAGCCAAGTCGGCAGGTGCCATCTTCTCGTCTGGAATCATCAGGCCGGATAGGATGATGCAAAACACGTATGTCCTTGGGGCTATGAGCCTCCTATTTCGAGACTTACAGCTGACGGCCCGGTGCTCTACCCCAGCCTCTGTGCCATCATGGCCCAGATCCTGTCCATCTACGGACTCGTCGCCTCGGTGATCATCTCCAACAACCTCGTCGAGAAGATGGCCCTGTACACGGGATTCATGCAGCTCGCGGCAGGCTTGTCCGTCGGGCTGTGCGGCCTTGCAGCAGGTTTTGCTATTGGAATTGTCGGCGATGCTGGAGGTGAGTTTCTCCCGGACTTTTCTCGTCGGCACTATCAAAGTCTCATAATGACCCGGATATATCAATCTGACCACCTGAGATCTTCACAGTTCGAGCTAGCTCGCAGCAGCCCCGTCTGTACGTGGGCATGGTCCTCATTTTGATTTTCGCCGAGGTGCTAGGTCTGTACGGCGTGATTGTCTCTATCCTGATGCTCACGAGGTCGAATCTTGGAGTCACGGAGTGCCTGTATTAGGAGTCTGGCGCTGCACATCCTGGACATGTTGATAAGGTAGGAGGATCAGCAGGCGGCAGCAAGGGGTTTCGAGTGGGAAGATTCCTGGACGGTGCAGGTCTTAGGTATATGCAGGGGCCGCCCGCCCCTGATTGTGTTGAATAATTGCATGCTGTGTCTACTAGCATAATGGCTAACACGGCTCTAAGTTGCGTGCATCCCAAATAACGCCGTTTCAAGGCTCCCTATGCTGAAGTGGTCACTCTGTCCCATACGTCTCAAAACACCTCTGTAAGATCACGTTCTTTACAAAGCCCACTCGCTCAGGTTATCATCAGACCTGATGAAAGGCTCGTCTATCCGCTTGATGGCATAATCGCTGCATAGTATACTGAGAAACTGTTAGCATGTGTCGTAAAATAAAATGCAAAGAGTTCGGTCCTTACCAAGCAGAAGCAACCAAAGAGTCTAGCTCAGCAATCATGGCATCTCGTTTCGCTCCGCTAACCAGCCCCTTGCTGATCTGCACCTGACATTCCTTTATCCTCTTACTCTTGCCCACCCCCGCTTGCTCCAGGACTTTACGACCCAGACAATCCGAGTGGAAGGCATGTTGGCAAGGGAAGACGAAGAATTGTCTGCTTAGGAGCGGTAGACCGCAGACGTAGCACTTCTCGCCCGGCTCTACAATAGCGTATCTGTGATCTAGCGCAGCGATGTCGATCTTGATGTTCGCAGCGGTCTGGCTAGACTCATCCATCTCCTTCTTCAGCCCGTCGATATTGCGGCTGTAGTCCTCCAAGGCAGAGCAGATCTCCTCTTTGAAGTCATCGATAACCACGAAATCGGGGAAGAAGGGAATGAGATCCTCAATTTTGAGCAGATCGCATCGTCTGAGGAAATCAATGGCCGTTTTGATGCCGTTAGACTGCGAGATTACTTTCTTGGCTACAGCGAGCCACAAGCGCTTCCGCAACTGTGGGTTGGACATGGGCCGATCAGCAACGATGGAAGCTAGGTCTATCTCATTGTGAGACAGCGCCAGGTCAACGGCCTGGACAAACTGTCCCATGTTGGTGTATATGTGGACGCATGACAGAACACGACGGTTCTGGATGCACAACCGTAAGGCGAAGTCGGGGTCAAACTTTGGCTCATCGCCCTGGGATTCGAGATACGACAAAAGTGCGCTTTCGTCCTTTGAGGGATGCGAAGCATATATGGAGACGAGCGTATTGTGTATTGCTGAATCGGCTGAGTTCAGCTGATTAACAACGTAAAGAAGATATCGAATGGCTTGATTTTGCGCCAGAGGCCCCTTGAAGTTACGGTCGTATTCAAGGAGCGCGGGAATGAGATTTCGAGGCTTCAAATTGGATTGCCTCATGAGAATCTCGACCATTTCCGTGGCAGCATGGGTCATCATGACGCTGCTATACCGATAGAAGACGTCTGGATCCGTCTGCCTTCTGAGGACCACCAAGGCCTCATTCCATCTCTCGCGCTGTATCCAGTACGAGAGGACGTAGTTGTAGTCATTGACGGCATTTGCAAAAAACAAAAGTTCATCCTCCCGACCATGGCTGCTAATAACATCATACACTGTCTTCCGGTCGAGGTCAGTCTTGTGCCTGCTCACAAAGTCCTGAAACTCATTTCTGACGCTGCTCAGCTGCTCTCTTGTCTGAGCAGGGTTCAGCGTTTCTGACAGCTCTGCTTTGGTAATGATTGTATCATCTAGAGAGTTTAGCTTGGCCATGAATATTTCTATCAGCCAAGTGGCTATCATGACTCTCTGCATGACTGATGACTTCTTATATGTCGTCAATTTTGCAAGGAGATATTTCCTCAGAGGATCATGTTGACTATTGTCGAGGAACGCCAAAGCCACTTCTTCAAATGGCTTGCTGCTCTTCCCATAAACGCCTGCTGCTTCGTTATAGAGGCCCTTACTTATTAGATAGTCTCCGGAAGCAGTCGCAACAGCATCTTTCTGCGCTGGGGTATGTGCATATTGCAACGCAGCATCGAATTGCTGTGTCTGTAGCATAATTTTCCAGATGTCTCTGTCTTCATCCCTGACAACAATCTCAAAAATTTCTTGGGCTGTGAACAACCAGAAGGTATTCTTCTGGAGATCAACACAGAGACCAACAGCTCTCTGACCTTGTTCAAGAATAACCTGGTCGTAGACAATCGAGCCTGTCAGCCTATTGGCGACCACGATGCGATTCCCAATCAGGTTAATGATGTGCCACTGAGTCAGGGCAATGGTCTCGATATACTCTGTTGACGCCATTCTTCTTCCCGTGCTGTCGGAGCCACTGAGCTGCGATCGCTGTAGAAGCTTTGACTCGGATAAGACCTTAGCGCCGAGGTCTGATGTTGACGAGCTCAAGAGAAGCTTGCCATGATAGACGCCTTGGGAGGAAAGCCACGCAAACACCCGATCCGGGGCTGCCGACTCGTAAGGCATACCAGCATCTTGAGGATCCGGGGAGATGACCAGTGAGGACGGCGCTGCTGCCGAAGAACGCGAGAGCTCATGGATGACCGGGTGCTCTGATTCGAAGAGCCTCGTATAGATTGACCCGCTACCTTCGTGGCCGCGACCAATTTTCCCGGCCAGATGGAGGAGTCGGCTCTGAGTGGTGATGATCACCCGTCGGTTGTCTAAGCTACCGGGCAGGACGTCCACCCACAGACCTGTGACCGGCCCATCTGGGAGTTTTTGTAGTATCTTGAGGTATTTCTCTTCTTTTCGGTAGAACTCCGTTGATGTTTCAATGTAGCCTTCATATATGTTACCGTCTGAAGCGCCCAACAGTATCTCTCTTGTCGAAGCCGTAGGCAAGGCCGGATTCCAGGCAATGCTCTCGATCGAAACGCCGCGCAGGCGCGCCAGGGGCCTTGGCTGGCGAGACTGAGAATGGAGGTAGTAATTCTCCCCTAATGAGGTGCAGATAATGAGGTGCGACGCTGTCGGGTCGAGGAACATGCGGCGAATGACGCCAATTTCGGAGGGCTTCCTCGGAAGGTCAATGTCTATTGGCGCAGTCAGTTAGCTCCAGGTCACGAAGTCACAGCTTTGAGAAGAGGAAATATACCGTCGATGTCCTCTGGGCGATTCAGATCAATCCGCAGAATGCGCCCATTTGATAGCGCGAGTATCAGAACATTGTTCGCGACCTGCGCCGAGACGAAGTCCGCCGCGATGGAGAACTGCAGCTGGACCCGCTCGACATCAAAGATGGGCAACGACCCGTCGCTCAGGTCGGCGACGTTGCCGGCAGCCGCGAAGCCGTTGGACGGGTTGAGAGCCATCTGGTGATGCTACAATCGGTCATGAATAGTTGACCATAATGCTCTCAGCCGTCGTAAATGCAAGGCTGGAGCTTGGGGAGGAGGATGTGGCAGCGGCGATCTCGAGGTGGTTGCGTCCAGGCAGAGGGGGGATGGCCAGGGACGCGGCTCCTGTGCAGCTAAGCTAAGCTGTTGAGCTAAAGCTCCCGCACAACGCTGACGTTGTGCTTGGAGGAGAGCTAGCTCCACCCAGCCAGTTATGCACCACAATCCACACCACAGTCTAATCGTAGACTCTTCAGCCTTCTGGTCGTGTTGGACGTCGCAAGTCTTGGGAAGAAGTAGTAGAAAGTTTACTTCATCTTCCATCATACAAGAATATAAGTCATTCATATTGTCTTGAATTTTACTCAGATCACTATGCTATCTGAAAAGCAGTCCTGAAGTAAGTTGTTTGATTCCCCACGTAAATCTTAGGTATTGTTTATGAAGCGTTCTACCGCTATAGCCAGCTCCACGATCTTATGGTTAGGCCTAGTCTTTCGTAGGTTTTATGATTTTAACTTAGAACATACGGTCCTTTAGCTAACGGTACTTCTTAAGAGATTAAAGCGAGTAAGGTAAATTTGTCTAAGAAGTCTGTGCAACTGTTTTCGCTTGCGTCTGTTCGACCAAATCTCCGATCGTTTATTCGTCCCTTTCCACTTCAACGAGTTTTTGCTCGGGATCCTAAGCACCTCGCTCTCCTTGGAATTCCACCAGATTTATCGCATGACTCAATCGGGTGCTAATAAATGCAACCTTCAAGGCAGTCCTCAGGTATCTAGCAGACAATATACTAGTTCATATTGATTGGCTTATGGAAGGTGACCAGGCCCGATGTCCATGCCATCCTGTATCCGTCCTTCCTCGGTTGAAGGCTTTTCGCGGCTCCCATCGCAAAGCCTGTTGTGTGGTGTTTTAACATTCCTCAAGAGCATCTTGTCGTATGGAAGTATGCCCAACCAGACTCAATCAACTCGGTGGCATGAGAGGAATGAGACTCAATACTTTCGCCTGAGCATCCCTGCGCATGGATTTCGACATGAACGCGGTGTAGCTGCTTTGTTTATTGATGATGAGTCTTTTACTCTAGATCAATGCAGCATGCGTGTCTCATGTTGCGCGGCGACCAATCAGCAATTTGACCTCAGGACACCAAGTTTCGATCTGATCCATCCGCTCTGTCTGCCATCGGCCAGGTTGGTGGTATCCAAGCGGCTGATCGTAGTAAATAGTCTCAACCGAGAACTTCTTAGCTATATCGACATCGGGGAGTATACCCTTCCGGGCCTTTGCCTCTTCATAGAACCATTGATCTTCAAACTCTGCGTCACTATTCTCAAAGTCTGCTTCTTTCGTAATGTTTAAGAAAAGACGAGGATTTCTTAACGATAACCCTCCATTATATCCATGTCCATAGACCTGATCGATTGGAGCGCCAACCAAATCATATTCAAAGAAGTCCTCGACAGTTATAGTTGCCTTTGAGCAAATAATACTATCAGATTGAAACATAAGAATACGGCGAGCAGACTCTAGCTCTTGCCAAAGCCACGGCTTCGTCAGGAACCGTGAGACAGAGCCGCTATCTTTAAGTTCTGTCTCAGCTGGAAGAAACCGTACCACGAACCTATTCGATGCTACAGCTCGCTTCCAAGCAGGAGATTTCGGTTCTTCCCAGTGCTCTTCGAGTGTAAAAAGAACAACGGTCCAAGTTGGCCCAAGTACGGTCAAGAAGTGTAGCATTAGTGGTATAAGGTTAGTAGTCATTACTGTCTCGATTATGACTGCTCGGGGGTGGCTTTCGGAGAGAGCATCGGAGGCATAAAAGCCTTGGTTTTCGTGAACAGGCTCTTGAGGCCGTTGAGGCGGCAGCTTATTTGTTTTGTCGGCGGGATTCGAGATGCCTCGATAATCACTCTAATGTTTGCCAGTCAGTATTGACACACATATATTGAAAGCAGATGGACCGCAAACCAAATATTCATCGCCTACCAATGTCCACACAATCATCAACCCAGCGATAACAATGATGAGGAATCCCACCTCTATGGGATACCTCCTCTTGGATAAGCAAAGCATCATGAGCCCAAGAGTCAAATCGCAGGGAGTATGAAACTCTGTCAACCCTTCTGAGCGACTAAAAGAGATCACGAACTGGATGCTTGACATTCTACAAAGAAACAGCCGAAGAAATACAAGGCTGCCGTCCGCCCAAAGACAAAGACGTAGTAAAAGCGTGATTCAAAGGGGCGCGCAACATCCCACGCGGGCCCCGACCTCGTCCGGGATTAACATCACGACGGACGGAAGGCCAGGCGGCTATGTGTAACCTGCCATTGGCTTTCAGGGACGATACGACTCTCTTATGCGCCGTCAGCAGGGATATCTCTACAAAGCTCATTGTATCTCGTACGGAGCTTGTAAATAGGCGGATATGGATTAGATGGACTCAGAATTCATGTAAATGTAATGGTCAGATAATCAAACACAGCCCCGCATGAATCAGACAAATTACTATACGCATCTTAAGGCTTTTTATTCGGTCGTGTCTTGAGATTCTGGCAAGAGTTTACTAGGATTGTTTCTTGACTCCACAGCTTCCGAATACCAAGCCCGCTATCGCCCGCAAAGAAGAAGATACCAAATATTGGCAATGACGCTATTGCTAAGCAGCCAGTACTCTGGAGGCCATTGGTGAGGAATTAACTGTGTTCATCTCTTCCATCGCCATTAACGCTAAGTCTTTAGTAGTAAGAATTTTCGGAGCCTCTAAGACAGCGACAATCTTGGCTGGAGTATAGCCCCGAAATAGTACATACTCTTTGGAACTCTACTATGCTGGAAAGCCTTTTTACCGAGTGGCCTGTGGAGACATTGGTACGGAACTGAGAAGGTTGAAAAGCAGCTCAAGCAAGTATTCAGCCTTGGGCATATATGGGATTGTGGTACGTATGAATTGGTCGACATTAAATCATTCACATTACTAATTCAGACTAGTTGCTCTCCTCGATGAAGCAGAAGTATCTTAACAAGAGCATTCACTTACGGATCTTCAACGAAATGCACTCGTGTCTGGTAAGTTAGCATCCGGACACCATGGAGACTTGTATAACGTTTATAGTCTTTCTCCGCGTATTGGAGTATTACGATGGAATCCTGATCTTGACAAGTAATCGAATTGGTGTGTTCGATGAAGGCTTTAAGTCACCTATTCAGCTCGCTTTACACCACGACGGCCTTGATCAAGACACGAAAGAAGGTTTGGGAAACTTTTTGGATCAACTAGAGAAATTTGACGATATAGAAGATACTGATCTTGCTAATCTGCGAGAGAATCTCGCCAAACTATCTGGATACGTCCTGAATGGAAGAGCAAACAGGAATACTATCACCATAGGGCAGCAACTAGCTATGTTAAGGGGAAGTCGCCAAATTTTGAGTGCATGAAGGAGGTCATAATTGTTTGATCTAAATTTGATTCGTATCTTAAGGATAGAGTGTATGAAGGATTGGACGATAATGAGCTGGCGAAGGAGAAAGGACTAAGATGAAAGGAATCTTCGTGACGGACAGTTCTTGCCGGATTAGGTAATTAGAAATGCTACGTTCCATCAGATTAGTCATATGCTATCGAAATATTTGTGTATATATCGCCGGAGGCTTTGTTCTGGAGGTGTTGTAAAGGCCTGGGAGAAGAAAGTGCAGGGTCTCAAAGCCTTTGTGTCCTGAGATAACTGGCTAAGAATGTCTCCATTTACAGTATACCTTACGAGCCTGCGCCTTTCTAATGCATCACGGTCTTGGATAGCTTATATAAGGCTTGTAGGGTGGTCTGAGTACCTATGCGGTAAGGAGCTTTGTACGGTGCAAAGTGAAATGGAAAGCCTGGCATCTCAGCCCTGTGAGGTCCTAGTCACCGAAAACATGCTGACTTCGCATACATCAACGACTAAACGAAATGACTTGATTAGCTCCTACTATGAATAATAGTTTCGCCACATTTGTAGCTAGCTGCAGTCCTGTACTGTGCCTCAAGCTGTGCCGCAGTTCGTGCCGGGTTACCGTCGCCACCGAAGCTACTTAGACCATGGAATTTTATGTGAAGAATAGTCAACGAGGAAGGTAGCATTACGCAGTAGGCAACTATCTTGGCAGCTTTGTGGTATTGATGGCTAGTAGGCGGTAAGATATGTGAAAATCAAAGGGCATTAAGTGTGTTTTTGCCATGGAATATATAGACTGATAATCTCGTAACGAACTTGTTGTCCTCGACTTTAAGCATCTTGTTTGAATTTCGTATTTTGAAGTCGTCGGAGAACACCTCATCCTGAAGCCTTCCATTGCTCTTGCCATCCTGGCCACATTGCTTCCTGTAGGTGTTGTTGCTGATTCCGATATGTGGGAGTCGGACGTGGGATATGTTCAGGGCGGCGGCAACGGTGGAACTAACCCATCCTCCTACTACATTCTGGTCGCACAACCTTATATCAGCTATGACACGGCCATCTGCTCAGCGCCGCTCACGGGTGGAAACGTGCAATCTCCATGGTGCAACCGCGGTATCAAGGTTAACAACGGCTGCGCGGTGCTGAAGAACTGCGCTGGAGGCGGTGAGCCCCAGGCGGTTTCGAATGGAGCGTTCTTCGCTGATTTGGAGGACTGTGGTGGTTGGAACAGGGACACTTGCTATGCATGGCAAGATGTTGCCAATAGCCATAGCTGCAGTACTCAAGAGGCTGGTCGTCTTTCCTACAGTCGCGTTGCTTGCAAAACACCAAACTTCAATGGAGCAGAAGCCCAGCCTGAGAATATACACCCCTTTTTGAACTCGTTGGAATCAGAATGCCCCCATGAAAATTCAACGCCCCTCAACAAACCACCAAGCCAGTTTCCGGCAAACTCCTTCCCTGATAAAGCAGTATTGCCACTCTACATCCAGTCGCCCAGATACATACAAAGGGGAGGATCTTCAGGGTATCTACATGTACAAACAATTAGGCAGGAGGCCGATCTTCTCTGCTCCCATGAACCGGAGTTGGTCGCCCATGTAATTGCCTACCGGGCTCTCAATCAGAAGGACCTCCCTGGTAGTCCGGAGCTCAGCGGCTCGGCTCTGAGGGTCGACCCTCTAATATGTCTCATGCCTCCGCGGCATAAGCTCGTCTTCGATCCGATATGTCGGGTATCTCCTCCGCTCAGCTTCCAATCGTGCTGTCGTCGCCAGTACTGTAATCCCGCAATTCCAGATCACCGTTTTCGCCAAAATTTTGTGCTGTCCACTGGCCGGCCACCCAAGGCTTTCTTGCAACCAGGACCCGTAGTTTCACCTCGAATCCCTTGTTTGTCTCTGGCTTCATCGCCATCGAGATCAATTGTTGCCCGACTATTGCGCACGTCTCCCTGACCTTCTCGGGGGCCCAACCCATATATTTTGTGAGCGGTCGTAGTGTGCTGGCTTCAAGTCCTGCACGACATGCTACCAGCCAAAGCTTGCCCAGTGGTGATGTAGACGGGTCAAGCGGGATCGCATGCTCCGTGATCTCGACATCGACAAACCCAGCATCGATCAGCAGTTGTCGGTTAAGATGATCGACGCCACGCCGCCTTCCACACCTCAACTCGGCCTCGTGCATGTCTAAAGCAAACTGATGCATGATCGAATCCGGCGGAAACTTGCTGTAGAAGTTCTGGGGTCCCCTGAAGTCATGGAAATCGACCAGCTCGATATAGCCGCCAGGTTTGATGCACTTGAAGGCTTGTTCGTAGACAAAGCTCCAGTCCGAGAAAGCCCCCGCCATGCCACGGAAGTGAACCAGATCGATCGAGTCTGGTGCCCTCTCCCACTCCAGCTCAGCGTCATCGCATTCCCAGTTGCAGTTGTTGGGCACCCTGGTGTCCTGAATAGGGGATATGTCCATGCCGATCACGTCACAATCCGGATACTTCTCGGCCATGCCCATGACCCACTCGCCGGTGCCGGTGCCCACATCTAGAATAATCTCTGGATCGTCGAGAGGCACCGACGTCAACTCGAGGTTGAATACGTTGAGGTACACCTGATGGACGATGCGCATCCGGTCCTGCTCCTCCTCGTCATTCGGCATGTAATACTCCTTACAATACCGGCGGCCGTATTCCTCTACGAAATCCACATCACCCTCGTATATTGACATGGTCGATGAGTTCCTAAGGTCACTGGTTAGCATCACGGAGCACTGGAATGGAGGCGGGTCTGGTCTGGGCCATACACTGTCTCAAAGTCACTGTCAATCCGCTCTGTTCGGTAGTGTGCGGGGATTGTGGGATATATGCTCTGCGCATAGGCTGCTCTCCTCGCGGTGTCGTCCTCCGTGTCGGTCTCGTCGTCGACCTCGAGACCGATGAGGGCGGCGTCCGTGTCAATGATGGTGGTCATGTCCATGTCGATCTCAAGCGACTCTGTGCCATCTGCGTCGCCGTTGGTCGCCTCGCTGCCGGAATGCGACGCCTGGTATCCGTCTCGCGACTCCTCGTAGCGCTGTGGTTGTTGCTGCTGCACCTCGAAGCGCACCGTCTGGGCGCCGTTGGTGGTGGTGCTGCCATTGGTGTGGCCGTTCTGCTCCGAGTTGGAGCTCAGCCCATTTGTTGCCATGTCTGTTTCCTGCTATGTGATTGACCTCGAATCTTATCTCCGTCGCGACCGCCGTCGTCCCTCCATAGTATGTGATCGCGGGGTCCTATGTCGACATGTGCACACTCAGATCTCCAATGTGCCAAGTACCACGGAGCCGTTTCCGGAGGCGTGAACAGGGGAAGTGGGAAAGATATCAGCGACGTCGTCTTGCGGCTTGTGGACGACAGACGTGGGATGGTCGAGGATCGAGGCGAACAGAACGGTAGTTCAGGGATCCGCAAGAAGAGAGCTCGGCAGCAGCAGCAGGAGGAGGAGGAGGAGGAGGAGGAGGGAAGAAAAAAGAAAGAGAAGATCGATCGAGGCCCCCCCAGCTTTCAGGTGAGCAATGACAAGAACAGGACCGGGGGGTCGGACCTAAGTAACCTAACGTGATGGAGCGGGGGTTTGGGGGGCAGGGACGGAAGTCTAGACTAGGAGAGATGAGTGAATCGTAGGTAGCCTACGTAGGCGGGTACCGGTAGTCAAGCAGGTGTAAGTCCGAATCGACGGAGAAGCTCGCGCTGACAGGTGCGGGCGTTGGTAATAAGAGGGGGGTGGTGGGACGCTTAGACTAGGTAGGTAGAATGTTAGAACGGACGAGACTTGAGAATGCATGCACTCGGGGTCGGGGAAGAGCAAGAGCAAGAGCAAGCGCATGCACCCACTCAACTACCGTACTCACTGCTTGCTTGTTGAGGCAACTCGAGAGAGTCAGTCAAGACAGTGACACCAGTTTACAAGTTACCTGCACTACATAGTAGGTAGCTAGTAGATCCTGCATTGGACTTGGACCGGGACCTGGACCTGGGGCTGGGCTCGACCGACGGAGGGCTTGGAGCTCCTGGAACTTTCTGAAGAGAGGTTAGCCGAGTTGAGGTAACCTACCTTAAACTAGCCTACTAGCCTACTAGCCTACCTATCCCGGACCCATGGCAAATGCATGGGTATGGGCATGGGCATGGGCCGCATGGCATTAGATACAGTACAAATTATCAAGGACTGTGTGAGTGCAACCTTGATGGCGGGCGCCTCACTCTCTCTGCCCAGTGCCTCTCTGCCTCTCCTCTCTCAGAGCCCGCCCCCCAAGTAATAAATATTAATCGTGCACCAACTCTCCTTCCTCTCCCGCCGGCAGGCCAGCCAGCGATAACATGTGCTGCATACGGTAGAGGCATGTAGTCTGCAGGTAATGTTTGCAGACGTTTAGCGACCATGCAAGTGACCATGGAGGCGGGCGAATCCAACTGCCCGGCTGGCTGGCGGCACAAATTGCTACTACACCTACATACCTATATGACCTGCCTGTTTGCCTTGCAGCGAATGCACCTACTAACGTTATGCAGCACGAGAAGGTCTCACTCGTCTCTTCCGGCAGCTCGGGCTGGGATTCCCAGAAAGCTCCAGTTCCAATGCAGTGCAGTGCACGAGCGGGCGGGAGCGACGGAGACATCGCATTGCAGTGGGCAGAACTGGCATGACTGGGCCTCGTGGGCCCGTCCTAGCTCCACCATAGCAGTGCAGCTAGGGTGTGCTAGGGCACCGAACCAAACCTAAAGCTCCAGAAAATCCCAAGAACCCTCGTCGTCGTGGGGACTGCGTGCGCAGGAGTACTGCGTAGATGGAGTCGCCGCGTATTGGTCTCGCAGGTACCTCAGCCCACAAGGAAGACGCAGTAATTAGCAAAGGTACCTTCAGCAACTCCCTCTCTTGGCCTATCGGACTCTTTGCTGGGGATATCCACTGTAAAGGCCTCAAGGAGCCAAGCCTTGAGCCAAGCGGCATTGACCCGATCTTCCAGGGGCTGCTTGTCAGTCTGCGCTCTGCACGGCCCACTAAGTGGTCTGCTCCAGTGAAGCTCTCCTCTATTCCCTCTATTCCCTCTAGCAGCAGGTGTCCTCGAGGGTGCATTCGGTACGGATCCCGCGCCGTGCATCTACAGCAACGAGCAAAGTATCTGGCCAATCTTTCCCAGATCTCAGGTTGCAGGGTACCTAGAGTAGGTATGCAGTGCTGGCTCTTCTTTCTCTCTCGTGTCCGAACTGTGGCCGGCAGCGCATCCTTCAGCACACTAGAGAATCCACCTCTGGTATGTGTGCCTGACAGGACACGACAGTGCCGTTCCCCGACTCCACAGGCGCTGTCAGCATCATACTCTCACGAGCTTCCATCGCTTCCTCGCCCCTTGACCAGCTCTACTTTCCTGCATAGTATGTCACTGTATGGCCTATCCCGCCGAGAATACGGAGGAGGACAGGGCGGTAAGTACCGCGGAATGACGCCGGGGAGATGGCCATGCCAAGGGGGCCTGATCCACCTGACACAGTCAGGCATCGCCAAAGGGAACCATGTAACCGTGAAAGGCAAGCGATAAGAGAGAGCACTTCCTCGGTACGGACTTCAGTGCCCATCTCATGGGCCTGGACGTCCGAGCTTGCCTGCCGCTTCGCTGCCGGCTGTCAGTCAAGATTTATCATGGGCTGATTTGCCGGCCAAACGCTCCTGTACCAAGCGAGAGCCCCGCGGACACCCTGAGCGAGAAGCAGGAAGCAGCAGCATCAGCATCAGCAGCGGGAAACAGGGGGAGGTTGTAGAAGGGCAGAACACACGATGTGACAGCCCGAATCACTTGCAGTTGGGCTCTTCCCGCAACAGCTGCTGTTGTCGTTGTTGTTGCATTGAAGCTACTGTGTTAAGCGATCGACCGATTCAAGCGTCCTACTTTAGTCTTCCCTAGTGGCCCATTCAAACCAAAGCAAGGCGCCGTAGTTACGGGCGTATGCAAGCAACAGCATGCGCTTCGTCTCGCACTTGGGGGCCCAACACTAAACAGCAGGCCAAGATGATGGAGCATTGAGACACGGGCTGGTCATCTCGCAATTGCACTCACGCATCTCACGAGGCCCTCGACAAGACCTTGGCCCGACCCATGATCCTTTCGTTGGTGAGTGCTGTTGGGCATATCAGAGATGATAGCGTGGCGCCGCAACCGGTATTTCCCTCAAATGCAGACGCCCATTTTCTTGACTTGTGGTTCTAGATCTGCGCCACTTAAGATGCGCCTGGGTTTCCCACAATGTGAGATCCAGAACGAGGCTCGAGCATCGAAGACCATATGCCTGAATCATGCGGCGACGTAGACATGCATTAGATATGTCGTCGGCCAAAAACTATTGTTACCGCCAACAGATGGGCGGCAAATTTCTCCGCTGAATAAAGAATCGAGTTCGGTGGACTGACAACGTTCTCCTAACCAAGCGCTCGGTAGCCAGGCATAATTGCCACGAAGGAGAAATCCATTTCATCGGCCATTAGGAGAAACCTTCAGGCGACCTAAGGACGGTTTGTTCCTCATCCTCGGGATTGAGATAATTAACTGGAGCAAATTTTGAGTTCACGACTACTACGCTGTAGCGCAAAGTTTATCGCCTGGTGCTCCGTTCAAATACGATGCTTTCCTGACGATCTCGAACGATTTGTTCAAACATTTGCCATCGCAGCATGGGCCGTGTCCATCCCTGGGAGCGGTTGTCGGTAGCGGACCGAAGCCCGGCTGCCCTTCCATTGACTGGATGAATTTGTCAATGCAGGGCCATATGCAGGTCACAGGCTCGAGGATCATCGGCCTTGTTTGCATGAAGCTTGCCTGCCAATGGAGCGTGAACCGCTGCGCATCACCAGACAGCTCCAGTGAGGATGGCAGGATGGGGGCCGGGCTTGACCTGCATATCCGCGCTATAAGCGATCATTTTATGACCCGGGTTGCTCCCAACTCTCCTCTGCTGTTCGTCAAGCGGTGAACCAACAGAAAGAGTGCTGACACACTGTGTCTTTCGGGTCGTTAGCAATCAGAGGAGCCATCGACGGGGGCTTGTCCGCCGGAGCACCGGAGCTTTCTGCCGGTATTGCATACGGAAGAAATCCCAAATCGGCACCGGCCCCGCGCCGTTGCACTCCGCTCTCTGTCTATGAACATGCCTTTGATGCCGTGTTGCGAGCACGATGCATCTCATTCACTCATGCAAATAAGCTCGACGCTTCAATGCCTGTCATCGTCGCAAACTCTAACATAAGCGGCCGCTTCGTGCCCTTGATGTTAACGGATATATTGAAGGCAGTGGATGCCAGCGATCTTACTTGGATGATTTGCCCCTGATACGTTCCGTTTTTTCGGGCATTTCATGTCGGCGTGCAGCTCACTTTCGTCTCACCGACGGGCGTAGCTTGCTCCCTTCTGGTATTTTTTACCTCGCGCCGTAGCACTATGTCAAATGCTGCCGAGGACCGAGGTGAAAAGAGAGCGTTTGAAGATTCTGAAGGGCGCACGTCTCTGCAGCTCCCGAAGAACGAAGTCGTTACCATTTCAATATAGGGATCTATTAAATAGGGTCGTCTATCAGGGTTCGACAAGCCTTGGATGAGCTGCCTCTCGAGTGAGGGTGCTGACCATTACCGAGGCAGCGGAGACTATCATCAACGTATGAGGATAGCCACCTTGCATGGTCTGAAGTTCATACTTGTCAAAATGCCTCATCACATTCCTATCCTATTGTCTATCTATTTTGCGCCACGAGGCTCCTCCTCATATCAGTGGGGGAAGGGGCCAACGTCAATACATCTAACATGGAACGATTTCCTCTAGATTCTTTCAGGAACAAACAGCAAAAACAGCAACAGAGCATCAAAAGATTCAGAAGAAGCCCCCGCGTGTATCTCGTCGTGATGCCACATGCCAATGCCCCGCGGACCGTCCGCGAACAAAATAGTAAAGCTGAGCGCCAGGAGATGCGGTCCCTAATATAAAAAGAAGTATCCAGGAAGAAGGGGGTTTGGTTGGTTCGGAGTGTTCAAAAAAAGCCTCCTGGTTTAGACGGGCACCGCCGCCGGAGCACCGTTGACATCCTCCATGATCTGCTTCTTGACCGGCTGCGGCTGCGGCGTGTCGCTGACGGGCTCCTTGTCGGACATGACGTCCTGGCCGGCGACGATGGGGAAGGGGCTGAGCACCTTGCTGATGTCGCCCCACCAGTCCTCGCCGAAGCGGCGGTACCACTCGACGGTGATGCGCAGGCCCTCGGCGAAGCTAGTCTTCTGATCCCAGCCCAGCTGCCTCAGCTTAGTGCCGTCGACAGCGTACCGGTGATCGTTAAAGGGCCGGTCGTGCGTGTACTTGACCCACTTCTTCAGCTCCTCCGTGGTCTCGTGCGGGATGCCGAACTGGTCCAGCAGCTTGCTGCACAGGTCGAGATTGCTGACCTCGTCGTACGAGCCAACGTTGTACACCTGGCCGATCTGGCCCTTGTGCAGGATCGTGTCAAAGGCGTCCGCTGCATCACCCGCGAACAGGTACCGCCTTGTCGGGCTGCCGTCACCATGGAGAACGACTGGCTGGCCCCGGTTCAGCAGGCAGCTGAACTTGGGAATGATCTCTACACATATTGTTAGCAACAAAAATTTACGAGCGGCTTCGAATTCGATCACGTACTCTCGGGGTACTGGTGCGGACCATACACATTGTTACTCCGCACAATGATCACCGGCAGCTTGAAGCTCTTCTGGTATGAGTGGACAAGCATCTCGGCCGCCGCCTTGCTGGCAGCATAGGGGTTGGTCGGTGCCAGAATGCTGGTCTCCAGCAGGTCATCGTCGTCATCCTTAACCTCGCCGTACACCTCATCGGTGGAGATGTGGATGAACCGCTTGATGCCGACCTTCTTGGCGCTCTCCAGCAGCACGTGGGTGCCGTAGACGTTGGTGTGGGTGAAGCCATAGGAGTTACCGAAGCTCAGATCGACGTGTGACTGCGCGGCAAAGTGGAAGATGGTGTCAATGTTGTAGCGCTCCAGGCAGTTGACGACCTCGGACGGATTGGTGATGTCGCCCTGGAAGAAGCTGAAGTTCTTCTTGTCGTTGAGGGCTCGGGTGTTATTTAGTGACGAGCAGTAATCTAGCTTGTCGAAGGAGACAATGTTATATGCGTGGGGGTAAGTGAGGGTCAGATGGCGAACTAGCCAGCAAGCACTGCGATTTTGTCCCAGGTCAGCCAAATCATACAAATTCCCCGCCAATTGCTCTACAACGTACATGAAGCCAGCACCACCAGTGATCATAATGTTCTTGACGTCCGGGAGAGGCTCAAACTTGGTTGCGCCCGTCAGAACCGGGGCGTCCTTCCAGACACCGAAGTCCTCAAAGAAGTTGCGGCGAGCGCCATTTGTGCCTGCAAGAGCGGGGAGTTAGCATTTCCCTCTTATCTGACCCCACGAACACCAGCTTCCACTCACCGTTCGTGGCTCCGTTGGTGTAGGGAGACATTGTAGCAATTGAGCCGATTCCAAAGTATGAGAATAAGGTCTGTCGATGCAAATGGGAAGCAAAGCTGAGGTTGAGTGTGCGGGCTCGTGGTATCCGGTAAGTTCTGACCTTGCACCGTAGGTAGACGAAGCGGCGGGAGCTTTGAGTTCACACAGGCAATGTCACAGGAGACGCCTCGCAGAAGTAATCCAGAGACTTGAGTCTGAGGTCAGAGTTTTGCAGCGACACAGATCAACAGGGGCAAAACACGTACAGAGGTCGAGTCGAGTTAGATTAGTCGCGTCGCCCTTCTGAACATATATGACCTTGGCAGGGAGAGCACGATGTCTTAGACAGCGGAAGGGAGAGAGGCGGATTCGGGAGGGAAGCGAATGTTTTGCGCCGAGGGCAGGAATTCAGCAACAAGGAAGCCGGACTGCTAGCCAAAGCAAGGGACGACGACGGGCAATGAGTTAATAGAATAGGAGAGGATCTTCTCATGCTACACGCAACATGTCCATGTCCATGAGCGGGAAAATGGGCTAGGCGGGGCACTATTTCAGAGGGCGGAGAGCCAGGGTCTTTGTACGGGGAGCTCCAGGGCTGGTCGGGCTGGTGGTTATCGTCCACCGCGTAAGGTAGGTGGTATACCTTCGTAGGGATTGCTCTGCGCTCTCTTGGTAAGGTCGGCAGCCTAGTGAAAACGAGGCCTGACCCGCAGCGAGCGTAGGTATCTGGCCTCATACGTACATAGTGGGTTGGTCCAGTACAGCACAGCAAGGTGGTCGTTGCTTTTTTGTTTCCAACGACAGGGTTTCAAGCCATTCCAAAAAAGTTTCGACTCAAGAAAGCCCAGGTACCCGGTACCTTAGCGGAGCACTATCGGGAGGCTACCCTCGTACTACCGGCGAGATGCGTGTTATAGTGGCGAGCGGTTGACGAGAAATCGGCCCCTTTGCCCTAAGAAGACCGCGCTGCTGCAGGTGGGTTAGTCGTGCCCGTGCCAGTTCGAGGTGGACGCAGCAGGTGATTTTGGTAGACTCGTCAGAGCTTGGGAGAGGCTGAAAAGACGCAACTAATCTAAATTAATGAGCTTCCGTGGAACGTGAGATCGATCCCTGAGAATGGAAACTAACACGCGCAGCGTATCACATCACATTACATAGCATGAGCGAGATCCTGACATGCTGTTGCCCACAGACCCGGTAATACAGTACATGAACAGGAACTGCAAAATGCCTGTCTCAGGGCTCTCATCCTCCCCGTCACATATATTACGTTGCTTGGTCCAAGCTTTTCGGTAGCTGCATCCGTCTCGTACTGTAGCAGCTGACATACATTCGTGATCATGATAGATCAGCGAACCCTTGGATCCGTCAATGCTACCGTACTTCCCTCACCCTCTCCGCGCCTGATCGGTATGACACAGATCTACCGAGTATCACAACTCGAATTGCTTCTGCCTCGAGAAGGGAGACAGCAAGAGGGAGCCCGCAGTTCTGGTGGCAGTATGTGCCCCAACACTCGTCATTTTTGGAGGCCAGATAACCCCCTTAGTGGCATTTTCATTTATCTCTCCCAGTCGATCCTACTAAAATGATCGGCTCGCCTCCCTAGTAAATTGCTGTTGCACTGCTCCCCTTAACCCTGGCTGGCTGGTACCCAAGCCCTGCTCCTGGTAATCCTGACTGATCTACCCGAGCAGGTCCCCTGATGAAACGTGCACCTGTCCGCGCTGGCTGACTGGTCAGATTGCGTCAACGCACAGAAGAGCAGACGATTGATGGATTAACACTGCCTTCTGCGGGGAGACGCAGCACGGCAGCCGTCGTCCTGATTGAAGGTTTCCTCCAAGCAGCCACATTTGCACCCAGAGAGGAACCTTGACGGATAAGGCAATGAATCACGCAAGAGGCCGTTGAAGTCCACGATACCTTCTCGCCAACGGCGCCAGGAGGTTGATTGAACGAGAAACAATCTGTCGGGTCCCTGAGTCATGGTCTGTGGTCTCGTAAAATGACAGCGCGTGACGGCCAGTACCGCCGTACGAGGACAGGCCCAAGCCCCAGCGGCTCGTAGCTCTCGAGTCGAGTCTGAATTTGGTTTCCCAACACGAGAAATTGGCAGTTCCAATTTCCCCAGACTGAAGCAATACCCGGTTGTGGCGCCTGCACTTGCGGCGCCTCCGAATGCCTCCTGTACGAAACTACGCCGTTAGCTGCACCGAAATCTACTTTGGACTCGATGGACCGCTCCGCTAACAGCATATATCGACCGATTTTCCCTCGGAGTCTGACGCGTACTAAGCAATTGGAGGACCTGGCCGTCTGGCCTTTCGGTGGGAGTCTCCTCCCGAGGGTGGGGGAGTGAGGGGCAGATACACACACTCACACGCAGGTTCCAGGGCTGGACTTGACGAAACGGAAATTTTCCAGGGGATAGGTGTTTTGTGTGTCCTCCTCGAGTACTACTGTGGTAGGTGCATGATCTAAGGTCCATTACGCGTCCAAGACGAGTCTCGAAACAGGGTGCGCCTCGCGAGGTGGAAAGGCGCATCTGGACGATCCTTGTGACGACATAGCATCCCCAACAACGACGGCTTCGATTGCCTCACTCCGGCCGTGGCACTGCATCTCGACGGTGAGAAGGCATCCGCAGCGTTGCATTGGCAAGTCAAGGCCTCAGACCTCGTCCCCATGGCGGTGGTCCGCTGTCTAATGATCGCCCGTGCATGGGAGTTGAAGGCCAAGCTTTGAGGAGCGAATCAGGGGTCCCACCAACCCACGCTACGAGATGGAACACGAGGGCTCGACAACCCCCGACAGACCAGAATAGAAACGCCATCCATTGGACCCTTTGGTCATTTGGGCCTTGGTACTGTACTGTACCTGCTCGTACAGAACAATCACTGTCAGGCAAGGTAGCTAAGTAATTCCAATGTGACATGGCCTTGCGTCGAGGCGCACAGTGATAAGACAGCCAGACAGCCCATCAAAGGGGCTCCAGGCATCTACACTGATACACAGATACACAAGATATTCACCTCCCTCGGTTGCTCCCACGCATTTCGCGCTCCACCAAGGGCGTGGTGGCTCAAAGGCAGTCAATCAATAATATAGCGTCTAGATCTCGCCTTACACTAAATCACAGCAAATAGTTGCTTGTGCTGCCTCAAGATATTCGGCCCCAGATCCTCCCTTGCCCCCTGCCTGTTCGTCTCAAGTTAAAGGGCTGGGACGCGTCCATTGCAAGTCGGGAGCTGGAAGGCTACATGGGGCTTAGTGCTGCCCATCCAGGCAGTCCAAGACCACGCTATCTCGAGCAACCCTTTCAGATAGTTCGGCCATTAGCCCAGAGACTGGTTCGCGAGAGCGTTTTGGGAAACGCTCTGCAGCACGAAACTGGGCCGGGCGAAGTTAGATGCTGCGGCACTTCCTTTGCTGTAGAATATCTATCTTCCTTCGTAAATACCATCTTCTAAGGTTCCGCCCTAATGGAAACGCCCACAGTAAGGGCTGACGTGTGTGTAAGTGCCTTTGGTGCCCTTGGTGCACTTGCGAGTCTCGGTGCCCTTCCTTAGTGACGGGTCCCCTCCTCTCTGGCCCTGCACGCTGGAATGGTGATCTTCCAAAAGCCCCATTCCGTCTCCATTCAAAAAGAAACGAGGTACCCGGTACTCGCCGTGCTCTGCGCTCATGTGGGCGCACGCGGTAGTACGAATCACAGAGTTTGGGCTACCGCCCTGACAGCCTCAGATAGCGTTCAGCAGGCCACAGCAGGGCCACCCACGATGGGAGCCACATTCCTCGGCCATGGGTTTGGCGGTACAGCAGTTGGCGTGCTACTCCCAGCGCGCCAGACATGCATTTCTGAAGTGTAACCGAAAGCGATTTGAGTGAAAGCCAGAAGGGCCCCCGGGCACGCATAGTGGTATAGTAGATTAGGGTACCGTACAGGTACTTAGCTGTCCCATCCCGCCGGCATCCCTCCCGGCCGTCCCTTGAAAGTTCCCTGCATCCACGGAATCCCTGTCCTTAACTGGAATTTCACACAAAACCAACCAACACACCTCTCTCTCTCTCCCGCCTTCAGCCTTAACCCGACTTTGCCTTAATTGCTTGCTTCCCTCCTCACCTCACCTTCGCCCAACTCGATGGTCGGGGCTGGGCTTTTGTAAATACATACCTACTCCATTTCCCAGAAATTTCTCTTTCTAACAAATCTGTCACTCCGCGACCTGGAGTAGACGTCACAACTTCTTGCCGTTATCATCCCCGGTCTGTACTTCGTCACCATGTCTGCTGAAAGTCCCCGGACGGAGCGGAGGGGCTCCGAAGCCTCGTCGCATACTGAGGCTGGCGGAACCTACGAGGAGAATGAGAAGCTGGTTTCTATTCACAAGGATGAGGAGAGCCATCCTAGGGAAGAGATGGAGATTGCCGAAGAGCGGGAGGATGCCGCAATGCTACCGCAGGAGACCGAGAAACCCGAGCCAGCAAAGTCCAGTACGAGGTCTGCGATTATCTGGATGGTGATCAACACCCTCGCAACGATTGGAATTGTAATTCCTGCCCTCTCGCGATACTTCTTCAAAGTGCAAGTACTAAACAATGTTGCTAGGTGTTCACGAACAAGGCCATTTTTTCCGATCCGTCTTTGAAACTCGCTCAGCTATCCTTTGCCGCCTTCCACTTCTTCATTACATGGCTGACGCTTTTCACCCTGTCACGCCCCCGATTCGCTTTCTTCCAGCCACGCCGCGCATCTATTCGAGAGATTGCTCCTCTCTCTGTTGCCATGGCGCTGAATGTCATTCTTCCTAACCTATCTCTGGCCTTTTCCACCGTCACCTTCTACCAGGTCGCGCGTATTCTCCTTACGCCAACTGTGGCTCTCATGAACTACGTTCTGTACAAGGCAACTCTGCCGCAGAACGCCCTACTGGCCTTGATCCCGGCTTGCGCCGGTGTTGGCATGGTCTCGTACTACGACTCGCTGCCCAGCGCCGATGCCAAAGTCAAGACCACCTCAGGATTGGGGGTTATCTTTGCCTTTGCGGGCATCTTTGCCTCGTCTCTGTACACGGTCTGGATCGCGAGCTATCATAGGAAGCTCCAGATGTCCAGCATGCAGCTGCTCTTCAACCAAGCGCCGGTTTCCGCTTTCCTACTGCTCTACGTCATTCCCTTTGTCGACACATTCCCCGTCTGGAGCACAGTCCAAGTCAGCCGCTGGGTCATGATCTTGATGGTAAGTCGCCATGTCAATCGAACCGGATGAAGGAGCTAATTTGAATGCAGTCTGGCATGTTTGCCTCGTTGATCAACATTTCCCAATTCTTCATCATCGCTCAGACCGGACCCGTCTCGAGCACGGTCGTTGGGCACGTAAAGACCTGCACAATCGTCGCGCTTGGTTGGGCCACCTCTGGCAGAGCCATTGGTGACAAGTCTGTTCTTGGCGTTTTCATTGCCCTTGGCGGTATCATTGCGTAAGTTGCGAAACATCCGCACTGCCTTGGCCTAGCCTTGCTAACACGAAACAGCTATTCGATAGTCATGTTGAAGGAGAAGGCGAAGAAGCTTGGAAAATGAAAAAGCCTTGTTCATGATGACTTGACGATCTTCTGCTGTAGATATTCACTAAGGAGTTTCCGGATACCGGTTCAGGAGTTCTTTTTTGGACAGGGATAGAGAAATGCCGTTTGGCTCGCCCTCGCGGTCAGGTGTAGTGGTTGCGCTTGGAGAAAGCCGAACGTAACAGCGGCTCTCGTGTTCACGCGCAAGCCCTGTTGATTACGGCTCGATAGAATTGCTCCGAATTAGGAGTTATAGCATAAGAAAGCGTTGTGCATGCCGTTGATTAAGTTCGCATTTGCTGTGGTATCTCTCATGTCTATATAAGTATGCCTTACAGGTTGAACCTGGTGCGTTTCTTCTCCATCTTGGCTTTCCACTCCCACTGCAACGCATCCTCCCCCTCGCTCCCTGCTCGACCAATGCCCTTGTCTACCCTCCTCAGCTTCATGGTGAACCTCGGACCCAGCTCTTGGAGGCCTACTCGTATCTGCTCAAAGCCAGCAATCGGCTTGCCGTCCACCCCGTCTACACTTTTTTCGGTAGTCTTCTTGTCTCGGTAGACGTAGCGGTGCCGCCGAACAAAGATGTAATCTCTTTGGTTGTGGAGAGTTAGAACTTGCCTGCCAGCAATTTCTGGCTGCGGCGGGAACAGATGCATGAGAGACCCTGCTGTCAAAATACCAAGACTGGTTGAGAAGCCATTCAATAGTAGCTCTGGGTAGTAGTCTTGGGGGTTTCCATGACCGGGAAGCTTGGACCCGGGAATGAAGTTACTTATGGAATAAGTTAAGGAAGGGCCTGCCGGTAGGTGAACGACCGTCACGCCGGTGAGTTTCTTCGAGTCCTCTTTCAACACGAGCACCGCGGTGTACTCGCGGTTGTGCGCAAATTTCGATATTTCTCTGACGCTGTACTTTCGGGCGAAACGATGCCCGCTTCTTGGTATATAATTGCTGTTGGGAAATATTGACTCGAATATCTTCGCTTCTGCATGAAGATTTGAGTTTAGAGATGTTGTGATGAGAATCTTTGGAATCGCCGGAGGTTCGTCGGAAAAGAGATTGGGGAATTTGGCTTTTAGCGCGGCAGAACTGAGATCCAAGTTTGTACTCGTAGTAGATGGTGCCAGGCTTGTATCTCGCTGCGCTCGTTTCCTTCCTTGTCTTTCAGTCTCCTCTTCAGAGTCCTCTTTATCTTCGGCATCCTCATCTTCTGACCCGAGCATGCTGTCGACATCGTCGTCATCGTCCTCGGCACTCTCTTCGGCCCCATTCTGCTTGGCAAACTCAGCCTCTTCCTCGGCCTCGAGCTTCCGGCGCTTCGCTTGCGCGACGTCGATGCTGGCGTAGAGTGAATCTTCGTCGCCTTCATCCCAGACTCGCTTCTTGTCTATCGAGTTTGGTTGATTTGCTGCTAATCGCTTCCTCTTCGCTTCTGGATCTTGGGCCTCTTCTCTGCGCCGACGGTGTCGCTCCTCATGTTTGGCTTTGCCGACGGCTTTTTTTTGTTGTATGAAAAGGGCTTGTCTCTTGAGCTTATTTCCCGTCTTCAATGACAGAGAGACCCCTGATGAGAACCTTCCTGTCTTTTGGGAGCCCATTGCTGCTGAAATTGTTGAATACTGGCTTGAAGGGTCAAAGAAGTTGGCGAAAGAGGTTCTCCAAAAAGTCGGCCATTGATCGACTGCATTAAAATTTTGACGGGCCCTTTACCGCTCGAAGGAGAAGGCGGTCAGAATTCACGGTACCTGCCCCGCCAACTGGATTTGGCGCTGGAAGGCTGTGTTCCGCGCTACTGGTGGGGGCAGAAGCAGCAAGCAAGAGCTAGAACGCTGCAAGTTACCACGACGGCCTAATTGCATTTTTGGGGACCTTATTCAGTCGGCTGGAAAAGTAGGAGGAGTCATTCGAATGCTGTTCCACACCAGCAGAAGCAGCATCACCACGGCGAGAATTGGCTGTTCAGCGGCTCTGACTCACTCCCAGGCGCATTCTTTTCTCCCATTGATGAACGGCGCGCGAGCTGCTGTCTTCCAATTTCCCTTCACATCACTTGCTGGTATCAAGCCGTCCAAGCAGACACTTTCCACAGCCGCGTTTTCACTCCGGACAAAGTTCGCACCCTCTCCACTCCGACAGACTATCCGATATCAACACACACAAGCAAAGAAGATGACGACGACAGCGACGACCCTCAAGGGCCAGCCTCTGGACCGGGCGATCCTGGACTCGATGCTGCGGAGGCGCATGTTCTACACGCCCTCATTCGAGATCTACGGTGGTGTGTCTGGCCTCTACGACTACGGCCCGCCGGGCTGCGCCCTGCAGGCCAACATCATTGAGACATGGCGGAAACACTTCGTGCTCGAGGAGGATATGCTAGAGGTTGACTGCAGCGTCTTGACTCCTCATGACGTGCTCAAAACGAGTGGCCACGTGGACAAGTTCGCAGACTGGATGTGCAAAGACCCTAAGAACGGCGAGATTCTACGGGCGGATCATTTTGTAGAGGAAGTCTTGGAGCTGAGACTAAAGGGCGACAAGGAGGCTCGCGGGCAAAAGTTCGAGGAGAAGGAGGAGGACCCCAAAAAGAAAAAGAAGAAGCATAAGGGTATCGAGGCCGTCAAGCTCGACGATGCCGTCGTGAAGGAGTACGAGGAGATCCTCGCTCAGATCGACAACTACAACGGCGAGCAGCTGGGCCAGCTCATCAAAAAGTACGAGCTCAAGAACCCTGCCACTGGCGTAGAGCCCAGCCCACCAGTAGCTTTCAACTTGATGTTCCAGACCTCAATTGGTCCCAGCAGCAACCTGCCGGGTTACCTGCGCCCGGAGACTGCTCAGGGCCAGTTCCTTAACTTCTCCAAGCTCTTGGAGTTCAACACACAGCAGATGCCCTTCGCTTCTGCGTCTATCGGCAAGTCTTACCGAAATGAAATCTCCCCGCGAGCTGGTCTTCTACGTGTTCGCGAATTCCTCATGGCCGAGATTGAGCATTTCGTAGATCCTGAGGGCGGCAAACACCATCCTCGCTTCCACGAGGTGGAGGACATCAAGCTTAAGCTTCTGGACCGACACACTCAACTTTCTGGCAAGACTACGATCACAGAGGTGTCTATTGGCGATGCAGTCAAGACAAAGCTGGTGGACAACGAGACATTGGGCTATTTCCTTGCTCGTATCCACCTTTTCCTCGAGAAGCTTGGTGTTGACCAGACAAAGATCCGTTTCCGCCAGCACATGGCCAACGAGATGGCCCACTACGCCGCTGACTGCTGGGATGCAGAGCTCCTTACTTCTTACGGCTGGATTGAGTGCGTTGGCTGTGCTGACAGAAGCGCTTACGATCTGAGTGTTCATGCTCAGAAGACTGGCGCGCCCCTAATCGTTAGAGAACGCCTAGATCAGCCTAAGGTGATCGAGGAGTGGGCAGTGGAGATCGAGAAGAAGAAGTTTGGTCCTCAGTTCAAGAAAGATGGCAAGGCCGTTGAGGCCGCTGTTCTAGCCACCACCCAGGAGCAGCGAGAAAAGCTTGCAAAGGAACTTGAGGAGAAGGGCAGCTTCACTATCGATGTTGCCGGCGTCAAGGACGGTAAAGTCGAGGTGAGCAAGGACCTTGTCAGCATCCAGTGGACCAAGAGAACCGAGAACACCAGAGAGTTCACACCCAACGTCATTGAGCCGTCATTTGGTATTGGCCGTATTCTCTATTCTCTCATTGAGCATTGCTACTGGACTCGTGCTCACGAGGGCGGCGATGAGGCTCGTGGTGTAAGTAGACGCCCAATTGAGACTGTCAAAATACACAACTAACATAATCCAGGTGCTTTCCTTCCCTCCCACAATCGCCCCGACCAAGGTCTTGATTGTGCCGCTATCTTCAAATAAGGATTTCACGCCAGTTGCTCGCAAATTGTCACAAAAGCTCCGCTCGTTGGGCGTCTCCAGCCGCGTGGACGACTCCTCGGCCACAATTGGCAAGCGTTACAGCCGAAACGACGAGCTCGGCACGCCGCTTGGCGTCACCATCGACTTCCAGACAATTAAGGATGGCACGATCACTCTGCGCGATCGCGACTCAACTACGCAGGTCCGGGCTGATGAAGACAAGATTATTGCTGCAGTGCAGTCCCTTGTTGATGGCAAGAAGACATGGAAGGATATCGAGACCGAGCTTCCCGCCTTTGAGGGTCAAGATGCAGAAGTGCCAGTCCGGTAAGGTGTGGCATTGAGAGTGTTGGTGTAGGATGGCAAGGATACAGAATCTAGAAGGCGATAAGGAAAAGTTTCGAGCTCTAGGCAGTTGCTTGTTTCTTGATGTGTTCAACGTGTGGTCATTTGGCCTGCGTCACTTATTCCCCTTTGGGAATGGAATAGATTTCAACTTCCCATGATTCTTGAAGACCAGGTCATAGGGCTTCAGCTCGTGTTCTTTCACACTGGAGAACAATTGCATTAGAAGACTGTGATACGCGCCAAGAAGAGGCTCAAGTGCTTAGCAAGGGTCTGCGTTATGTTTCCTTCTGTGCGCCCAGGGCTGTCTTTCGCCTGAAGAGCCGCAGACAATAATACCGGATATTTGACTGGGGTCTGGGGCTATTTCCAGTAAACTGTCGTCATTGTCAGCCCATTTCTTATACTGCGACTAGATTTTGCGGTTGTAGGAGTTTGGGAAGACGCACAAACTTATTCCTAGGTATCAAGAGTGTCGCGCCTCCTAGACGCTCACAGGTCTGCGGCTCGGGCCTACACGCAAACCTTGGAAGGATGGACGTCCCCTTTCTTGATTATGGACTGGGGTTCGTACAGGAAAGCCACTTCCTCAGAACTTTCCTAGGGTTGAACTCTTTGCATGGACTTGGTCATGACACCCAAGCAGCTTGTTTGTTCCTGCTCGTTCCTACTGATGTGGATTTTGACTTGTGGCCGGCCCTTCACTGTGGGTTGGGGCTCCTCAGGGGTTACATGCGGCGGGCAGTCCTGCGACAGATCCGCAGATTGAAACAAGTCCTCCTCTTTTCAAATCGCAGCCAGCCAACCACGACGGCGCAATTACTTCTTGCAGATGCTTTGACGGCTGAGGATTGACAAGATGTGCAGAAGGGCCAATTCGCGGCTAAAGTGCATCTTGCAACCATCCAGTGATATCACTTGATGGAGGGCTCTCCTGGTGCAGGCAGAAGTTGTACAGCATCTGTAGATGCCAGAAAAGATCAGATGAAATTGCCAGATCTCTGCAAGCTGCATATTTTGGGACTTGGCCCGAGGCGAGGATGCACCTGAAACATCGTCATCGTTTAGGGCAATGGAACAGCTCGACTTGCTGAGGCCGCCACTGGATGTGGACAAACAGTTGGGTCGTACTCCTCCGCCAGGGTAATCAATGTTACCTCGGCAAGGGTACATTCGTACCATAAGCTCTTCAACGAAGGATTGCTACCTGCTACCTTTACAGAAGTTGGTGAGGCTATAGTAGTATACAGAATCCTCGAGACAGCAACAAGTATCATAACTCTCGTCATTGGGCACTGTGGCCCTTGAGAAAGAAACGCCTGTTGCCGTGGCGGAGGGGTAGGTAGAGATATCTCTGAATCCCCATTAATCTTCCAAGGTCGACATTCCGCTTTGGTTCATGCTTAACTCATGATATAATCCGCTGCCATACCTAATTCTCCGATCTTCTTTTAGGCATATGCTTTGATCACTCACATGGAACGTGGCGAGGGGGGGCCTTCTCTAAGCCTCCCGGAACTGTTGCTGGTGGTGAACATCCGGTAACAAAAGTGCTCGGAAATCAGAGGTTCCTATCAGTGTCTCCATCCTTACGACTTTGCCATCAACAGCAGAGGGCTCTGGCTGTCTTCTGTCTTCTGCATCGTTGACCAATTTCCATTTCTACGAGGCGGCGAACTGATCTGCTGCTATCCCCCCACCCCTGTCCACAACCCCTATTCCGCTTACAAGGGGGCTTGAATGAGGGGGAATGCTTGCATGTTGTCAGCGTGGTTTCGTTAGCAAAGAGACGAATGGACATTTCAAATTCCGCTACAGCTCCTTCAAGCCACTGCAAGCAACGTCAGAGAGAGTAAGGTAAGCCTCCAGCCGAGACATGGCCAGTATGCAAGAGTAGAATAATGGGTTGGGTCTTCTTCTTGTCGGTTGCCTTCCCGAAGAAGGGGGGACACCTCTAAGCATCGATCTCAAACAGCGCGTGCCACAGGCCTGCGCACGCGCTTGATTGGAGTGCCAGGATATTGAATCCTCTTCAGCCTCGATTATCTCCGTCACTCATTTTGTTCTCCCCAGACGCTCCTCATACGTCCTGCATGCTCACATTAGACTGGAGAGGAGCTACAGTAGTGAGATATCTGGAAAGTACCAGCTGCAGGTTGGACGAGAGTTGGCCACAGGGGGATTATGGATGTCCAATTGTGCCAGATGTACCTCCGTACCCATTCAAGTTTGTCTTCAGCGACCCTGACACTGGGCATCCATGAATTTTAGAGGCTGGGCTGGCCCGAGTGGACTGGATTTACCCCTCCAATCCTCCACTGATTTGATTTGACTACACTGGCTCCGGCCTCAACCGCGGGCTCCTGCGCTACGGCTAGAGCCCCTTAGGGCCTTAGTGCACCCCTAGGGGAGAAGGCGAGTGCTACACCACCGAGACCACCCACTATCATGGGGTAGATACCAGTGCTCCAACGGGCACACCACACCACTCTGGGAACGAACCCCATCCCGGTGTTGGTCGTACCGTACCGTTCTGGCGTGCCTCACTACCCTACCTCACTTACTTACCCTTACCCGCTAGGTTTACCTACCTACCCTTTTCCACGCTGCTGTCCTCCATAGGTTGTATTGTGTCTGCCTGTCTGCCTGCCTGCCTTATCGCCGGCCGCTTTCTCGTCCTGACCTGCGACTTCGCTGCATTTCCATCTCTTACTGTAGAACGATCAGAGCAGACACCGTCCAGCGCGGCGCTCTATTGTCCTCCACGCCAACTATCGCCGGCCACACCGCAATTGCGTCTGTCTGCCTGTTCATCTGTCTGGGTGCGTTTGCAAGCCGGGATTGATCAGCAGCAACCTGCCCACCTCCAAGACGAGGCTCGTCGACGGCTATCTGCACCGATCGATCAACCTCACCGCCGCACTCGCCCATCGCAAGAGCAAGAGCAATTCGTGCCTACTTCAGCAGCGTCCGTCATACATGTCTCCCTATCTCGCTCAATCGACTCTTGACTGCACCTGAACCGACCTGCGGTCGCTTCAACTGCTCTTCAGGGTGTCCATCCCCCTGGCTGCCGCTCACCGACCTCATCACGACCAACTCCCAACGGTCCCACAGCTGCATTGTTGCCGTCTTGTCAGGCTACACCGAAGTCTACCTACCGAACAAGTATGTTGAACTGCCAGAAGGGAATGCGGTAACCGAGCCTGCCTTTACTAATGTGGTCTGTTTCTCAACTAGGTGGTAGCCTTTGTCCTCAGCTGGCAAACACCCATTGTCCTCATCCATTTCAGCTGCTGCCAGCCGACGGACAATACTCCTCCTAACAAAGTTAACCCTTTCCTCCTGGATAGATCTTTCGTCGCATCTTCGCAAACATGGCGACGCAGAATAGGTATGAGTTAACAAGCCCTCGTCCAATTGTTCACCATTTATCCCACGCACAAAAAGCCCCCTTCTGCACTTAACGACGGCGGGGTTGCGGCTGTCTGCGACAACAACAACCTCCTCCACCACCACCACCACCA